ACCCTTTGAGATATAAAAAAATAATCTATGGTGGAATTGTGTATCTTATATAGGTCTACAGAAAAGTCCGCGATGGCATATGTATATCTCTTATGGATAACATACTATATACATTTTAATTTAAAACGTACCTACGGACGAACCCGAGCGAAGCGAGGGTGAGTGGCTAGTCTATACATATAAAATTCTGATACGAATCTATACATTAAATATTTTTTTGGCAAATCTTATTAAAATAGTCATTATTATCGATACAGAGGCCGAATCAATATTTTTTAAATTTTTGTGCCAGTCTGTCGGTCTGGAACGCATCACGGGAAATCCACTGAACAGATTTAGATGAAATTTGATATGATGATAGCTGAATATCCGGGTTAACATATGGGATACTTTTTACTGCGGGAAAATATCTCATCTCTGAGATATCTACACTAACCTCAAAACGTACGGACGAACCCGAGCGAGAGGAATTCGCTAGTGTAATGAATAAAAATGTTTAGTACTACGAGTATATTACCACCGCATATTATCATACAGCTGAAGACCATACCTTAATTCACTAGGCAGTGATCTCCGTTTTATTTACAGATAAAAATTTTACCTTTAAAATGCACATGAAAAACTTCTAATATAGAACTTTTTAAAAGATGTAAGAAGTTATGAGCACAATTAATATTAAACAGGAAAATAGTATTTTTCTAATCATATTCTACTCTGTGTTTATTGACCATTATCGATTCCCGTCGATTGCAATTTACATCAAATTGCAATCATTTCTAACGTAAATGTGTGTGTAACTAGTTATAATCTATACTAATATTATAAAGAGGTAAAGTTTGTGATCTTGTGAGTTTGTGGGTTTGTGAGTTTGTGAGTTTGTGACGTTGTAGGGGGTAATCTCTGGATCTACTGAACCGATTTACAAAATTCTTTTACCAATAGAAAGCCACGTTCATTCTGAGTGTCATAGGCTATATATTAACCCGAAGAATGAAAAGGCTTTTTCGTGGTAGTCGGATTTGCAAAGTAAGTCGGAGAAAAAACGGTCGAACGAAAACGTTTCTTACGAACGCTGCCTTAACGATGAGAGATACATGATTATGTTCTAGAGAAAAGTTGTAGAGCTTAATAATGCCTACAAAAAAGTCAGCGACAGCATATGTCTAACTTTTATATTTAAGTCACAAAAAGTAGTTTTTTATATTAAAAAAATAATTTAAATCGGTAGGTCATGTTTATTGGTCATATTATCAACAATTATGAATTCTTATCAAAATAAATAAATTTATCGTCTAAAATGTTTAAAACAAAAGACTTTTCCCTTTTACTGCATATAATTTGGACAAATGGTTAAAGAGATAATACAACATATTCGTAGGTATAGACGAACCCGAGCGAGCTGTTTGTCTGTTTTCCTGTTTGTACGGGCTAATCTCCGAATCTATTGGGCCAATTTAAATGACATTTTGCATGGTGGTACCTTATATCCCTGGCCAACATCTTAGATACCTTTCATCCCGGAAAATTAAATAGTTCCCGTGGGATAGTTAAAACACTATAACAACTTATACAGCTTAGTACAAAAAAACTACTGATTGGATTTTAATAAAACTTTAAAATAATATAGTTCATACATGAAAATAACAAATCGGCTACTTTTAAATCCTAGAAAATTAAAGGGTTCCCGTGGGACAGTCAAAAAACTATAGTAACTTATACAGCTTAGTACACAAAAACTACTAATTGGATTTTGATGAAACTTTACAATAATATAGTTCATACATCAGAATAACAAATAGGTCACTTTTTATCCAGGAAAAATATACAGTTCCCGTGGGATAGTTGTTTTCGTTTATTTGTAACGTATTATGTACACAACATAGACCCCAAAACAATAGTTATTAAAAAAAATGTCTGTTTGTCTGTTTGCCTATATGTCTATTTGTCTGTTTTTGTATGCGCGTTTCACGGAAAGATACAATAACTGGTTTTATCGAGTCCTCCCTAGAAACCTTCCGCTGGCTTAACCTTAAGACATACATACATCAAAACAATATACTAAAAAATTGTAGGCCTTGAAAAGTCCTACAGGAAAGTTCTAAATAGTATATGTATATCTCCTAAGCAATATCTACTCTTATCTATACCTATAATAAAACTAACTTAGTCAAATCGATGTGCGCGTTTTACGCAAAAAGTACTGAACGAATTTTAACTAAATTTTGTATAGTGATAAATTAGTACTCGGGTCAACATTTAGGATACCTTTTACGACAGGCAAATTATTCATTCCCACGGGAAAACTCAATAACTGGTTCTATCGAATCGTCCTTAGAAATTTATATGGCTAACGTTTGCTCAACCTTAAGATATAGATGAAAACATTGTGCAAGAAAATTGTAAGTCTTAAAAAGGTCTATAGAAAAGTTCTACTTATTATATGTCTATCTCCTAAGGTACACTCGCTATAACTATTTTCATTATTATATATTATTTTTTTATTATACGTTATTTATTCTATACGTAATAAAACTGTAGAGGTTAGAAAAAAATGCTAAAAACCGAGTCAGTTCTCTTCTTACATCCCGAAAGAAGAGAAATAGAACAAATCCAGTTTTTTTTTCAATTTTTTTGTTTCTCTGTCTGTTTGTCTGATTGTACGGGCTAATCTCCGAAACTATTGAAATGATTTAAATAAAATTTTGCATGGTAGTACCTTATATCTCCGGTCAACATCTAAGATACTTTTCATTCCAGAAAATTAAAGAGCTTATACAGTTTAGTACACAACAACTTATGCACCTAATTTAGTAAAATTTGGCATGCTGATACCTTATATTGCCGGTCAAACAATAGGTTACTTTTCATCCCGGAAAAATGAACGGTTCCCGTGGGATAGATCTGTTTGTGCTTTTCTAGAGGTGAACCCGAGCGAAGCGAGGGTGAGCTGCTAGTTAAGTATAAAAAGGTTGCGTAACTAGGTTTATCTCGTAAAAAATAACCGTTACGGAATTAATACGCTACTGGCGCCGTCTGTTACATACCATAACAATAAATGTTTTATATGTAGTATGTATGTATGTATTTATTCAGCCCTTTTTAACGTCCCACTGCTGGGCACGGGCCTCCCATACTGCAAGAGGGGTCTAGTCATAATCCACAACACTAGCCATGCGCTGGTTGCCCAACTCATCTTTCGAAAATTTACTAAATTCTCTCAGACATTCCTTACCATCGACCAAAAAGTACTAGATACACAATCAACGACAAAAAATGTCCTTACCGAATGAGCGCTCATTTGAACATTTGAGCGCGTTTTTTTTATGAATATTTGTTCATTACGCTTTTTCGCCATCATACTATGTTACACATCGAGCGGAAATCCGGTACGTCAAAAAGTGTGATAACCAATTTATGTGCACATGCATAATAATTATTTGGTACACTTTATTTTGTTCTATTTTTTTTAATCATTTTACTAGCAACTTATACTATGCACCACATAGTAAAATTTTCAATACTAATTATAAGGTGATACTATGAGTTTATTTCACGTTATGTACCAAAAATATCATGTTAATATATTACTTTTGTCTTCTCCATTCTACGTGACATTGGCAATGTTAGCTATGCTTAACTGACACGCTTTGAAGACATTAACAAGAGAATTGAATTGAATTGTATAGGTATTACTTTGTTACTACATGAAAGAAGTGGAAACCAATAAAGATTTTTGCAATTACTTAGATATTATTATGAAATTCATACTAGGTAATGTATTTATTAAACATAAATATAATTAACACATCCAGGTAAATTTCTAAGAAATCTATTGTTAACTCACACGCCGGCGTGTCTGCGGTCGTGGCGGGATTATTGTATTCATCATTGTCACTACCTTGTCTTTGCAATGCAAACATTACTTGTTTCAGTCATTTTAAAACATGTATCTTTATCATTAACTTTATTAAGGTATCTTTATCTCAGCACATTGGCGGGTTAGATGGATAGCTCCTCAAGACTCCTCTGGAGGTACTGGAGTCATGTGTGCATACTAGGAGGAGGGCATGTACAATAAGATATTAAGTACTAACATAGTTTCTGTAACTTTGTATTAACATAATAAATGTAATAAGGAACAAAAATGTGAAATAAAAAATATTATTATTTACCATTTGAGATTTCAAATCATCTAGTTATAATATCACCAAATGTTACTAATTTTATAACCATAATATAATGATACAAAAATTTTATATAATGAACAAAAAACCTTAGGCTTTAGATCTTAAAATTACAATATACATATTTATGTAATGATAATTAATACTCCTGTGTCTATTTATATTCATTTCCGTATCTTCCAACATGGCCCCTGACTTCTTATTATTGGAATGATATAAAACTACTAATTGAAGCTTACACTAACAAACTCTAATGTCTGTCACTTCAAATTTTAACTTAGCTAAAATATTAAATAATAATTTAAAAATTTTATACCTCCAAGCTATTTATACTATATATACCCATATATCTATTTATATCCAAAACTGTAAAAATATATCGATCTCAGTAATGTTTTGTATTTATGTAATAATTAGATATGTATTATGTGTTACTCATTAGTTTATGATTTAAACAGCTTTATTTTTTTGCATATCAATCAACAACCACAACCACAGCAGATAATATTAGAGTCATTAAATATACACTGCAGGTCATTAAAATTTGTAATAAATATTGTATAATAGAAGGTTGTATATAAAATTCTAATGAGTATAATTAAAATTAATTTAAAAATATAACAAATCTTAAGGCAAGAATTTTTTCAACAAAAAACAATATATTAATATTTCAGATTCAAACGAATGAACATGAAAGAAAATATGGTAAATATATTTTTTTAATATCAGAATACTTAAAACAAACAAATCCAACGCTAAATTAAACAGACAATAGCTTGCGCAAATACAGTTCGCTAGAGAACAGCCGAAACTCACCTCTGATAACAAAGGGGCCCTGTCCAAATGCTCTGAAGAGGCGAAGGCTGACTCGTAGTATGCCCCACGACCCCGAGACTCATATCTAGAGCCTCCCTCATCCCACATCCTAGCCTCTAATTCATCAGACATTCTGGCGCCACGATTTTCACATAAAAATATATCACAGATTTAACACATATTTTACAAAATAACTTAAAATTGACCCAAGATTATGCTTGTATTAAAAGTGAGCTTTTTACGTATTTTATACATGAAATTAGTAATTACATTTAACAATTTATATTTAGCATGAAAACACACACAGTCCCTCTAGCAAAGATACACCTTCACTCACAACAATAATTTAGCGACTGTGGAAAATGAATGGAAATGGCAACAAGAACAAAAATGAAATGTCAAAGTTACGTTCAGAAATTTACTTCTTTAAAGATTATTATAATAAAATAAATAAATTAGTTTCTTATATTTCTTATAAATATATAATAATTTTATATTTGTAACTTATACTTATTACAACTATTAATTAATTATTCTATTTAGTGAGCTACAGATCTCATAATATAGTATATATACTTTTCTTATGAATATAAAACAAATCTTTTTATTTTTATGTTGACGTTACAATGTTGCTAGACAATAAATACTCGAAACTGATAATATAAGACCGTAGAAGTTCTACGTTCGTAACATTTCTCTAAAGTTCTACGGTAGAACGCACAAACTTTAAAGTAATGCTTCGTAAAACGAATCAGAAGGTAACGTTAAAGAGAATGTAACCACTAAGTAGTTTATGACATACATATGTAGGTAACGTACGTACACCATAGACTATAAACTATAATTATTATAAAGGCCTTTGTACATTACATTTCATAAACGCGCGTTATAATGTCTCTTAATATAAAAATTGTATGCCTTAACTTCTATTTCATAACCAGTCTCAATTAGCTTCTCCATCAAATTTGCAAAACTGTCGCTGAAAATTTTAACAACATAATATAGGTATCTAATAAAATCGATAAGTATATGTACATTTAAAAAATATTTTAAATTGTAATCAAGTTTTAGTCCTTTAAGTCTTTTCATCAAAGAGGTTTAATATTCTGGGATCAAAAATAAAACAAATATAAATAATTAGACAATTTATTGCAATAATAAAACTTTCATAAAATTACACAAATGTTTTAAAGTCATAAAATACCTGCCAACTAGCCAGCAGACCAAATAAAAAACTCATACTTAAATAAAATAGATGATATCTTGATAGAAATAACATTACAGTAAAAAAATAGTATGTAGTGTTGCTATATTTGTATGTTCTGTGCTAACATCTCAACAATTTTAATGTTCAAATTTGTTAGTGCATTGAAATGTAAACATTAAATATTAGGTGTTTTTTTATTAAATTGCGATTCATATCTACTATCTAGTATTTTAGAATAAATTATTAATTATTTTACATATGTAGTCTTAGTAAATTCTATTTATTTTACAAGCTTTATATTAGATTAATTAATTATAGATCATTTTCAAGGTTGTCTTATGACCTATAAATATATAAGTATTAATATTCTACTAGAAAATGTTATTTCTATAGATATCTTTTGTTAATAATGCCGACTCGCGTGTCGTCTCTTTATTTATAACGCCTCACATAAATGTCTGAAATGCTTTATATTCATATATTTCAATAATTAACAAATCTAATGTTACGTGGGGCAATAATACTTTGTCAACAATTAGATTTTTAAGAAATATATTTAAAATGTTATGGGAAATGAATGGGTCTATATTGATTGGGTTTTCACTTGTAGATAAATGATGGGCGAATATTATATATGGGTATAAATATATAATTAATGACTATTATAATTAATGATATTGTTAAAAATTAGTAATTTGTACATTTTACGCGAAATAAATATGGCGATTTAAATAGGTTTCGTTTAACTGTAAGCACTTGTTTTTATATTTCATCATAAATATTTTATTCAGACGTTTATATGAAACATTAAGAAATTCACATTTCGCTTCACAACTATTATTTCATCGAAATTGATATACTTTATCAAACATGAAAGCTTATGGCGTACATAGCAATAGTTATTTTTCTATATAAACCACAATACTTGTATCACTTTTTGAAATTTTTGTACATTAAAAAAATACTAATTTGGCACTAATATTTTGAATGTTTTTAAGCCATATGATTTATTTTATTTATTAAAGCACATCTAACATTGAGTATTTTTTTATATAATTTGCCTATCAAAATCAACAACCAAATACGTATTATTTATATTATTAATTTATATTTTATATATAACTCTTTTTATTATATGTAGTTTATGGCTTTATTTGACAAATAACTTCACAATATAATTTTTTTTATTTTATTTCTTTTATTAATATTTTGAAATTTGAATTCACAATGTGTATGCATTTTGCGCTTTGTAAATGTAAATGTCCATGTCAAAACCGATTCACCATATAAAGTGTATTTTTGTCTATATGCTTGTCCATACATGCATTGCATAAAACTGCTTTACTATTAATTAATAAATAAAAAATATATATTCAAAAAGTGATCCAAATAAAGGTACGCACGAATGGAATGATTCAACAATTATCACAATGGAGTGCAACAAGTCTGATATTTCTAGCAAAGCGGCTATCAATAGAAATATATTCAGTACTCGTATTATAACTGACTTATGTGGTTTAGTGGGTAATGACTATGATGTACGGTTATTGATCCGGAGTTCTTGGATTCGAGTCCTGGGTCAAGCCAAATACACTTTTTACTTTCTATTAAGAAATTCTCAGGAACAGCCCGGAGTTCTCTCACCGGTTTTTTTAAAGTCTAGTGCAATGCAGTGTAAGAGTTAAAATATCTCCTCCACAGTGGCTAGTCTCAGTGAGAATAGCCGCCGTGGCTGAAGTCGGTCAGGAGGTCATTTTTTCTTGAGCTTTACTTGCGCATGCGTATTTGTCAGCATTTGACCACTGCGCAGCCATTTGCAGCGTACTTCAGAGCGGAATAGTTATAATACGAGTACTCATAACAGGAAAATGCTTAAGTGAGGTACAAATTACAAACATTCACATTCGTGTCATGTCACTTCAATAAGTTGATAAAATTTCAAAAACGCAAAGTATATGGAATCGATATGCTTTTAACATCCTTAAATTATATAAGAAAATTGTAATAGCAAAAATTACTTATTTTGATTTTTATTTCATATTATTGGGAATGGAAATAGGTAATAGTGTGTCAAATATTAATAATTCGATGTACATTTATATATATTTTTTATATAATTAAAAAAAATAGATTAAAAATATTATAATAATACTTTATAATCTGTAACTACTTATCAAAAACCCAGCCCTACTATATGTACCATGTTTTGAATCCATAAACAATATTTGCAACACAAAACCTCGACACAATATTACCCAGTATGTATGTATATATGGATACATACGTATATCAGTTTGTGAGAAAGCGGAAGATAGGAACACAAAACCTCAACACTGAACCCGGTATAAATGTATTTCTACAGTATAAAAATCCATACAGTTGAACGTATTTGTTAGTCAATTCAATCATCTTTTTAATGGCTTCGAACTGAACCAGTTGAGCACAGATTACTTCGCCAATATCACGTAGAACGGAGAAGACACGAAGAAGAATAACCGTTAAATAAATCAAGAAACGAAATTAAATTATAATGTGTAAAAACGGGAGTGTCTTTGATTTTAACCGGAAACCGCTAAATGCCAGTTTTCAAAAAAAATATCATAGTCCATGATCATAGTAATCATAATCTTTTGAAGTAAAATCATGGTATTGCCATCTCGGGTTAAGCTACCGTTATATCTATCGAACCCAAAAGCCTTTTCCAAAGTTTCCCATTGTCATATAAACGAACGTATGAAAACCATAAGAAAGAAAATTGAATTGAATATAAGTCGAAGAACTATTTTAGACGATTGTATGGATTACACTGTGGTATCACCCGGTATGTATGTATATTATATACGTGTACTGGCGTCCATGGCTCGCAACACAAAACCTCAACACCTGTACATATCTAACTGCCTGTCTGTCTGTCTGTATGTATGTGTGCATGAGTGTATGTGTGTGTGTGTATGTGAAGCATCAGACGACGACTACGAGCGGCAGGTCGCGGATCATAACTGCGGCGGAGGCGCGCGGGCCGACGCCAGAGCGGCGTCCAGCCGCGGCCAGTCCACGAACTGTCTGCCGTGCCTGGGGGAGGGGCGTGGTGTGTTTAGCATCACTTTTTACTAATACATCTCAAAGTTCGTTTTAAAATAATTCTTAATTATTGAAATACAAATACCAGTGCTACAAACAAACCTGAGCACGAAGTTGAGCGCGGCGCCGACGGCGGCGCCCCACAGCAGCAGGTAGAGCAGCGCGTGCGTGCGCGAGGGCAGCGCGCCCGCCGCCAACAGCGACGCCGCCACCAGCACCAGCGACGGCAGCTGCGCACACAACGATATATCAGACTAATATTGTTAATGCGAAAGTTTGTGTGCGTGTTTATGTGTGTGCGCGTGCATGTGTGTGTGTTTCTTTGTTACTCCTGAGCCGTTCCGGCATAATTGAGTAACAAACATCCATCCATCCAAACTTTCGCATTTATAATATTTATGAGATTAATGGGATAGGATATATACAATGGGATTATTTATTATTACTATTATGGGATAATTGATTGAAATATATATTATATGTAAGTTTATATAAAACAATATACTATACTATAAATATATGTAAGTTTATATAAACTTTGACTTACTGTTAAGTATTTCCAGTCCTTGTCACGACGGAGCGGACACAGCGCAGTGTTGCCCTCTCCATCCGTTATCACATACTTGCCTAAAAGCAAATCTATTGAATCCTGAAAATTAATATTAAGTATTATAAAATCATTAAAGCTATTTAATATATTTTTAATAGTAAAAGGAGCTAACGAGCAAATATTCCACCTGATGGCGAGTGGTGAATGGTTATCGTCAATCATAAACATTTGGAACATAAGAGGAGTTGATAATGCATTGCCGGTCCTAAGAAGACCTGAAGATACGACTCTTGAAAAGCTCCATATTATATGGCGCTGGGAAAACCTCAACAGGAATTATAATAAATAAATAGGATAATTGAAAATGTATATATTTTGAAAAAGTTATCTTCGCAACCTCTAAATTTTACTAACGTGTATGTGTTTTAGTTTAATATTTACGATTTTTTTATCTTTTCGGATTTTTTCGCAAATTTAATTTGATTTTTGGTTTTCAACGTTTCGAATGCTTTACAGCATCCATGGTCACGGGAGAGACTGAGGTTTTAGGCGTCATAAAGGTCATTATATACTTGTTACAGACAGCACCTACCCACAAATTTACAAAATGATTTCCAAAACATAAAATGGCACCAAAGGTACCTTACAATATTTGTTAATTTTAATTTTAAACATTTAAAAAAATAATTTGTGTGTACTTATGTACGCACGTAACAAGTTATATGTCTTTGGCGTAACAGAACAAAAATAGCTAAAGATTTCATCGTCATCATTTCGCTTTCTGGCTGTCGGTGTGCGCGCGCATCGTAAAAATTTTACTCCATATTTTTTTCCAAACGTGCCAAAGGAAGTATAACTTCAAAAATACTATGTTTTATAGTTTATTTCATTTAAAAACGACCGAGACATTTAAAGTAACAGCACATACCTGTCGGAAGCCATCGCTGAAGTTATTCTTATAGTATCTGGTGAGGGAGTTGACGCCGTCCCGCAGCAGGCCGGCGCGCGTGCGCTTGCCGGTGCGCGTGAAGTCCGTCTTCAGCGCGCCCGTGCCCGAGTACTGCGTCGAGATCATGTCCGCGTGGTCCGCCCACACCTGGGGCCGCGCGGGAAGTTGTGTTCTAATTAATTCTAGACGACACATTTGGCTCAGTTTGTAGTGACCCTACTTGCTGTGCCAGATGTCGTGGGTTCGAGTATCGCTGGGTGTATACATTTGTGTGATGAGCACGAATGTTTGTACTCCAGTTATGGGTGTTTATATTTATAATATGTATGTATTTAAAGTTATATATATGTAGTGTATCAACTATCTGGTATCCATAACATAGAACTTGTAACTACAGAGAAGATTTTATACAAATTACAGAGTAGTTCGTGTTTGCACAGATTTAGGAACATTCTTTACTTTTCTCAATGACGATTTGACACGACCGGTGATAGGCGTAAGAATGAGATGGCTAGTGGCTTTACGTACTCTGTCTCGGTACCGTGATTTAATAATTAATACGGACCACTTCTCAATACCAAGCTGGTACTTAGATTAAAAAATCCAATAACTACACTCGGCTAGATCTGGGATTCGAACCCAAAACTTTCAGATTTGCAACCGTAGATGCTAACGACTAGACCAATGAAAAAAATAAACAAACAAACAATCATTACCATACACCATATTTATATAAAATATAATGTAGATAGGGAAATCGGTTTTTATAATTTGTAAAAAATGACATAGCAATAAAATAAAAGTAGTGTATTTAAAATATTAGATAGGTACTAATTTTCTTTAAAAATTAAATAATTACGAGTATAATACTTAACACACATCGAAGCAAAAACATTTAAAAAACACGAAAACCCCAAAAGATATTCCCTTCCTAATGGCAACTCACAGTATTGAACAAAGAATCCAGATGAGGGTGCTGATCATCAGCTCCAATAACCGCCAGGAGTCGGAGCACGGCCGTGAGCTGTCTCCGCGCCAGCAGGCTCTGCACCACGTTGGTGCGGTCGAGGCAGTCCACGCAGTTGGTGCGGAACACGCCGCTCTGGCGCAGCAGCACGGTGCCGCCGCGGGATAAGAAGTACCCGAATTCCGTCTGGAATTTGTTCAATTATTCAATTCAATTTTCTTGTTAATGGCTTCAAAACGTGACAATTGAGCACAGATTACTTCGCCAATGTCTCGTAGAATGGAGAAGAACGAGGAAGATTTTTCCGTAAAATTAGATTATTCTGGAATTTATATTGTATTTTCAATTTTTTTTGCGTAAAGCAGAACTGTTTACTTTGTCACATATAAATAAGCTAAATAAATTACGTAAAAATATCATCATAGCATGGTCACAATTCACAATATAAAAATCCATAGAGTAGGTTAGCCTTTAATCATAACACATAAGGTCTAACCTACTCTATAGATTTTTATACTATGACCATTCTATGATGATACGTAATTCCCTCAACTCCTTAACGCAAGTCCGTTCAGGAATTGTCAAAAATCATTGCTTTTTTGCGTCTCAATTTTCATTGTAAGCGTTTCATGTTTCGATGCGTATGATAGTTGGGAGCGCCTTCCCTGCGTCTCCCTGATTTCCATATTTAGACGACTGTATAATCAATTGTCTGTGACCTGGAGCACCGGTTTTAAGGTCACAACAACAACAACATGGCCACAATATAAAAATCCACACAGTAAGTGTTCGTCTTTAATCTTAACGCAAATCCCTCCAAGGATTCGAACAACCATTTCTTTTTTGTGTATCAATTTTCATGATGAACCCCCGCGCCTTCCCCTTAGACGCTATCATCAGACGAGTGTATAGATCAGCCTGTGGCTTGGACCACCAGATAGAGGTCCCCATGGTACCTGTTCGTGTGCGATGCGGTCCATGAGCACGTTGAGGCGGTCGTAGCGCATGCCGCGGCACTCGGCGTGGAAGTCGAAGGGCTCGTAGCGCACGGCGGGCAGCGCGGCCGCCGCCACCGCCGCGCGGTAGCCGCGCTCCAGCGACTCCTCCTTGCCGTGCTGGTCGATCTACGTGAGTGGGTTTTGTATTTAAATATATATACCTTTTACATTATTAAGTTTCTGAACTTAGAACTACGGCGAGATTTTAAAAGTCTCAATGTTAATATAGGAAGATGTATTATATATTTATAAAAAATGAATTTTGGGGTATGATTGCCATTATTTTTTGCATATTGTTTGTTTGCCTCATGTGTTTGATGATGAAATGATGTTTTTTTTTTAAAGAAATTCAATCCTAGAACTACTTCGTAAAATTTGCAAGCGCAAATGATTTATATAACAAAATACATCAATCATAAAATTAATAATATAGTTAATTAACTAATGAAAGAAAAAATTATTTCATTTAATTTCAATTATAACTTAACGAGATCAACTGTAACAGAATAAAGCTATCTAAACTTTACAATTCAATTAAAATCAAAATTCTTATTTATTACTACATATAATTTACTTAGGAAAATGTCATTACAATTATGTCGCAGGTAAATTGTAAAAATCGTGAAATTAAAATTTCCCAGAATTTTATCAATGGTCTCCTTTTCTTACAATATCACGGGACAATTATAGGCAATGAAATGAAATCATATTTCACTAGTGAAATTGTAATTTAACGGTTTTTATAATTTCCCTGCGACATATATGAATACATCGATCAATCAAAAATGTACTAGATACACGATCCCATGCAAATGTTTTCTTAAAACCGTCATCAATTGTGTTTAGGTAATAATTATTCTAGTTGAAATAAACATATAACAATGTAAATTGAACCCTAAATGAAATGCTTAAAGTAGTTTCACTAAAAAAATAAAAATTAAAGCGCGCTCAAATGTTCAAATGAGCGCTCATTGGATGAGGACTTCTTTTGTCGCTGATTGTATATCTAGTAATTTTTGATCGATGCAAAACATCTAAAGAAATTCCCTTACCAAGTTCAACAACACCTGGTTCCCATATCTCTGCAGCTGGTCCCTCATATGCCTGGTGTACGCCGTCACGTGGTCTTCCGGCGACAGGGCCATGGATGGTTTGTACTTCAAGTTTGGATACTGGTTCCAGTACAACGGTATGGAACCTCGCGTTTGAACGAATGACGATTTCTCCCCACCCCTCTCGATTATTTGTTCGGTTTCGACGAAGTTTGCTACGTTACCCTAATAAAATAAAATTGTTATAAAAATATATAATAATTACATACAATGTACAAATATTTTTTTTAATCAGTACCGTTGCTTCGCTCGTGTGCAAAAAAGTGGATGGTTTTGTATTAAGTTGCAAAAGGCGCATTTGTCATATTTGTTGTATGTGTGTTTATTACTTCTCCAAGATGAAAGGGCTGATCAGATTTGAATGAAATTTAATACACAGATAGGCTATTAACTGGAGTAGGTAGGACATAAGCTGTTAGGTAACTATGAATGCACCTGAGCGAAGCAGGGGTGAATCAGTAGTATGTGATAATCAATAATTTGCCTCACCTGAGCATCGATCCCACGCATGAAGAGCCTAGTGCCTGCGCGGTCCACGCTGCGTCGCGACACTACAGACCAGGTCAGTTGGTGGCCGTTCACCGTCACACGGTTTATTGCTACGACTGATGGGATTTTAAGGACTTTATACCATGAGCTTTGCTCCTTATAACCAAGTTATATTATGAACTAGCGACTTACTTAAGTTACTCCTTATAACATCGAGGTCCCATTAAAATCAGTCCAGCCGGAACAAACAGACAAAAAAAAAAATTAAAAATTGTGTTTGTCTTATAACTTATATAAGTACTATATTTATAATTTTATATGCATTTAATAAAAAACTATTTGACATTACAAACAGATAATTGAAATTTTATTTATCTGTTTAGAACATAGATGAACAAAAACAACATCAACTATGATAAAAAAAATGATAATCCGTTCACAATTTAAATATGCTAGCTAAATTGAAAAATAACTACTGCATGTTACTCATATATTTTCAAAGGATACAGCCTTGAATGATTGGTAGCGCAAATCTTGCAAATTGTTGGTGCGAGTACTCCTTTAGTAGGTGTCCATTCCATAGGAAACGTGGATCAGCCCGACTAGCTAGTGACATCTTGAATTAAAAAAAAAAATTAAAAAAATTATATTAAAAAACCAAAAAACCTTTTTTAATTACCTTATTAGTTATTATTATTTATTTGTTAAATTAAATTAACTAAAATATATGTATTTGGGTAAAAAAATATACATTTTAACATCTGACTCATGATTAAAATTTAAAAGCTTTTTAAGATATCCCTAAAAATACATTTAAAAATCATACATTACCATTGAACCACAGTAAAAAATTGCATAGAGTTATAATTAATGAAAATAAATAGTTTAATTTACATCTTAGTTATAGAAATAATTATTATAACATAATTATTATAAGGTACTGTTAGCCAAGAGGTAATGAGCTCGCTTGGGAAACCAAGTGAAGCGGGTTCAAATCCTGGGTTTTCACAATCTATACTTATTATAAAAATAAGTCCCCCGGCCGCGTCTTTCTGTCCTCCTGTCTGTCCTCCTGTCTGTCCTCCTGTCTGTCTGTACGCGATAAACTCGAAAACTACTGAACGGATTTTTATACGGTTTTCAACAATAGAAAGAGTAATTCTTGAGGAAGGTTTAGGTATATAATTTATTATGCTTTTATGTAAATTAGCTGAAATACGGCGACAAATGTTGAAGAGGTCGCAAAAAATCTCGCCAAATGGGAACTTTCCACGCGAACGCCGCGTAAACTAGCAAAGATACAGTTAAGTAATGTACTAGAGAATTCAAAATCTATAAAAATGCTACAAAAAAGTCCGCGATAGCATATCTCTATCTCTTACGGTTGACTTACAATAACCACTTTTATGTTAACATTTTTAATTAAAAACATTACGTTATTTTCAAAGTTATTTTCTTTAGTTCGGTATTAATCCTTATCCAAATGAATATTTTAGTTAGCTTAGTCATTTAATGCAGATTAAAATTGCTTTTTACACTAAATCAATCAGATGAATAGTTTTTGAGATATCGTTGTTAGAAGTAATTAGTAGCGAAACATTTTTAATGCTTGGCGAGCATTGAGATGCCTACGGCGAGTCCATCCCCTCTGCCCCGCATCGCTCGACCGCCTGCTCAAGCTATATAAACCGGGCGATGTAGCGCGCGATCCTAGGATACTTTTTACCGCGGGAAAATATCTTATTTCTGAGGAAAAATACAAAAACTGCAATGTAAGAGTATACTAATATGTAACACCTAAGAATTTAGTTTTTGGTCATCTGAACGCGGGCGGAGCCGCGGGCAATGCTAGTTCAATATAATTACAATTTGCTGTTATGGTAAAGGAAAACATTGTGAGGATAAAGGTTGTATGTCTAAGAGAAACTAGCAAGTTCACCACCACTTGGTCAGCATGGTGGACTATGGCCTCATCCCCCTCGCATTGAAGGGAAGCCCACCCCCAGCAGTGGGACATTACAAAGGGTATACAATTTACCTTATGAAAATCTGAAGGAACGGAATGCAATCTCTGCATTGTGTGAGTCAAGTCATAGCCATATGAGAAGTATATTCCAGGTGAATCTAATGCGGTTTTTAGCATTCTCTCATAGGTATTGTTATCTTCAACCTGTGATAAAGAATAAGGGTATAATGATAATTCATATTTTCAAAAACAATGCTAAAATTTAACACTTTTTTCGATCTACTTGTCACATTCGTAAATTGATGATATGGCGTTTTTACTACAATATTATACTCTTTCATAGTATATTGATGTAGAATATTTGTTTCATTTGAAAATTATGATAAATATAGGATACTAGCAACTCAACCTTGCTTCACTTCGCGTTCGCCCATAGACAAAAACAAATCTATCCCATGGGAACAGTACATTTTTCTGGGATAAAAAGTAACATATGTGCTATTCCACACTGTAATTTATCTCTGAGCAAAATACAAATCCATTCAGCTATACTGGCACGAAAGAGTAACAAACATACATCCATCCTCACAAACTTTCACATTTATAATATTAGTATGGGTTAGTATGATTTTTCTTAAAACTAACCTGTTTGTTTGTCATATGAGTTGTAGATCTTGTATATGGTATTAATTCTGTTCCAGCTAACTGGTATATATCTTGTCCATTTATTTTACCTACCTGTAAATAAAAATTCAACAATATAATGAATAAAAAAAGTATTTGACTCATGAGATTTAAGAATAAAAAGGAATTCCTTATGTTAATGAAAAAGTTATATTATAATGACATATTTAAAACATAATAAATCATAACTTACCAATATTCTATACTTAGCAACAACTAAATACAGTCCAGATATTAGTTTGATGGAGCCCAGGAAACCACATACTGGTTTGTAAGCATTAGCCGGGATCGGAATCTTCACTGAGTTTACATCTGAATTAATATACAAAGATATTTACACTTAATACATAACCTTAGGTAAACTTTAAGATATCAACTAGAATATTTTTATATGTAGTTTTATTTCTTAAGTGTTTTTAATTATAATTAACTAATATTAATCCAATTAATGTTACATCACTTAAAACATATTTTTTTCTTTAATTCCAGTAGAAATATATTGTTTGGCATAAAACATTGATTTTAATGAAGTACAATATAACATTACCTTTTACTGAAGCTTCCCCAGTAATTCTGTCAATAACAAGTATCTCTGTAGGATTAATAGTTGGTTCAAAATAAAATTTGTCAGATGTTGTATACCTGTAATCAAAAGTCATATGAGCCTTAAAAATCCTAATTGAGCTGTAAATGTAAACGTATGACATTTCTTAATTTCTGATTTTTACTTAAGCATCTATAATACTATCCTTAGATTTATGTGAACATTTGATATTTTATTTGAAATAGACATCTGTATGTATAATTCTAAATACTTAATTAATATTAAATATTAATAATAATAAAGCAACAATTAATGGTTCACTTGAATATAAATTGTATTTATTAAAGAAACATGGTGGTGGAGGAAAATATTTGAAAAATTATAATGTTACGAATTCTCTCTTACATAAGTTTGAATTAAATACAACTCACTAAAAATTTAATGCTAACAAACTATTGAGTTTATAATGATTTTTAATTAACAGCCATTGCTAATAAAATAATTAAATGGTTTACTTACAGTTTAATATCATCATGAATTAATGATTGATCTGCCATTTTTACACTTTTTCCCTTGTAAAATATGAGTTTACTTATATCATAGCATTTACAATAAGGTCCAACGGATCCTAGCGTAAATTCGGCGACATTAGGGGTAATATTAATTAAAAATCGGAGATTACAACACTGAACACAAAATTATAATCAATTTGACATACGTGATACGATATTAATTATACGTCATGATGACATTAATGAAAGATACATTGGACATTGATCATGAATCATCGATAATTTCAGCACTGCTCAGATCATAAAACAAAATCAAAGTATTAAATAAAATGCGTTTTAAATATTCTATCTTAATTTTTATTTTAAATAGCAATGTAGTAGTTAAATGAAAATATATGCGTCCATGAGTTACCGAACGTAAAGATACAGCTTATGTAAAACTTATTATTTGACTTTGTAAACATGCATGTGTCTTTGAAGTTTTATTTGTCATCCATGCTTTGAAGTTTGATATCTGACAGAAGCAATATACTCTATGCTGACAGATAACCTCAATAAATAACCGCGACATGTGAATTTTTCTGTTTACGCTTTTATTTAATATGGTTATGTTCAGTAATTAGTTACTATTTATTAATTACAATGGAAGTGGAAGGATATCCAGGACTCATAAAAACTATAAATGATGGTGAAGAAGTAGAAGATTTTTCTGAAGAATCAGATGTAGAAGAAGATGTATGTTTTAAATGTTCATTGTTATTTATAATTAAAAAATTATGGCAGTACCTTCATTATTAACTTTATTTTCTTTTTCTTTATTTTCTTCCGGCATTCTGAAATAGATGAGTGAAATTCTTTTATTGACAGTGTCACATTAATTTGCAAATACTAAAACATTGTCTACACGAAATTATTCCTGAAATACTTATGTCATTTTTTTAATTATATATATATATATATATATATATATATATATATATATATATATAACAGAAAATTTAATTATCCTAATGTCATATATTTTTTTAGTATCAGCCAACAAAACAGAAAATCAAGAGGAAGGCTGATTTTGACCCAAAATTCAAATTTGTTTCATCTGTCGAAGAATATAATAAGGTAACCTATGTCAAAAGTTGTCACATTTCGTCATTGTTAGAGTGCTCATATAAAAGTTATAATATATTATTACTTATTGAGATTTAAAAGAAATATTATAGATAATATTTTTTTATCTTAGGATCCATGGGATGATTTACAAAAGTATGTACGTAGAAATGTTAAAAGAACTCTTGACCAAAAAATAGAACAAAAACGGGCAGAGGTGAAAGTGAAGGGTAATATTGATGTAGATACTGACTCTGAAGCTGAAGCAAAAGGTTTGTATTTAAAAAAGTGATATTAAAATTTATGTTTGTTTAAAAGTCACTATTTAAAATTATTTGTGTAATGAAGGAATATATTAAAAATTAACCTTTGTTAAAGTTTACTTTAATAAACCACAATTCACAGAAGAATAATGATTATTTTAGATGGTGATGTTGATGAATTGGAAATATCTGATGATGAGCTTAAAAAAGATGTTATTAAAACAAAAGAAAAGAAGTTGACTAAAAAACAAAAATTAAAAGATGTGAGTACTCATATTGTAATATATAAATTTTATTATAATACATAACTTTAATTTTTAAATGTAATATATGGAAAGTACTAAACACATAATATAAGACTCTATTTATAATCAAAAAATAGTAAATTTTGATTTATATCTTCTAGGAATTAGAAGACAATGAAAATGAGGGTGCTAAAATAGAGTATGATTCTGACTTCTTTGAAGACCCTCCACCTTATGATGAACAGGCATCGTTTTATATGATGAACTTATCTCGGCCACTATTAAAAGCTATAGGCAGTCTTAATTATGTTCATCCAACACCCATACAGGCTGCAACAATACCTATAGCCTTATTAGGTAAGTTTTTTTTTGCTATGTTTTCATCTGCAACCACAAAACTGAAATATTTATAAGACCTCTTAATTTTTCTTTACAGTTTATATTTTATGTGTAGAACTTTTTTTGTAAGATATTTTATAAATGAAGTCCCAAACTGTGAAGTTGATTTTATTATTTACTTTAGACTTATCAATGTTAAACTAATGACTTAAAAAATCAAAATAAAAATACCACATGAACGGAAAAATGTGATCTAAGCCAGATGTGTCCAGTGGACATACATACAAATATATTTTTTTAATTTGATGTAAGTAAATTATCTCTTCTTTACTGGGTATAATAAAGGATATTGTTATTAACAGGTAAGGATATATGCGCGTGCGCAGCCACCGGCACGGGTAAGACGGCCGCGTACATGTTGCCGATATTAGAGAGGTTGTTGTACAAAGCGGCAGCCGACCGAGTTACTCGAGTACTTGTGCTAGTGCCTACGCGTGAGTTGGGAGCTCAGGTATGTTGTTCTTAGGACTTCTATTATCATGGATCGAGATCCCACTGCAAGATTGCTACGTTCATAGCGTATTTAATCAAAATCAATTTTTTATATACAATAATAAAAGTGACAATATGTTTTGACCGCGGTGCCTATCCAAATGTACCCGCTAGTATGTTTAATTAACTAAATAATAGTTGACTTTTTGGAATAAAAACGATGCATTTGTTATTACAATGAATTATACTCCACTTCACAGAACTATACGTAGAGATCTTTAAAAATGATAGCTGCCGTTGCGCATTTGGCCGCAACCTCTTCGCAGCCAGGTGTATGCAGGTCATATTTTGGGACATTTATACGTTCATCGCGTTCATCATTTATATATCAAATTAAAGCTATTTTTTTCTGTACCTGATAAACTACGTCTGCCTATGTAGAAGTGGCCGCAAAAGTGGTTGCGAGTCATTAAAAGTGTTTTTGTTACATTTATACGTTCATGGCGTATATTCATCATTTATATATCAAATTAAAGCTAATTTTTTTATGTGCATGATAAAATACCTCTCACCTATGTAAAAGTGGCCGCAATGGAAAGAAAAGAAGGAAAGAATATAATATTATATGTCATTTGTCAGACAATAACAATGGTTACCATGGCAAAGATAGATTAAAGTGAAAGAGAGTTAGCGCGTTAGTTATCTGTTTGTATTATACATTTTTGATAAAAAGGAAATAAAAACCATGATTGAAATTCGGTCTGCAAGACTACTTATTTAAAAGACACCATATGTAATACAAATAGGTATATTATGGGGTGGTATGAGATCCTCCTAATTCCGACTCGCACTTGACCGATTTTGTTATATTTTACAGGTACATACAGTCACTAGGCAGTTGTCGCAAAACACATCTGTAACTGTTGGACTTTCTGTCGGTGGTCTAGATGTGAAATATCAGGTATTTATTAAGTACTAAAAAAAGAAACGTTATTGATATATTTATAACTTTTATATTTTTTCTAACGAGCTTTTACCAGCGTAATCATTAATAAAAATATAGTTAATAATATTATCTATGTATATAAAAATCAATGTGTATGTATGTTCCCTATGGACACCAAAACGGCTGGAGCGATTTTGATGAAATTTTCATGCAATGATCAGGTTAGATTAGCGGGTGATCCTATGAAGTTTGATAGCGATCGGTAGTTAGAACGCGGGCAAAGCTCCGGCTACTGCTATTCAAATATAATCAATGTAATAATTTCATATCAATTGAGCTACCAGAAATTTGAGCTGATGCTGATGGGGCAGGAGGTGGATAGTGGGATGTTTCATTGACTTCGAGTAACTTCAAATTAACACCCATTAAGTTCGTTTTAACATATCCCATACATGAAACTAGGTGGGGAAAAGTGGAGTTATTCAATATTTAATACAAAACACACATTTTTTTTAAATTTCTTAGTGTAATAGTTACATAAATATAATTATTTTTTTATAAATTAAATTTTATTCTGTTTTAACAGGAAAGTGTGTTACGTCGTAATCCAGACATCGTGATAGCCACCCCGGGTCGACTTATTGACCACATCAGAAACACACCGTCCTTTGGTCTTCACTCTATTGAAGTTCTAGTATTGGATGAAGCTGATAGGTAATAGGGTGAAGCGAAAAAATATTTTTTTTTCTTAACTTAGGGGTAGAATTTGTAGCTTATAAAAAAATTAAAAAAAAATTTTTACTCTACATTTTGAGGTGGCCCACTGATTTTCAAAATACCTACATAATTAATTTAAATTTTAGGTTTAAATGAAAAAAATATTTTTCGAATGATTATCTTTCAAAACATTCAATAATTGACGAATATAGGTAGTCATTTTTTACCCAACTTTCATTGTAATATTGCATTATTGCAATTTTAAAAAAAGTTGAAAAAATAACATGTTACTTTTTTTTTGTATTACTATATTCGTGACATAATGATGAGATGATTTTAAAACATATATTGCTTATTTCAGCTCCATAACAATTAATTAAATATTATAATTAATCTTTGATATTTTCAGGATGTTAGATGAATATTTCGCGGAACAAATGAAAGAGATAATCCGTCAGTGTTCACCAAAGCGACAGACCATGCTGTTCTCAGCCACTATGAGTGAAGAGGTGAAGGATTTGGCTGCGGTGTCGTTGAACAAACCGGTCAAACTATTCTTAGATTCGAACAAGGATGTCGCCTTCAATCTTCGGCAGGAGTTTGTTAGGTGAGCGAAGAGTATATAATATTTTTTTGCTCACTTTGTCGTCATTATTTTCGTTTATTGTTCTTCCTCTAACTTAGAAATATGGACCGAACATTAGATTTCGGTTTCACCTAAAATTATTTCCGCGTCGGCCAAAAATCAGCCGAAACTTCAGCCGTGTCGAAACTCACAATCAGTGTTCTTGAATTGTCGCGCTTCATTCAGATGAATTGGAGAAACTGAGACGGAGATTGATCATTATAAATACGAAAACAGCTTACATAATTTACATACGTATATTTTTTAAGTTATATTTCTTTTGGGATGTTTGGAAAAGGTGATGAGAGTTAAATTTTTACGATGCGAGCGCACATCGACAGCCAAAAAGCGACATCATGAAGTTAGCTGAACCGTAACCATAGTTATTGTCTGACAAATGATATATTATATTCTTTCCTTAAATGGTATTCTAACAAAATATTATTGTTATATGCCTAATATGCGTTATTTCATTAATTTATCATTCCTTTTACAAACAGAGAGTAGTGACATACGGGATGAAATTTTTAGCTATTTTTGTTCTGTTACGCCGAAGAATTAAAATTCTTACGTACGTACATATATACGCACACGTTTTTTTTATTTATTAATCTGGTTGCGTTATCTGCGATCAGTTGTTTGAACTATTTTTTATGTCTATCTATAACATAATATATTATAGAATCCGTAAGGAGCGCGAGTCGGACCGCGAGGCGATGCTGGCGGCGCTGGTGTGCCGCACCTTCCGTGACCGCGCCGTCGTCTTCGTGCAGACCAAGAAGCAGGCGCACCGCCTGCACGTGGCGCTCGGCCTGCTCGGCGTCAAGGTACCAATCTATACTAATATTATAAAGAGGTTGTAGCGGGTAATCTCTGGATGTACTGAACCGATTTAGATGAAATTTGGTAAGAAGGTAATCTATGCATATAATAAATTCTGAGTCGAATCTGTACATTAAATATTTTTCGGAAAATCATATTGAAATTGTCATTATTATCGACGCAGAAGCCGAATCTATATTTTTATGAGTTGTCTGTCTGTCTGGTAACGCATCACGAAAAAACCACTGAACAGATTTTGATGAAATTTAGTATGACGATAGCTGGTTATCCGGGTCAACAACATGATAGTGTTTACTGAGTGGAGCGAAATTGAGTCGCTAGTAATCATAATAAAAAGGCAACCTTTAGTTGTAGGAAAAAGCAAAGTGAAGTGGAAGGGGTGTGAACAAATAACAGAGTTAGGAAAAAAAGTAATATATACATATTATGTATACATGTTGCTCTGGTACTGCTCAGATGGAGTGGATAGTGGATGTGTGTACTTCTTGTCCCTGGTACTGTTCTGATAGAATAGTGGATAGTGAGCAACTTCGTATTTTGAATTTATATTAGTAGTCCAAAAGTCCGATAATACTTTTCTTTATCCACAGGTTGCAGAACTCCACGGAGCCCTCAACCAGCCCCAGCGCCTGGACTCTCTCAAGCGCTTCAAAGACGAGCAGGTGGATGTGCTGGTCGCCACCGACGTGGCTGCGCGTGGTTTGGATATACCCGGGGTCAAGACTGTGCTCAACTTCACCCTGCCCGCCACGTTGGAACATTATATTCATAGGGTGAGTCGGTTTAATTATGTTTATAGATTTTATTTTGTAACTGTATCAATCTTATTTGATTTTGTCATTGTGTTAACTGATCTTCTTCCATATTGAGCTAAATGTATGTATGTAAATGTATGACTAACACAAACGTATTGTGTGTGTTTTTCGCTCGAAAAATTTATTTAAAAGATTTCTTAGAGATTTTTCACTTTTTTTAAACACCTGTTATCTTTGTACTTTATATTTGTTTGTGCAAAAAATTAGTTAAATCCAATAGTTATGAATAGAATTGTACGTAAAAGTACGAGTATTCACTATTGTATGAACGAATTTGAGAATTAACTGGCTTTCTAAGACTGTAATTTTCACAATAAAATAAAAAAATAATTTCATCAGGTTGGTAGGACTGCGCGAGCGGGTCGCGCGGGGGTTTCGGTGTCGCTGGCGAGCGAAGCGGAGCGCGCGCTGGTGAAGGCCATCGTGCGGCGTGCGCGGCGACCCGTCAAGTCCAGACAAGTGCCGCCGGACATAGTGGCCAAGTATAGAGACAAGCTGACCAGGCTGGAGCCCGAGATTGGTGAGTTATACGTAATATTATTAGTGACCTATCTTCGTTCCCCTCGGATGCGCCCTTAGATGCCTAACAGTTGCATATAGAGTACTGCCTGAAACACCGCAGAGTAAATACCGGCTCCGTGTAAAAACAATTCTAAAATTAGAAAAATTAATATATAGTTAAGTAAATAATAAAAGTCAGTGTCGGACCACTTCCAACTACAATAGTCTTAAGTACCGTTAGTTCTAAGCAAATATAAAATGTAATCGCCAAAAGTAAAAATATTATTAATGTAATAAAAAATGGCAAAGTCAATTAAAGCCTGTGGAAAAAAAAGAAAATTAGTTGCTTATGTTACTTTAGGTCAGGTGTATTAAATTTCATCCAAATCGGTCCAGCCATTTTAACATCACTAAATAACAAATATACACACAAACACATACATACTCTGACATTTGTAATAGTACTAGTGTAGTTATTTAAATTTTAATATAAAAGTATTAAAAATGTCATCATTCAAAATGAACCTATTTCGTATAATAATGTTTTTTTACTATAAGCAATAAGTATGTATATATTTACTTCACATCGTAATTTATATTCGCAGCCGCCATATTAGATGAGGAATATGCTGAAAAACAACTAAAGAAAATGGAAAAACAAACTGAGAAACTAGAAGGTGCAATAAAAAAAGAAGATGGTCCTAAATTTGAGACTAAACGTCAGCACGAATGGTTCCAGACGCCAAAACAAAAGAGGGAAGAAAAGGAAAGGCTTGCGTTGACTAAACACCCAGGGAAAGGTAAATTATTTTGTTACAATATATTCAAATATCATTGTGTTCTTGAAACATTATTTATTTTTATAATTGAAATATTTTTTAAACACTTAACATATTTTTATGCAGATAAAATACAAAAGGGCAAAGGGAAAAAACGTAAACATGACGATGATTCTGATGATGATGATAATAAGAAAAAGAAGAAGAAACAGACTAAACACACTCCCAAGGACACGGCAGAAGAAAGAGTGAATCGTGAGATGGAAAAGGTACTTATTTAACTATAAAATATAAAAATGTTAATTTATTAAATTGTTCGACCATTTATATTTTATACTATTAAATAATTTGATAAATTAAATATTTTATGCCAACAGGTAGCATTATTACAATCAAGAATGGCGAAAGGTAAAAAGAAGTTACGTAGAATACGTGCAGTTGACGACAACGATGATGAACGACCAGCTCAAAATAGGAACAATAATATGAACAAGAGAAAGAAACTAACCAACTTTGCAAACGATCTTACTGACACCTCTAAAGCTTCAACCAAACGGTTACGTTACGACGCCAATAGAGTACAAAAAGGCAAGCCTTTACAAAATGGCAGAAATATGCAAAAAGGTAAAGGCAAGGCAATGAAGGGAAAGCCGAAAGGTAAAACCTTCGGCAAGCCCCAGGCACCTAAGCAAAATCAAAAGAAAAATAAATAATTTTTTGTATGAATTACAATTATTATACATATATATTTTTTGGCGGCCGTTTAGAATTGGGGACTTGGCACCTAGCGGAGTGGGTGGTATTTCTGGATAAGGGACGTGATAGGGAGTCGAAATGTTAAATAAAAATTGTCCGCGAACGTATGAGTAAAAAGATATTGAGACTTAAAGTTACAACATTTCCATACATTATTTTGACATTACTACCATTTAGACACTTGGAGTCAAAACGTCACTTTCAATTGTCAAAATGATCTCCAGATGATTGTCTTTATTTGTACTTTGCGTGAAATTCGAATTTTCTAGTTTTCTAGTCATTTATGGCACTCGCCGGCCGCTACCGCGGCACGCTCGCTTCGCTCGCTCGGCTCGTGCGTTGTGGCAACTGTTCTAACCTAACCTAACCAAGATATGAGGAATAATAAATAAATAATCTTAAATGTTCTAACCTAACCTAACCCAGATATGAGGAATAATAAATAAATAAATAATCTTAAATGTTCTAACCTAACCTAACCCAGATATGAGGAATAATAAATAAATTATCTTAAATGTTCTAGATATGAGGAATAATAAATAAATAATTAAAAATATTCACAGATAAAAAAATTATTTTTTTTACTAAATGTACAATTGTAAAACAATATATTTTACATAAATCAAATAAAAAGGCATAAATGTATTTATAAAGTGAAAATAATATTTTTCTTTTTTTATTTATTAATATTAATATTTTACCAACAGAAAAAGCAAAAATAATCAAATATAATCTGTTGTCATTTAAGCGGTAATATAAAACAAAGTGTCAGTTTTGCTTTTGTCAAAATGTAAGATCATTTTGTTTGTGTTGTGAAATTATTAAAATATTAAATACAATAAAGCATTAATTGTTGTGAAAATGTGTAATGTACATAAAAAAGGATGCGTACTATTCGTTAAAGGTATGTTTATCTGTTGTAATCACTTATTTAGGTAAAGAAATGTATGGAAATGTGTTAGATATGTTATAACTTTAAGTCTCAATAACTTTTTACTCGTACGTTTCCTCCAAATATTTTTAATATATTTTGACTCTCTGTCACCTCTCCTATCTAAAAATACCACCCACTCCGAATGGTGGTAAAGAAATATATGAAAATGTATGGAAATGTTGTAACTTTAAGTCTCAATAACTTTTTACTCATACGTTCGCGGACAATTTTTATTTAACATTTCGACTCCCTATCACGTCCCTTATCCAGAAATACCACCCACTCCGCTAGGGGCCAAGTCCCCAATTCTGAATTTGTGCCTATTTTTTATTTATTTTTTCTCCTATTTTTTCCCTAGTTGAAATTTCACAGTTCGTGAATTTTTCATCGTCGTTTTTTTCATATTATATTGGACACACGCTTGTCAATCAAAAAGGGTCTTAGGGTACTTAGATCCTCAGTCCATAGAGAATCTTCGAATAGGTCTTAAAATATTACCATTGTCCAGCGGACAATATTTTAAGGTATGAATATCTAATAGGTAAAAATGTATTTTACGTATCAAAACATATTAGATTTCCTATGCGTCGGCTGGCACCGACTTCGAAAATATCTGATTAGGTATCTATTCTCAATGAAAACCCCCGTTTAGTTATTTTTTACATTTTAGTGCCTGGAAGTCGGTTTTATTTATTTTTTTGAAAAGTTTTTATAAAAGGTTTCAATAAAACATATAATAATGTACTTTTATAAAGTTTTATTAGTCAAAAGGATTGTCAATCTATACATATTATAAAATTTTAACTAAGCCGAATTTGTACATTAAATATTTTTTGGGAAATCTTATTGAAATAAACATTATTATCGATACAGAGGCCGAATCTATAGTTTTTAGAATTTTTATCCTTCTGTCTGTGACTGCATCGCAAGGATTTTATATATTCCATAAACAGGATTGTGCACTCACCAATAAAATCGAGCAGACAGAGAGGTGAGTTATCGGTAGCATTGTCTCTTTCTAGTAGGGTAACCATAATATTTGTTTGCTAGGAAAATCTAGGCAAGCTTTATCTAGTAACTAAGTAAAAGTGATAACTTCTTATTGAAGTAATTACTTCTTATGGGAGGGTAAACTGGTACGTAATCACTTCTGTCGGACGTCCTGACTAGTCCCGAGACGCACATATAAAAAAAGGCTCGTTTGGCTTCATAGTCACCGTGCGTATTTACTGCAATAAAAATAATAAACTACAAACTTAACCATGCTTTTCCACTGGTCTGGATTTCGTTTATATTCCTCTTCCTAGGTAATATCTAAATTTCGGTATAAAAATTTCATTACTTCTTTCAGAGATTTCGTTTATATTCCTCTTCTTAGGTAATATCTAAATTTCGGTACAAAAAATATTTACTCCAACCACCTTCATCCCTCTCCCTATTTAAATAACGTGAAACGTCACCATAATTTAAAAGTCAGTGTTGTCATCATAATAAAAGTAAAATTACTGATCGTATAAACACAATGTAACTAAAAAACTACAGTAGACAAAGTCACGCGAAATGCCGGTTTTCATCATTGGCATCATTGGCAGGGTTGTCACATTTTTTTTTATTTATAATCGTGTTTCACAGTTTCAAATTTTTTATTGATAGTACTTTTATGTAGGGTACTAGTAGGTACCATGAATATGATGTAAACAATAAAGTTTCGTTGTGAATCCTTTTATTATAAACAAAAATACAAAATACATATTAAAAATTAGTTAAAGTAGTAAAATTTTAATAACACAATGTGATTCTTTCGCGAATAAATAATGGTTTATTGATTATAGCAACAGTTACATTTTTGTTGAAGTAACATTGTTATAACAATCATTATAGGGTACTTCACTTGTTAAGCATATGAAGTTCCGTCCACCTTTTGTTATACGTTAATGATAACAATACATATTACCATTGTACACAGCCTATAACGGTACCTACACGTAGTATGAACTATTTTATTATTATTATATTAATAAACGATACAATTAATAAAAATGGGTCACTGCTGAACGGTGTGTCCCAAGTTAGAGTAGTGCAACTTGGGCTGGCTACCTCCCCTGTCTCGTCCCGCGGTCCCTGCACGATTGAGCTATCTAGACGCCTCCGTTGGCCCAAATACTATGGTTAATATAATTACAGATAATTATAAGTAAGTAATGGTAATAGCTGACGTTACATACATAAACATTTTTTATTCACTTGTACTATGATGAATTAAGAGATTACTGGATAAAAGAACTCGTAACAATTTATTTTTTCTAGGTTATAAACTACCAATCCATTTATTTATTTACTCTAGCAACATTAGAAAGAGAAAGCGCTACCGCTAAGACCCCTTTCGCTTAGCTCGTAAAGTGAATGATAGGGAAAATCAACTTTATGTCTGCTTAACAAGATATATTTTAGTTTGTGTTCAATGTGCAGTGCACAATCCTCGTTTATGGAACATATATAAAATCCTTGCTGCATCGCGAGAAAACCACTTGACAGATGTTGATGAAATTAGGTACGATGATAGCTAGATAACCGGGTCAACTTAAAGGATACTTTTACTGCGGGAAAATATCTCATCTCTGAGAAATCTATACTAAACGTTAAAACGTAACGCTAGTAATAAGCAATAAAAAGTGTCGTGATATTCGAAATATTACCCTTTTTTAGTTTTTTCCGATTAGGTCTCACTACTCTCGCTAAGTGTGCCGAGAGGCGAGATGTGAGATAATCAAAACTTGTAATACTTGGAACTTCGTTCCAATACTTTTTTTTTTGTATTAGATATATTTAATTATTCATTTTTTATATTTAATGATGGATAAAATATGTAAAAAATCTAATATAAAAACAATTTTTTAATAATATATTACAACTATATCCACTTCTAGAAAAGCCGAAGTGGACTTCGCCGTTTCTTAACCTGTAAACTGAAATGAAGCTATATAGACCAAGTCAACTACACAAAAAAATAAAAATATATGTTAATGTAATTTTAAATAATAATTATATCTAATATAACTTTATTTTTAAATAATGAATTCAAAAATAATTAATTTATATTTTAATACATAGACAAAATAATAGACCTAGGCAATAGAGAAACAGTGTGGCGTCGTCCTAGCGGTGTTGTTTATGACCGACATTTTCCTATAGAAATTGTATTTGGATTAAAATTGCATTAAATTTGGCAATTTTACAAATTACCGTATTATTTTATGTGTAATTTAATACGAAAGCATGTTCTATTAAAGAGGTGATATAAATTTATTAGCTTCTAGATCATCGTGGTGCATTATTAAGCTTAGTTTTTTTCTCGTCCAATATAGCGGGAAATCTACATTGTGAGTTGTGACGCGCACAAATTCTGATAATTTGTCGGGTGGAACAGTGAAGTGTCGTAACATATTGTTATGTGGTTATTTACGCTCTGACAGTGGATCTCTGTAGTATATTTAGATTTGACAATGTCGGATGAAATGGCGGTTAGTGATAAAGCTTCACAAGAAGAACATAAAGTAATAAGCGAAGAGACTGAAGCTGAAGGTCTGGATGCTGCAAATCCTTTGGAACCTGTGACAGAGGTATCAGCTCCTAATGAAGAAGCTATATCTGAACCTAAGGAAGGTAATTTGACTTTCACATAACCTCTTATCTAGAATGTTGACATACATACATCTTCTTTTCTTATTTGCTAATTTCTATATCAACATATTGTATGACTCTTGGTTATTAAAAGTTTTGTAATACTTTTATTATTAATGATACCTAAATGTTTCAAATTTCATTAATCAGTGATTAGATTATACTTTATATGAAATACATTCATGGTTAATTATTCTGTATTAATTTCATTTTTTTATGAAATTTTACAAGAAAATATACAAGGTAATAATACTCTTATTTGATATTATTTAATTGTCTGAGCTGAAGCATCGCAAATAATATGAATTTGAATTTAAAATGCTTAATTATCATTTTATAACATCAATTAGCTTTAGCAATTACTATAATGAATCTATTATTATGTTTGAACATGCAATCCATTGACCTGTGGATTGAATATACTCATAGTAAAATTAGAAAAAAGAGTATGCATTAATTTGATATTTTATTATTTTCAATGTAAGTTGACTAAATCATACTACTACCATAAATGCAAGAGTTTGTATGTGTGTGTTTGTGACTCGTTCACCTAGAAACGGCTGGACGGATTTAAATGAAATGTTGTACACTGATAACATACTGTTAGGCACCTAGGGATGTACTTAAGACTTAGATTCGAACCCAGAACCTCTTTTTGTTCTGTTCACCTAGGGATGTACCCGAGGAAGGCAAAGATAGCTAGAAAGATATTGGTTAAATGTGCCAAAATAAAAAAGTGTTTTTAGTTGTATATGATGTGTATGATAGATTATGTATATGAAAGTGGAACATTGAATATGAAGAAATAGTAGAAAATTTTATGAAAGAGAAAGAAAGTGCTTTAGAAGATTTAATTAGAAGTTTGGAATAATTTAATGGCTGATAAATAATTAAAAATTTGAGGTAAAGCTGAAAAAGTCTGTATATGACTGTCAGTCAATAACAAATTTAAAAGATGTAATATGGATGATTTTATTTTACCATGCAAGGATACAAATATATAAAACTTAAGAAAGAAAAGAATAATTTGTAGCAAAAGTTTTTTTGCTGTTGTTATGGTAAACTTTACTGCAAATTATATGAATATCATTAATATTAACAATAATTATTGTGCCGTTAAATCTAAGATATGATGAATTATACATGACAACAGTTTTTACATCTGTAAGCTTTTTTAGATGTCAGAAATATTTTAAAAGCCGTTTGTTGGTAGATTGGACAAATTATTTCAAAATAAATGAAATTTTAACACATCCCAGTTTTTTTTTGTTGTCAGTTCTCATGTTGGGTTTGTTTTTGTAGCCTTAAGACTTAAATTTATTGATTGTAATCTAAACTTTCAGTGCATTTGAAATGCGATTGCAATTTTGTACTTTATACAAATTTATAAAAACTAGCGACTCACCCTCGCTTTGCTCGGGATAGTGCCTAGGTGATTTTTTAAATTGACATAACTTTATTACTTATGAGCCAATCGACGTGAAACAAATACTAAGTGTTATGTGAAGCTTACCACAACACATCAGCGAAAACTGCACCCAAATGGGTTAAGTTGTTTCTACAATTAGCATGCACAAACACACAGACAAACATACTAAAAGTCATTGTTTTGGGTTCTATTGCAATAATAAAGACCACCAATAATAATTTTTCTCAAATATCTTTCATGTGAAGACAGCGATCATTTAAAATTTTACTATATGTATAGCTTTTGATAGAAATAACAGTAACATGGCTATCTTTTGTTTATTTTTTTGCATTTTGTTGTTTTATTTATTATTTGTAATGATTTCTTAATAATTCATGCAATTTTTGGGTTTTTATTTATTGAAAGTGTACTTTATTTTTGAAAGTGGATGATTTTAATAATACATATGGTCAATATTCATTTTGACATTGTGATGTTTTGTGATTTATGTACTGTAATATTTATACGAGCACTGCTTTGAAATGTTGTTTAAATGAGAGACTACTAAAATTCTCATATTTGAGCATTAGTAAGTCAATTTGTTGTTAATAAATATTTATTATTACTATATGTATAACAGTTTTTTTATAAAAATTAAATATTATTATTATATTCATTCCTAGATAAACCAGAACAACCGGAGCCAACAGAAGAAATTGCAGAATCTGAAGAGCCTGTTAAAGATGAGGCTGAGGTTAAAGAAGAAGTTCAAGAAGAAAAGGCGCCTAATACGGAACAGTCAAATCCTGATGAAGAAGTAGCGAAAGGCATTAAGCGTAGAGCCTCGGCAGCGTTCAGTGATGGTGCTGATGAAGACTTTAAAGGCTTTGATAGTAAAGAGAAGAGTGATTTAGCCGATTTTAGTAGAATTGTTGGTAAGTATACATTAACATTCAAAATAGGTGTTACATGAATACAGTTTGTATTAACTAATTAGCGACACAAATCCTAAAAAAGAACACATAAGACATGTAATATTTACATATAGTGAAATATATAATGAAAAATTGTTCCTATTCAACTTATTTTGTATGGTTTTATATATCAATTATTAATGGCGAAGGGATGTTTAAATTTCAACAATATAACATGATTTAGGCGACTTTTTCTTTATTTTACAATACATGTATTAAGGACTTTAGTGTACTTGCATGTCAGTATTAACATTTATTATCCTAATTGTACAAGCGACATGATCACACGAAACAAGTCTTACTCGTTTAGTATATATGTATGTAATTAGTTGACTATAACTGTACATTTTACTTGTTATTGTGACGATTTTGTTTTATTGCTGACCTGTATGAGAAATTCATAACTCAAAATTAACATGTAAATGAATGTGAATGGTGTTATTGTTAATTCCATGCTTAGCGGAAGAGGAGCGAAGGGTAAAACGGAGAACTTCCATTTCTAGTGATGATGGTTTTAAAGGGTTCAACCTTATTGAGTGCAACAACTTGACTGGATATTGTCAGGTCTTAGGTAAGACTATGGCATAGTTTATTGAACTCTTTTGGGGTTTTAGTGAAACCCGCACGATTACATTAGAATTTTTTTTTGAACCCTTTCAGCTCGCTTCTTATATTGGAATTTTTTTATTTTTATTTAAGTTAGTAGTTCTGCCAACAAAAAATTTGGGTTCCATTTTTAAGATTTTTTTTTTAAGTTTGGGGTGTATTGTTTTTGTATATATATATATTAATTCGATTGTAAATTGTGTTCTTTAGAGAAATTTGAATATTTAATTGGTCAATATCAATTAGGTGTGGATCGCTAAGTATAAGGACCATGTAGTGTTGCTTGCTTTTTTTTAATAAGTTCAATTATTAGCTTTTCGTGAATTCCTTTGAGTGTTATTCACAATTCCTTATAAAGGTTTTGAAATCCACATTCATTTGAAAATTTGACTTTTATAATATAATATATAACTGATGCCCACTAATACTTTTTTGTAGTGTCCTCTTAATTTTATTTGCATTGTGTAGTTTTGTAACTAACCATAGGTATAGAACCGATAAAGTGTAATTCGTAAATGGAATATTAGATATTAAATCATACATGGTTTTTTGAGTGAGGGTCGGAGATTTAATAATTTTGCCCATACGTTTTGTTCTTTTACTTTCCTCTCTTCCCCTCTTTCGTTCTCCCTAATTCCCTTCTTTCATCCTTCCCTCTTTCGTCCTCCCTTCTTCCCCTCATTCGTCAAACTTCCCCTTTCCCTACAAACCTCGTCCTCCACTACTTTCATTTCCATTCCTTTTGCTTGAACAAGGTTATTCAAGGGATACCATAAGTGTTGTGCACATACTGCAAGTAACTGCTTACAATTATAACTAATGGGTTCGTTATAACAATTTTCCAAAAATTCTAAGACCCAATTTCTCAAAAAAGTACTTCATTTCAGCCCTGAAAACCCGATTAATTTTCAATTAAGTATAAAATTCGATTTTTAGTTGATATCAAAACAAAATAGCTAGTGAATTGAGTTGGCAAGTGACGTCACAGTTTGCTAAATCATACGAGGATTGCATTTTTCCAGCTCATAAAAGTATATCAAGTGTATAAAGTAATCGTGGTACTCGTTTCCAGAGCGTCTAGAAGCTGAAGTGTCGACCGCCGCGAAGTCATACACGCCGCTACGTAGCGTGAATGCGTCGCCCGCGCTCAGGGCCAGTAAACGCGCGCGCCAAGACACAGGTGGGTGTACCAAGTGGTCTGAACATCTCGAGGCTGAAGTGTCGGCATTCGTGAGGAGCTTCTCTGATGAAGAGGCGAAGCCAGCGAAACGGCAGCGTCAGGGGACTGGTGAGAACTAGTCTTAGATTTGTCTTGTATGTATGTAGTGTGTTAAAAAACCCTGTCCGACCCGTGAAGGTATTATTAGGTATCGCGATTCGATTATATTTATGTAAAAAAAATCAGATTCCAAATAAAAAAATTTACCCCGTTTAAAAATTTAAAATATTTCATAAATTGTGAAACTTACATAGCAATACTGGTGACGTCATAAGGTCATGAACGCAGTTGACCTCAAAGTTCAAACTACGCTTATCAATTTGTATTTTGTAAGTAGGTAGTCTGTTATTCGATGAGCACGCCAATGCGATGGCTGTGATGGAGATGTTGTTCCATGTGACGGCCTCCACGAGTGATACAGGCTTGACAGCGTCGCAAAAGGTTATCACGGATTATTGGCGTGAGGATTTAGCGTCGACCACACATATTCATTCCGGCTGTTAAAGACGCCTGTTCTATGAAAAGAACATTCATTGGTGAAAATAACCCTTTTTAAAAATTCAGCGTCCTCTTCAATTTTCTTTAAAATCCATGCCCAATATTCCACTCTAGGTTCATAATTACTGGGTAGTAAAGCTTGGATACGACGGTAGTGGAAAGGATGCTGGCCATCTTCTTTTAACACTTCCCACACCTGAACGTGGTTAGTGCCCAATTGTCGTGCCACAGAACGAGTACTTCGGGTGGGGTCCTCATTAAATAACACAAGCACCTGCTCTTCAATATCCATGTCGATACGCGGTGTCCTTGTATCAGCGTGATGCGTTTCGTAGCCGTGAACACTGCCCGTGGTGTACATACGATTGTGAAGACGTTGAACCGCACGCTCTGACGGCACCGTGGTACCATGCGGAACTGCGAAACGCACTTCATAGTCTCTATGAACCTCTGCATAATTGCAGTCATTCCTCCCCAAACACATGATCATATTACAGTACTCTTCATTCGTATACGACATAGTTAAAACTCAATTTCTCCAACACGTGCACTCGGATGCAATGTTTCGCGAAACTGACATAATTTTAAGTGAAATAAATAATAAGCAAACAAATAGTGATCGTAAGTATGTAATTCAAGGTCGGGATAGCCTCTACACGTGCCGAGCGGTACCTTTGACAACGGGCGGCGCATCGTCTGTCGGCACACATCAAATATGCCGCCGCCACATGATTAACATAATACCGCCGAAATTAGTTTTGTACATTTATAAAATTTCCTAGAATTGTGGGGAAATTAGCAAAATAAATGGACTTTTTAAATTTCATTAATATGTTTACTATCATGAATATTTTATATTTCTTATTTTATTTCGTCATGTGATTGGGATACCTATACACTGGTTTCCGATCGGACAGGGTTTTTTTAACACACTGTATATGGGGAATGTATGTATGTATGTTTGGATTTTGATTGTTAAGTGTAGGTGGTGAATAATAGATGTCGGGTTTTAGAATGATGAAGTATTTTAGGTTCGGTTTTGTAGAGCGTAGTCTCTGTCACTCATAGAATCTATTTTGAATTATGTAAACAAAGCTTTTAGTTTAGAACATACATAAAATTATGTGACATCTGAAAAAAAAATGTTTTGTTTTATGTTTATTAAGCATAGAAAAGGTTTTAATAGATACCGGACTGTTAGTGCTTTGTGTGACAGAGACAAACAAAGCTAGCCGATTATCTCTTTCTGAAACTCGATGTGTATATTTAGTGCCGTGTACAATGTACTGTACATGTGTAAATGTAAGGGCCTATGCATACTACGCGTCATAAACGCGCCGACGACGCGCGTTTCATAAATGCGCTGGTAAACTTAAAAAAATATTCGACGAATTGAGAACCTCCTTCTTTTTGGAAGTTGGTTAAAAAGGATATGCATACATAAGTGTTTTCATAAACGTCGCTTGCGCATATTTTGTATTGATAAACTTAAAAAATGTAAATTAATGTAGATAAACGAAGGTGCGTGACGAACAGGCGTTAAACGCGTACCGATAGCGCTTTAAAATGTTATCGTGTGCATATGCCCTTTGAGTACAAATATTTTCTTATTGTCGATAAAGCTGTATGCTGATACACATTGTTTGAGGTATTGTATTATAGAATTTTTAAAGTAGCTTAAATATAAGATTATTTATTGTGCAGTTGAAGAAATTTTGATTTGTTTTCTCATGTTAATAATAAAGTGATTTTATGACTTATGTTTTAGATGGATCGAGACCGTCATCGGCGTTGTCATCTAGATCTGATGGTGATGGTGCGATGTCTACAGATGTAAGAAATTTTTAAATAACTGATTTAAAAAATATATTTTTGCGACATATTATGTATATATACAATGACCGAAAACGGGCTTATGTTATTTTTTGATTGTATTTTTGTTCCTTTGTGTTTTATGAGCTTTTATATGGCTTACATAATATTCTCCGTCGATTATTATAAAAAAATACCTGTGTTTATTGAAGTCTTAACATTGGTCAATTTCTGCTCTTGCACATCATATATCTATCTTTCACTCTTACTCGAGATAAAAATCCAGTAAATCCTTATCATTTGATTCCTACACCATTTTTTTTAAAGTCGTTAAACTCACCAGTTATATAATAAAAACCTTATACATAAACACTAATCTAATCCTTGTTTTCCAGCCGTCGTCATCCCCCGCGGCCCGGGGCCGGCGCCCTACGGCTGAGATGTCATCTCCGCTGCTCCGCGTGCCCCTGGAGCGCGGCTGGCGGCGCGAGCTGGTGTACCGCGCGGCCGGGGCCTCCGCCGACGCTGCAGGCAGGCGTAACGCTGATATATACTATTACACGCCAGCTGGGAAGAAGCTGCGGTCTACTAGGGAGGTGGGTAGTTGTTGGATATGGTTAGATAGATAGGGAGAGAGATGGACGGACAGAAATAGAATTTATTGCACATATAAGTACAAAAAATGAAAAAAGATCATGTTACAGATAACATTCTTTATACATTGGACCTATTTAGAACTGGTGTCCCTAGGTGCTGAAGAAACCTTTCATGATCCCATGAATACAAGTGTCAGACCCCTGCTGGTCGTCAGCGGGCAGGGGACTGTCTTATTTTATATTAAATTATTACTTAATTATATTAAAGTGGAACCATATCACGGGTGTTGCGCTTGCGCATACTACTACCCCTGCGCGTACCTAGATGCCTAACAAAAGCCTGTATTACTACAAATTATATTCAATCCTAGTAATACTTTTCATTTAAATCTATCCAATTGTTTCAACGCTAAGGAGTAACAAACATATGAACACACACATACCTCTGTACTAAATGTCCATTGTGTGAAATTTTTATTTAAATTTTCTATGATATTAGATTTAAAATAAATACCTGATTGTTAATATAGATAGATAAAATAATGAGGCAATTTCTAACATAAATATTGAATTTTATTTTTCAGGTTTCTGAACAATTATCTGGCACTGGCCTTACATTAGAGAACTTCTCTTTCTTTAAAGAGCCCTTGGGTATTGATGATCCCGAAAAAGAAATCATACGGTGAGCAATAGAAATGTTTATTAAAACTTTTTTGTTTAGTTTACAAGGGGTTAAAATTGTCTTGAAACCCAAATGTTATAGTTTAATAAAAAAACATGCGGCCTATTTAAAATGCTATAATATAGTACATGTAGTTATAAAGCCAGAAATAGAAATATTTCAATACCTACAGAGAATAACATTTTAACTGAGTACTGTGCCAAATCAACTTATTTAGTAATTCGTAATTGTTGGCCTATAAGCTCAATTTCAATTACCTTTTAACCTGTGGCATTTTGGGCTTTTAATATTCATACAGCAAAATAACGTGTAACAATCAATAATTATAAATTGTATATATAATTATTTTCAGAGATGCAAAGGTCATTCGACGCGTGGAGTCCCCCGTCCCGGCCGCGCCCGCCCCCGCCCCCCGGCGCGATGGGAAAAGAACACCAAAACCCAAGCCGCCAAAAGGGGCCAGCCCAGAGCCCGCCACGCCAAAGTCACCGCCAGCTAAGATTAAGGTAGTTGTAATTTAATTTTTTAGTCATTTCTTTAAGAAGTACTTGTATATTGAAATTAGTAGGGTAGAATTATTTTGGAATTTTTGGAAAATAAATATGTATAGGCAAAGCTGACTAAAGTGCCTTTGTGAAACAAAATTTATTGTATGCTGTTCTTCATAATATTTAAATGGTTATACAAGAATTTTAATTTGTTGAAATCACACATTTTTGCCCGTGACTCGTTGATAAAACGTGATGTGTTAATCTAGAATTAATTAAGTCAAATCATATATCTAACGTAGCTATATTATTTATTTGGAAGACAACAGTATTTAGTTACATAAAAAAACAAAACTTTAATTAAGTCTACAGCATACAAATTCTTAAGGTAGATATTATGCATGTTAGTTTATTTAAAATTACATATAATATTAATATATTTGATAATGGTGAATGAATTGTTGTATTTCTGCTAACGCAGGTGAAGTCCGTGGGTTCTCGCCTCAGCAGCAACGGCACCGCGGCCCCCAAGCCGGTGAAGAAGCCCCCGCCGGGCCCGGCCGCCCCCGCGCCCGCCCCCGTCCCCGCGCTCATGCCCGCGCCCCTCGCGCCCCCCGCAGCCCCTGCGGACAACAACAACACGGCCGCGTGGAAGAAACCTAAGTATGTATGGACGAGAGCATGACCACTTACTGGCGATTGACTTTGACTTATTGAAGTCACAATTTAGTCTGTGTTTAGTGTTTATAGAAATATAATATCAATAGAATGAAACTTAATTATGTAAATACTTTGAAGTAATTGGAATAATTCTAAAATAGCCAGTAGGGATTAAAATAGCCAATATTTTATTTTTTGATGGTTTTATATTATTGTTGATGATCAAAATCAATGTATCTTGATGAAAATAATGCATTGATTTTGATATGTTTTTTTTTGTGAAAATTGATAAACGTTTTTTTGAGTGGTTCACGGTGAATTGGTCACTATGGTCGTTTGGACGGTTTATTTTGACAATGACATTATATTTGTTATTTAATTATATATTCATGTCATATTATTTTTTGTTTAAATATAATACGGAATATATAATTTGCATAAATCAAGTTGTTTAAAAAATATTTTCATATCAGGATTTGTTAAATTAAAAACTTAAATTGGACAAAAAAAATTAACGTGTTTATATTTACAATATTTTTTATGTATTCGTAAATACTACCGTCGCGTACATTTTAATATTTTCGTAAAAATATTTAGTGTTACAGAGCTTAGGTTAACTGATATAAAGTCAGTTAACTCTTGCCACGTTTGAAATTACAAAAAAAAGTTACACATAGTGGTACAAAAAACATTCCGGTCGCAACCGAGGGTTAATTGACATGTGGCAATTAACCCTCGCGTGCGGGTACTGAGCGCGTGCGGCGCAGGTAACACTGTGGTACGGCAGGGGCCCGCCGCCGCTGCAGCCGCGCCCGCACCCCCAGCACCCCAACGCGCCGGCCGCCCCCCACACCCAGCACCCCCAACACCCCCCGGCGGAGCGGGCGCAGGGGGCTCACCATCGTCAGGTAATTAAAATAAATCTATACATATAATAAAAATGTAACGGATCGCTGTCTGTACATGAAAGAAATATGAGAAAAAATATTATTGGGACCTTTATCAACGCAAATGCACCCGAAACAATGATTGTTAGAATTTTTGTCTGTTTATCTGTTTGTCTGTGCGTCTGTGCACGCTTATCTCAGAAACGGCTTATCCGATTTAGATGTGGTTTTCACTAATTTATTATGGTAAGCTTCACTTAACATTTAGTGTTTGTTTCATGTCAATCAGTTCATAAATTTATGAAACTGAAACTTTACTAAACACAATATAATAACACAGGCTACTTTCTATCCCGGAAAAATATAAGGTTCCTGAGGGATAGATTTACTTTTGTTTTTCTTGAGGCGAAGCGAGGGTGAGCCGCTAGTAAATAAATATGTTGGGATATTAACACACAGCACCATCTAGTTCCATGGTAAGCTACGAGGCTCGTGTTATGGATACCAGATAGTTGATACACTACACATATATAACTTTAAATACATACATATTATAAACATAAACACCCATAACTGCAGAACAAACATTGCTGGCACAACAAGTAGGGTCACTACAATCTGAGCCAAGCGTGTCGTCAAATGAATTTTATTTCTATATATATAGCATTTGCTTCTATAAAACAAAATGTATACAATTTGTATATGTATATTATATTGAAAGGCGCATAAGCGCCTTCAACAGAAGTATTTCATGACTTGGTGTGGTGGGTTATACCAACGGGCGAGAAAAAAAAACTTAATTTTTAACTGAGATTAACGAAATAATAATTTATTACAAACAATATAATTAATTAAAGTAATAAAAATTGTTAATGCCTATTATAAAATTATATTAATTTTCTAGTAAATTTGCCGGCTGAAAAAACTGACGGCTATTATAAAAAAACATTTGTCTCGAGAGTATCTGAACGTTGTATTATTTTTTACCAACTGTTGCATAAATCTCACGCGAGGGGGAGAGGGGAACCACCAAATCTCACTAAATCTCATCTAGGAGGAGTATTAAATTGATGTATGTCCCATACCTGACCGGTTTCGGGGTCAGAAGATCACCACGATTTAAATACAAATTTTTTTATTCAGCATTAAAATATTACAATTGCTTTCTGAACGTCATGAGTCCACCAACAGTTCGGAAAGAAAAAGCCTCAGACCTGAGAAGAACTGATGAAAGAAACTTGGCCGGTTAAATATTATTTCAGTATCTTTTTTTATAAAGTTAAATTATAAATTACAATATCTATATAAAATTGATTTAGCCTGAAGGCGATCACTTCAATAACATCCCAAGGAGTGCCATTTTCTACAAGATCATGAATGAATAATACTAAAGTTTATATTGCCAATGCAACAGTCGCAGCAGCCGTGCTCGATGTCGTGCGGGCGCGGCGCCGTGCCGTCGCTGGCGTGCGCCGCCTGCCTGTGCCTGTACCACCCCGCCTGCGCCGGCTACGCGGCCGCGGCGCCCGACAGCTTCCTGTGCAAGGTAACGGGCGCGCCCGAGTGCGAGGCGGACTGACCATGTCTGTCCAAAACTTGCTAGGTTCTCTGAGACATGCAGGTTTCCTCACGATGTTTTCCTTCACCGTAAGGCAAGTGGTAATCGTGTTGGAAATAATTCGCACATGATTATAATACCAGAGGTGCGAGACCCGGGATTTGAATCCGCTTCACTCGGTTTCCCAACTATAAACGTGATTATGTATGAGGAGTTAATATCTACACTAATAGAGTTAAAGTTTGTTAGTTTGTATGTACGAGTTAATCTTTGAAACTACAGATTCGATTCTAAATATTCTTTCACTAATAGGAGGCTATATTACCGCTGAGCGCTATAGGTTATTTTTTATTGTGACAAAAATGTTGTTATTTTCAGAAACCATAATAACTTTAATCGAAGTCAGAAAAAAAACTGTTGTGTCACCATATCACCTATTGTTAAGCATTAAAAAAATTGAGATGTCAAGATCAATTATAAAACTATTATAATTTATTTATAGATACACAATCCCAGTTGTGTTTAGGTAATTATTCTAGTTGAAGTAAATATACAACAATGTAAATTAAACCTTAAATGCAATGCTTAAAGTTGTTTTCACAAAAAAATAAATTGAAAACGCGCTCAAATGTTCAAATGAACGCTCATTCGGTGAGGACATTTTTTGTCACCGATTGTGTATTTAGTAATTTGATTGATGGATGTCAATTATAAATATGAAGATGTGTGATGTGTTAATATATATTGTGTATGCAGAATTGCCGTAAGCCGTCTGCGTCGCCGCCCCTGGAGCCCCCGCCGCTGGCGCAGAAGCCCGCGGGGGCGGGGGCGGGGGCGCGGCGCCCGCCCGTGCCCGCCAAAGTGCCTAAGCCGAATGATAAGCGTGTCTTGTTGAGGATGAAGGTGAGTTTTGAACATCTACGTAATAACAGTCTGATCATATTGGCCAAAGACCTAAATACCATAAAACTTCACATTTGTAATATTTGACAATAATAGCCAGTCACCCTTTGTTACGCTCGGGTTTTTCCCTAGTTACGTTTTAACGTTTAGTATAGATTTCTCAAGAGATGAGATATTTTTCCGCAGTAAAAAGTATCCTATATGTTGACCCGGATAACCAGCTACCAAATTTCAACAAAATCGTCATATGGTTTTCTCGTGATGCGGTCACAAACAGACAAAAATTCTAATAACTATATATTCGGCCTCTGTATCGATAATAATGACTATTTCAATAAGATTTTCCGTAAAATATTTAATGTACAGGTTCGACTCACTTATAATTTTATTATATATATAGATGAACAAGAAAATAAAAAAAAATTAATACTGACTTACTGAATTAAGGTCGTGTTCGTTTTCCGCTCTACAAGTTTTTTTTCTAGTTAACAAATAAATACTTTGCAATGACATGGAATATTCATTTATAATAATAATTTGGATTTTAGTATCAACCATACATACATACATATATTGACTATGAATTTCTTATAACAACCAGGTAGCGGGCGGAGGCCCGGACGGTGAGAAAGTATGGGCGGTGGCGAAGCCCGGCGCGGCGGCGGCGGGCGCGGGCGCGGCGCCCGTGTGCCGGCCCGCGCTGCCGCAGTCACTCGCCGTGCTCAACGGCAGGAGGTTCATCGTTGTGTCCAGGGCCTTGCATCAGTAATGTTCTATGTTCATCTCTTTTTTAAATACCTCTTTTTTTCTTTTTTTGTTGGGTAATATATTACACAATTATGTCATCTGTATAATAGATAGTGACGTAATGATTGGAAAAGCCAGAAAAACCCAACGGAACTTTTCCCATCTTAATGCGGTGTTACGGGATCATTTATGGACTCAAGTACAACTATAACCATGGGGCTCTCCCCATGATTCCACAGTCCACTCTGCTATCAGAGACCAGGAATGCACTACCTTTATGTTATTTATATATCTACACTACCATATTATAAAAAAAAACGTCTGATCCATTTCGATCACAGTGGCTTATGTCATTGAGACTATATTTGTACAGAAGTGTGCTACAACGCCATAATGTCTACACCGTTCGAGTAATCTCATCGGAAATTGATACATATTGGTATTTGAATATAAAAAATATGTTCGCATAATCTATTTTTGTTATTTACTAATAGGTTTTATTAGACTCAACCACACAGACGCGTGGTCAGGTACAATTAACAGATCCAGATATCCTGGATTTGAATCCCAGTTCAAACCAAATGTAGTATTGAATCTTTCTGTAAAAAAATTCTCAATAAGTTGATATTGTTACACCCCCTGTGCCGAAGTAGAGCACTGCACCTCTCACCGAGAGTGTGTTTCGTCCCACTGGAATTTGAGAGTGTATGAAAGGGAGCACGTTGTTGCGCATACGCATTTAACTATAATATCTCATGCGCACGAAAAATGACTAGATCTAGACTATATCTAGAATGACTGGGCTAGTCTGTGTGTTTGTCCGTCGTGGCCGAAATCTAATAATAATTATTATTAAATTACATTGGATATAGGTGTCCATGCTTATTAACAGAATTTTCTACTAATTACTTTTAACAATTTTTGCAATTCTATCAAAGGTTTATTTCATCCATATTTTATTTAACATATCTCCTTTACAGATGACCGGAGAATAAACACGAAAATAGAGACTTGTGGTTGGATCGACGACTTTACATCACAATAATTGTAGCCATCATTTTAATTTATATTTATTTTGCATTTATAAGAACGCATATATAATAGCCGGTGTGATATGAAGTTGTTTTTAAAATGTTTTGAAAGTTAAAAGGAAATGAGAACAAATGTCAGATTAAAACATTAATCTTTTGTATAATATGTTGATTTTGATATATTTAAGTCCCATTAATTAATATGTATAAGATTTTTACATGCGCCATGTAAGTTGATACAAAATGACGCTTGTCTTCTCAGAAGCTTTTTATTCTGTGTGATATATGATAATACTATATACTTGCGGCACAGTGTACTAATTCATATAGACCAATGAAGGCATCTATACAGGGTATTCGAACCCGGTTGAAGTACCCCCGACTGTCATACGCACTTTTTATATGACACTCGGGAGACGGCTTTAGGGTTGACGGATATGTCACAAAATGGGACTATACTGTATTAACTTCAAAACCACTCACTCACTCTCACTGTAAAAAGGTACTGTATGAATATTTATATATACTGTGTTTCCTTTGCGGTTTAAATTAATCACCTATGTTTCTATTATCGGGGAGCACGGTAGTGCCCCCGCCAAGTCGAGCTTTGATTTACCAGAGGTAATACTTCCTTAGATTTAGGCGAATGTTTGACATTTTAAATAAAACTATCTTTTCTCTCTCTCCAGCGACCATGATTGCTTTTACTAAGTGTAAAACATTCGAAACGTCGGGAAACCAAAAATCAAAATATATCCGCGAAATAATCCAAAAAGATGGTTTTATTTAAAATACCAGCAGTACATATGGATATTTAATTTAATTTTTATATCTGTATCTACATAGTTGCAATAATCAAGATGTCATTTTTATTGTTTCTTCCCAGTATTTTCTTTTATATATATAATAAATGTAAGGTAATAGATGTAAATGTTTATAGTTTGCTATATTTTATGTTCAGTTCTGTACATTGGATGGTCACTCAGTTTTTTGTATTTCCCGGGCGATTGTTAATTAAGGTTAGGTTTTACTGTCAAATTGAATATTTAAAAAAAAATGCCAGTCACAGTTGTATTTCAATTGGTCATTAAGAAAATGCATTTTGACTGAAATTTGTACAAAATAGCGTCAAATTGTGATAGTTGTATTTTATGTTCTAATTTAAGTAATAAGTGCTATGTTACGTTTCTATATGGCTCTTGTATTAAAGAGCTTTATGTTAAAAATGAAAACGTATTAAACTAAATGTTATTTTTTTTTGTTTTATTGTTAAGTATCCTAAAGGATTGGTGAGGTAAGTGATTGAGTTGTTTATTTCTTATTAGTCTATAAATAATACGGTAAGTGCTTTATAAAATTATTTAATTTGTACGCCGTGAACCACTCAAAATTAGTACTATGAAAGGTATGGTCTTGTGTAGTCTTTAATTAAGGATTGTTATAGACAGAGTGTATAGAACATAGAGGTGAAGTTGAGTGGTTGTTTAAACTTAGTATTATTTAATATTTTGAGTAGTTCGTGAATATTGGACATTTCATATGAAATTATTTTTTCGTAATGAAATTTTAATTTTTGGTTCTGAGAGAGTGAAAAAAAATATCGAAAAATAGTTGTATTTATTCTAATGTTATTAATGGTTCAATATGAATTGTTTATGTTCTATACTCTCTTGTCTTTTGTGTAGGCGAAAGTGGGTAGAATTATTTCCCTGCGTTTGTGTACACGTCTCGGCCAATGTCCGGAGCCTGAGCTGACTAAAGTATATAAGGAAAAAGGAAAAACTTGAGGATGAGCGCTGTATTTCTTTTTTCCTTATATATATTTTAATAATGTACATATATTTAATAGAATGTGTGTTCTACCCTTGTGAATGTAATTTGTATGTGTGTCGTGTCCAGCGAGACGGGCAAGGGTCGCGGGCGCGCGCTGTCCAACGGCGCGTCGCCGCCGCCGGGCGCGCCGCCGCCGCGCCGCCGCGGCCGCCCGCGCGCCGACGACGCCGACCATTTCACCGCCTTCTGCAACAAGCGTCCCGCCGCCGCCGTGCAGGTCGCTGTCTAGTTATACTACTAATGGTTCTGTGAATAATAGATCTTGAGCACAAATTGTATTTTGAGAAGCTATCTGCTCATCACGCCGAAGATCCTCATCAGATCTTCATCTAGTTTTTATGAGAACAACTTAAAGTTCCTACCTTTTGGCCCCTTTTTTAAAGTACCCCTCCAATCAAAAATCTCTGACAACAAAAAATTCTATGAACTCTTAAAACCTGTATACCAAGTTTCGTCCAAATCGGTTGTAAAATGCGACCTGTAGACGAGTACCAACAAATTGATAGAGGAAAGCGCAAATTATGCCATACTCGAAGCAGAGACGCTTTGCTCGCTTGGCCAATTGTACACAAGACAACTCATCGCGAGTGTCGAAGTGCCGTCCCATCGGGCTTTGAGAGTGATAGAAGGAAAGAGTGCGCGTACAAAGACAACAGATTAAGACAACAAATTATAGACAAGTCTTTATACAATAAAGTTTATCGTGCAATAGTCTCAATTACATTTATACGTACATTGTTGAATACAGAAATATCAAGCCATTCACATAAGAAACCTATTTATCAAATGTCAATCATGTACATCCAAAAGTCTTTGGAAATTTTCCGTGATTTTGACTTTCTTAGACACTTGGCCATGGACTCGTACCCATCGCTTATAATCTGCAGCAGTATTTGTTAGCCACTATACCACAAGGTATACAATGAAATATAACAAATCGTTTCCAGATCTTCCAGTACCTGGGCATGCGCGAGCTGGCCCGCTGTGCGCGCGTGTGCAAGCTGTGGCAGCGCCTCGCCGCCACGCCCGCGCTCTGGAGACACGTGCGCATGAAAAACTCACATGTAAATACAACATACAGTTCGATATCTTTACATATAATAAAATTATAACCAAGCCAAATCTGTACATTAAATATTTTTTGGAAAATATTATTTAAATAAACATTATTATCGATGCAGAGGCCGAATTTGTAGTTTTTAGATTTTTTGTCTGTCTGTCTGCCTGTCTGTCTGTTATCGCATCACAGAAAAACCACTGGAGGGATTTTGATGAAATTTGGTATGGTGATAGCTGGTTATCCGGGTCAACACATAGGATACTTTTTACCGCGGGAAAATATCTCATTACCAACCAAATCTAAATAAATCTGAAAAAATAGTATTATTTAAAATATCAAATAATCGCGTTAATTCTAAGAAAGTGTTATGTATTCGTATAAATGTGCGTGTGTACGTGCAGGTGAGCGACTGGGCGGGGCTGTGCGCGGCGCTGAAGCGGCACGGCACGCGCTGGCTCGACCTGCGCAAGATGCTGCTGCCGCCCAACGACGCCGTGTTCTGGGACCAGTTCGTGGACCACATCGGCGAGGTCGACACGCTCGAGAGGTACGCACATAACATATGTAGTATTACCCACACACATATGATGGTATCTACCCACATAATTATATAATATAATGGTATGTTAGAATATAAAAAAAAATAATTGAGTTATAAACTATTTAATTGGAAAACAAATAATTTGTGCTCCTAAAATTATGTTGAAACAATTTTAATTCCTTATGTTTCAAATATTTGTATCTACCAATTGTGAATGATCATGTTTGTTATATTGTTATAAAACATTGGAAATTTCAGAAACAATAAATCAAAATTGGACTGCGGAATCTAATAAAGGTTTCTTTTATATCATATTCGCCTAATATCACAAGCTTGTTTGTATCAATACTTCAATACTGATATTATAAATGTGAAAGTGTGTTTATTTGTCCTTCTTTCACGTCCTCATAGGCTACTTTTTATTGCGGGAGATTATCTCATTACCACGGGAAAACACGTTATAGTACAACCCAAAAAAAATATTTATTATCAGAATTACTTGTATGTTCATGTAAATGCTCTTAAATACAATTAAATATATACGTGCTGAAGCATTTTTTGAAATTCATCCCATAAGGGGGCAAAATAGGGGATGAAAGTTTGCATGAAACCTAACTTTTTAAAAGTTTTTTTGTAGCTTTAGCGCGGTCGAAGACGCGGGTTCTGCTAGTATTTTCATATTTTCTTATACACGTGTATGTGTGTGTGTGTGTCTGCAGACTGGAGCTGTGCCGGTGCCCGGCGCGCGTGGTGGAGCAGGCGTGCGCGCGGCTGCCGGCGCTGCGCGCGCTGGCCGCGCCCGCCGTGCGCGACGCGCGCTTCGACCCCACGCCGCTGGCGCTGCTGCCGCGTCTCGAGCTGCTGCGCCTAAAGGTATATGCCACCACCTATGTATATACGTATACCGTGTTCGGTTCCCGGCACGTCATATGTATATACATACATTATATACATACATAATTGTTAGGCTATTCAAATTATAAATATTTTATTCAGCATTAAACCATTATATTTTTTACTGAACGTCACAAGTCCACTATCAATTTGGAAAGAAGTAACCTCAAACCTGAGAAGAACTGGCGAAAGAAACTCAGCGGTAGACCAAAATGTCGATAATATATTTAATATTCGAATTGTTTATAAAAAAATTACAAATATACAATTATTGTTCCCAGTATGTATCTCAGATGAAAAAATACAAATACTTACTATAAAAAAACACATCACTATTTTTTAATCAATTCAATTCTCCTGTTAATGATTTGAAACATCAGTTGGGAACAGTTGACTTCGCCATTGCCATAAAGAATGGTGAAGAGACAGATAGAATTTTAGTAAAATAAATTGTTTTTTTTTTTGTGTGCAGAGCCTGACCGGTCTGTCGCTGACGCGCGACCTGTCCCCGCTGGCGGCGCTGACGCGGCTGCAGCACCTGTCGCTGACCAGCATCAAGGAGCTGGGCTGGTGCGCGTGCGAGGTGGTCGGCGAGCTGGAGAACCTGGAGTCGTTGGAATTGGGTAATTTTGAGTTTTAGGGGTCGCTTAAGGGTTTATCTGAAGGTCGGATATGTTTGTACATACACATATATATATACATACATAGATAGACTATATATGGCCTGGAATAGCTCAGGCTTTCTATCACATGGGCATGTACCGCAATGAGGCAGAGTAATGAACTAGTTCATAATAATACTCTGATTAACATATTAAATTGACTTTTTAATTTTATTGATGTATAAATCATATGAGCATGACCAAAATAAGTATAAATTGATAATTAATTAATTAATTGTTATTTAGTGACTTGTTACCTGCTTTTTGTTTAATGTTTTCTACTCCACCTACCTATATGTTACTTAAACGTGAGTATGTTTATTGTAAATTTTACGTTTTGCTAATACTGTTTGTTTACCTAACGTATGTGTGTGTGTGTGTGTGCAGGCGAATGCTCGTTCGGCGCTACGTTCGCGGCGGCGCTCGGCAAGCTGAGCAAGCTGCGGCGGCTGCGGCTCGAGCGCGGCGTATCGCACTGCGCCGCGCCGCAGCTGCTGCGCGCGCTGGCCGCGCTGCCGCGTCTCACGCGGCTCGAGCTCGTCAACTTTGATGTCAAGGTACTGGGGGGATTTGAGTGCTGAAATTGGGGTTTTATGTTGACAAGTTCGAGGTTCGAGTTAGGATGGAGTGTTTTGGGTTTTTTTTTGTTAGGAATATTTTATTGTTAGTAGTAGCTAGGAGTTGTTCGTGCCGAAACAGAGCGTGTGTAAAGAATTTAGGCTTCTGATATCTTACCGAGAATGTCGTGTGATAATAAGTGAAATTGGCCACTATCATAGGTAATTTCATTGTAATCCGAAAAAAACTTAGAAATACACACAAATATAAGATCTAAGTACATACATACATACAGGTCAAACATATTATTCTTCTTTGGACTTTGCTGCAGGCGGGTAAAAATGATGAAATTATCTTTTAACGTGTATACTTAAAATACTCAAAAATATTTCGTACTGCAGGTGGGATTCGACGACGCTCTTGCGGAATGTAAAAACATCCAGAGACTACTGATCATACCCACGTATGTGTCACAGTCTGCCACTACGAATAAACAGGTTGGTAGTTTGAGAGCAGAGGATGTTAAGTTTTTTCACAGTTTTGACGACACATTTGGCTCAGTTTGTAGTGACCCTACTTGCTGTGCCAGCGGTCGCTTGTTCGAGTCCCGCTGGGGGCATTCATTTGTGTGATAAGCATGAATGTTTGTATTCCAGTCATGGGTGTTTATATTTATAATATGTATGTATTTAAAGTTATATATGTGTAGTGTATCAACTATCTTGTATCCATAATATAAGCCTCGTAGCTTACCATGGAACTAGATGGCGCTTTGTGTTAATGTCCCAATATAATTATTACAGTTTATACTGACGACATTTAAATGTATATAACAGCATTAGGTATATATAGGCCATTTGTTTACTATGATAGACCTTTTTACCATTTTTACAGAAGAAACCGCTATTTATTTTAATTTTTCTGAAGGTTTATGTTTTATTATTATTAATCTATTAAATCTTTATTCTCAAAATCTTTTAGATTTAGAAAATGTTTGCTACTGGCTCTTGTTTTGCAAAAGTATAAATTAAAAAGTATATGTATATACATCTATATTATTACTATGACTTTACTATTGAATAAATAAAATAGGGTTTATTGCTTCTGAATTATGCCTATATCAATAGTTTTTAATGTAATTTCTATATATTATTAAAAAGTGCTAATATAGGTAGAGGATTCAAAATAGTTGAAATGTAGTGACGTCACGCCAAGCGCGTGTTATGGCGGGCGTTTAAAGTATCCGTATTGGTATCATATTTGTTAAAATAATGTTTTATACTAAATTTTAATTTTTTAGAGCTATATTTTTTTTTTACAATTATGTAATGATGTTAATGTTATGATGATGTGAATGTTCCCTATTATGATTTTAGTTTTAGGCTCTTGCTAGCGTAACATATAACATAGTATTGTGTTTTCGTATGCACTATGCAGGTGCTGAGTGGCGTGTTGCGACTGAAGGAGACGCTCACGCACCTGATGTGGGGCGTCACCATCGAGCTGCTGCGCGTGACAGAGCTGTTCATCGACCAGTGCGAGGCTGGCGAGGGTGAGGGCAAGCGCCGCGACGTGGGCGAGTGCATCCCCGTGCTGAAGCCGGTGCCCGGCTGCCGGCTGCCAGACGACCATCGTACCGTCGCTGGACCGCCACAGGTTGTCATTAAAATAATAACTTTATTGTACATGCAAAGAGAAGACAAAAAATAATACAGAGGTAGGAAAAACGACACGTTTGGCTCAGTTTGTAGTGAGGGTCACTTGCTGTGCTTGCGGTCGCGGGTTCGAGTCCCGCTGGGGGCATTCATTTATGTGATGAGCACGAATGTTTATCTACTATCTGGTATCCATAACACAAGCCTCGTAGGTTACCATGGAACTAGATAGTGCCATGTGTTAATGTCCCAAAAAAGAGAAAAAAAATGCACAAGAGGCGGTATTATGTATGTACACATATAGTTGGCGGTTTTTAATTTTTTTTTGGTGTTGCTCGGAAAACTTATCGTAAGGTCCTTGCCGGCTTCGTCACTGCCTGATAATTATACATTTAATATGCCATTATAAAATGACTTCCTAACACATTTTTAATTGATGCAAAATTGTCGAGTTTGAATAATTTGAATATGAAATTTAATATTTTGTGATATTATTACGGAGTATGATATAGTCTGATTTTTAATTCGGCGGAATTCTGACATTTCAGAAATGTTGTCAGCTTTGAAACATTGTCACTAAAAACGGAAAGCATTTTAGCAAAATAAATAAATAAACCTTTCTTGAATTTAAGGTTTCAATTAGAAAAACTAAGGCTTAAAAAATTATTGATAACTATTTTTTTATTATCATGTTATCGAAGTTAGAATAATTATTAAGGAAATTATTTTTCTATTACAGGAATCCCTGTTCAATAATACATAGGTTGCAAGCCTTTTTGTAGGAAAATCCCTTTGTTTGTAAAATCTTTGCAATTGGCAAAAAGAATAGGAAAGTCCCAAAAATACAGGTCCACAACGATCATTCACGATTTTTTATTATTGTTTTTGGCAAGAATGCATAAACCATATTATAAAAGAAAAGGATAAAATCTGCCCTCTTAATGATCTGATTCTTTTATAATCCGAGTGGATGATGATGACAAGTATGATATAAGTAATCATGATTAGTAAATATTTTCATTTCTTATATTTTGTTCTCTGTTTTTTTCATTTAACCATTAAAAAAATTTACATTATAGTTAGTGTGCATTGAATGCACAAAACAAAGACTATTTACAATGTCATACATATAGTTTACTTGATCTAATTCTGTTTCATATTTTTGGTTATTTTATATTAAAAAATACAAAGCAGAAAAGGTTTATAATATCTGAATTGTCAAAGAATGATAGCTGTCATATTTCCGTGGAATTAAAAATCAGACTATAGTTGAGAAATATAAACATAACCACAAAATTATAATCCTAAGGTTCTGTTAAAAGTAATGTTTTAGAATTTGTTTAAATGGTCTAACTATTAACAATACCACACTCAATTTTACATATTAAAACACAATAAGTAATAAATTCTTTCTATTCCAGGTGGAAATCCTTCCAATACCAACCCTCCAACGATTACTCTCCGCACAACTGCCCAACACCAAGCTAAAGCTCCTTCGCATCCCCTTCCACGCCACCTGGCGACAATCGCTAGCGGACTTTCAGTAGCACCAGACCCTCGTCAGTCAGGACTGCGGCCACGCCCTGCAGTCAGTCATGACTGTGACTCTAGTGTAACAGTGCTCTGTACAAGATAAGTCGACCTGACATGTGTATGATACTTCTAGTAGCACAACGAATGGTTTGTGGCTGTGGATATGAAGTCTACCAAGACGGTGTAGTGAAGTGTTCTTATAAAGTGTCAGTTATAGTGCAATCGAGTGCTGTACACTAGTTTCTGAATTGTGATATATTAATATAAAGTCAGTTGTAACTGTGACTTAATTTATTAATGCTACACATTGTTGTCGAGAGCTTTTGCTGTTGAGATGGAAGTGGATTCAGTCATGACGTGTACACTATAAGGGTCTAAATGGTCATGGCTGACCGAAGTATATAAGAGTCAAGTCATGACTAAAACTATATATATACTAATAAACTATAAGGGTTACTGGAGTCACTTGTATCGGGCCATAACAGCTTATATTTTGACAACTTAAATATTGCATTTACAAATATAAATATTTGCTAGAAATGTTTTGTTTTATTTTTTAATTCGAATGTACATGAAAATGATATGATGTTGTCAAAATATATGAAGTTTGTTCCCTTTGATAGGCCAAATTTGTGTATATAAGAACTGTTTATATGGTAACTTAGATTTGACAATTTCTAATAAGATAGTACTAACTATAGTGAGAAATATTCAACTGTGGATAAACAATTAATTGATTTAGATGGGAAATTTATGTTCTAATTTAGATCTCTTTAGTAATTATTTTGAATTCCAGATTCCTAAATTTCTGCTTAGTACCTATGTTAAAATTTAAATTTGAATGCTTGATTATAAGTTTAAAAAAAAGACAAACTTTAGTTTTTCAATTATCTAATGTTGCTAGATTTTTTTTTAATTTTCATAAAGTAAATTTAAAGTTTTCAAAGTTCTTTTCTAATGTATAAACTGTTACAAATAAAATGTTCATTATATACAAGTAAATCCGCGGGTGTTCTCTAGTGTTAAGGCGTAGAGAGAGATATTTTTATTGAAAGTTCATTCAATAATTGTATGCAATGAAATCACTATATATAAATAGTTTTATGATAAGATTGTACATATACATATGATCAGTGCCTATAGTTGTTTATGTAAGGCGTAAGTCTTCATATAAATTCATATTTGCAAACTTGTTCATTGCTTGTTGAAATGACGGATAAACAAACAGATAAATATGTAAATTACTTACATTTCGTCGATTTAATTTGAAATATATTATTATATTAAAATATAATTGATCGTTTTATTAAATTTTTGCCATTATAAAGCAAACATTGAATTATTAATTTTTATTATTTACAAGTTTTTTACATATTAAGTGGATATTATCCGCCATTTCCCCTTTCCTTTTTATTTTTTTATAGATAATTATGATGATGTTTAGAGTGTTTTGTTTAGATTTTGTATAATTTTGTATGAAACAGTACTAGAGTATTTGAAGGGTACAGGCAAAGAACAGGGAATGTACTAATGAATAGATTATGAGAAAAAGAAATTTAAAATATATAAAAAGTATAATATTTTTATTGAGACCACAGTTATGCAGTACCTTTATACTATGTAGATTTTTTGCACAATCCTCCTTTTCACGGTATGTCATGGACATTACAAGTTTTTTCGCATAGATAAAAATATTTTTAATCCCCGACGCAAAAAGAGGGGATAAGTTTGACGTCGATGTCTGTCTGTCTCTGTGTGTGTGTGGTTCTGTCTGTGTCATTGTAGCTCTCAAACGGATGGACCGATTTCGATGCGGTTTTTTTCATTTGAAAACCAGTTCCCTTGCTGTGGTTTTTAGCTATGTTTGGTTAATATCGGTCCAGCAGTGTAAGAGTATCACCTCTTTTCCAAAATTATGTAAGGCATTTTGGTGTATGATTACTAGATTTTTTGCTTGTGTAATCGTAACAAGACAATTAATTTGCGTAGGGGGTTTTTAAAATTTTCAAATTTATAATTACATGCGACATGTCCGTTGAGTGTTTGCAAAAAGCAGTGCGCTTGAGAATGCAGGTACCGTAGACAAAATCGTTATCTGTACAAAATAAAATTCCCTGCTGTTTGCTTCTATCCTTTGTTTGACATTGATATTTGTGTCACTTGGAGCTCAAAAATTGTTAGAATTGTGACTTGACTTGTTGTTCAGATTTTAACTCTTGTTTTGTAATTCCTTTGTAAGTCCATTGCAATAATAACAAAGTTTGACTTTTGAATTGATTATGTTTTATTGTTTGACGCATTGTATCATTGACGTTTTATTAACTTAATTTTTTTTTTATTAATTTAATTAAACTTTAACGAAAATAACCATGTATTTTAAACATTAAGGTTTCACATATTCTCTTACACTTGAGGTTTATAGTTCATACTTTATATACAACCAATGTAGATTAATTATATATAAAGATACACTCTAGTTTGAGACATTAAGTTTGTTCTTTTTTTTTACTTTTCTTCAACAAGAGTGTATCTCTCCAAAAACGTAGCTATAAAGTTAGATTTTATGTAACAAATTATAATTTTCATATTTAGTTTTATAAAAAAAATATATTGTTCTATAAGTAAGCAATATCTTACCAATGTGGAAAGAAACTGACTAGAGAATATATGACATTATATATTAGTTCGGTCTCCGGTTGTATTTTAAATTATTTAAGTACAGAAAGCATAGCTTCGTAGCTTAGACACTGGTCTATTGTTTATAATCTCCTTTTAAAGATGCTTTGTATTTTTATCGTAGCGTTAGTGTCGGCGGTGTATGTAAAAATTGAGTATTTGTATGGCGTCGCCGGCTCCTAGGTTAATACATAGTATGGCGACACAATAAATTGTTGCCCTGTAACGATTGTTTCATTTATGTACGTCCTTGTGTAATTTTCATATGTTTATTTTGTACTGTTGTGATTGTATTTAAAATTGAAACACTTGTTATTTTAGTACACAAAGTAGTGTACCACACGCTAACTAGATTTAGTCACTAGCGAAGTTTGCTAACTGTACCCATCCTGTACAGATACACCCCTGTACAGATGCTCTATCCCATATAAATAAATTAAACGGATTTAATTCTGGCAACTTTCAGTTGCTTAAATAAACAATAGATGGCGCTAATTCGCATATTTTTATTGTTTAAAATATGTTAAATATAGAAAAAAATATTTTGTACTTCTAAAATCAACATTAATATGATAAGAAGTAAAGTTTGTTCGTAGGGAGCTATCTCTGAAACTACTGAACCGATTCTGAAAATTATTTCACTAATAGGAAGCTGCATTACCGCTGAGTGCTAAAGATTGTTTTGAATATTGTTCTGATAAAAATGTGTTCATTGTTACAAATTATAACATTAATTGTGCAAAAAAACTGGCTGTCGGGTTGGTTTGAAATAAGTCCATAAAACGTGGAATCTGAATTCGAACGAAGCTATGATAAGTCATTATAAAAAAATAGTATTCAATAAAAAAATCTGAGATTAACAGTCTTATAGTAAATAACTTATCAAATATAAAAAGCGCCACCTACGAATACGCACTAAAAACTCATTACCTAATAACGACTTTCTCAATAAAAATTATGAAAATTTGTTTTAAGAAAGCATTATTTTATTTTCATATACTTAAAATATATTTCAAAATCAGAAAATACTTGTACATATCTTTTTTCTTTTATTTCATTTTACATCTATAACAAATAATACATATAACGCCATCTATTGACCTTCATATGATTTTTTTCTTTCTTCCTGATAAGACCCTAGATGTTGCTGAGTAAAAATCAATTAAAATATTTATTGTAGCTTATAGTCGCCTTATATATTATACCAAAATATATTTAAATTTTAAGTCAGAGTGCATGCAATATTCTATGCGTTCCATCTCATGCGAAGTCACACCTGCAACCTCTAGTGACCAGTGAAACATGCAGTGGGGTTCTCTTCTGTTTTTCTGGTTTTTAAAAATACTTTAGGTTAAGGAAAATAAGATAATGCATGCTTAAATTAATCAATCAAATTTCCGTAATTTTTTGATATTTGAATATTGAATTTTTAGTGTATATTCATAGAGGCGCTCTTTCATATTACTTGTGTATTATTATTATGGGAGCGATTTAAAATGGGTTGCTAATGAAAGGTTAATGCAACCTTCTGTAAGGACCTTTAGCAAAAAGTTGTATACCATTTTGTATTATTAGAAGCAAAAAGATTTTAAATAAATAGTTTAAAAATCAAAGCTATCGTGAACATTCATTCAATTTAATTATTAAATTCATCCGAACAATCTCATTAGCGTTTTTTTTTCATGACGTTAAATTTTGCAACTTAATATATAATAGATATTAGATACCAAACCACTTTGAGGAAAATAATAATAATTCCAGCCTTCCAGGTAGAGAAACTGTCATTATATGTAAATTGTAATGCTGCTTAATTCAATTTTGTAATAAACAGTGTAAATAAATATTTATTCATAGCCATGGTTCAAATAAAAAAATATTATATTTATGTTCTTTTAATAGACAGTTCTATAAAGTCATCAAAAATACATAACTTTCTCTTAAGAACTAAGTAAAAAGTATTTTTTGATAAACATTTTGACACTAAACACTCATACGCTAGGTAAAAACTACCATACTTCAGAAGAAGATTACATACACGCTAGAAGTAAGTCTGAAACATTAAACTAAAAAAAACTAAAGACCTTAATATGTGTTGTTTCAAATAATTCAATTCGAGTATTAGAAGCAAAAATAATTACTAAAAACATAATTTGTTGCAACTTCAAATAATCAGCATTCCGAGTATTAAAATAGGAAGGAAACCTTTAAAAAAGAAGACATTTGATTCAACCAATAAGCACCATCTGACAAATTCTATTATTATTCTATGCTTTCGTTTTATAACAAAAATAAAATGGTATAGGATCTTACACTAAACATTTTGCATAATTTATAATGTTTAAATATCATAACAAAGAAAAGATTTCACGAAGAATATGAGACGAGAAATCTGCCATAAATGAAATTTTGAAAGGTTTATTGTACAATCTAGATTAGGTTTTGAGCACTTAGTGTAAATACTGTAACGAATTAAAACAAATTGGGACATATATATCTGTTTTATATACAGTAAAAAATACTTATATGTGTATATATCTTAATTTTTACAATCACTTGTTATATACACGACAACAAATTGCAATTATTTTGTAATAATGAATAATACAACAAACAATTCTTGAAGAAATTCTTGGTAAAAAGTTAAAATCATTAACTATTATTGAACAGTCAATGACAATATATAATTTAGCCCAATCCCTAATGCAGTGTACGTATGTATGTATGTATGTGTATGTGTGTGTGTGTGCGCGTGTGTGCGCGCGTGTGTGTGTGCGTGTGTGTACGTGTCTGTGTGTGTGTGTGTGTGTGTACGTGTCTGTGTGTGTGTGTACGTGTCTGTGTGTGTGTGTGTACGTGTCTGTGTGTGTGTACGTGTCTGTGTGTGTGTGTACGTGTCTGTCTGTGTATCCACGTGTCATGTGTTCAGTCGGCGGTGGCGTCGGGGTGCCTCTCGAGCAGCATGGCGACGCCCTGGCCGCCGGCCGCGCACGCCGAGATGAGCCCGAGCTGGCCGTCCTCGCGCACGAGGCGGTGCGCAGTGTGCATCGCCAGACGCACCTGACACATTACAGACACAACTTCTTTGTTAACGTGCATATATTATTCAAGTTATACTTCTTTTGGGATGTTTGGAAAAAAATATGAGAGTAAAATTTTTACGATGCGCGCGCACACCGACAGCCAAAAAGCCACGTGATGAAGTTAGCTGTATTCCTTTTACAAACAGAGAGCTGTGATATACGGGATGAAATCTTTAGCTATTTTTGTTCTGTTACGCAAAAGAAGTATAACTTCTTACGTGCGTACATAAGAAGATAATTAGTACACTCACAGGTTTTTTTTTCATTATTTACTAGATACTTACCCTCGCTTCGCTCGGATTCGTCCTCGGGTACGTTTTAACGGTTAGTATGGAATAAATAGACTATATACTATATATAGCCTTCCTCAATAAACGGGTTCAAACAAACAAACACTGTCTCTTTAAAATATTAGTATAAATTAGTTAATTATTAGTTATTCTTATGTTAATAAAATATATAAATAATTTCAAACTGACCCCAGTAGCAGCGAAGGGGTGTCCGATGGAGAGTGAGCCTCCCCACTTGTTCCACTTGGCCAGGTCCGGGGCGCCCACCTGTGATACATTATTATACTTTAATCTTTTCCTTGTATACTTTAAAGTTAAATATCCGTTTATATTGGTATTCACATTAAAATTAATTTTGTTGGCAATACCAATAATTTCATAAATAAAGATATATGCAACTAGCGGATCCGGCAGCCATTGTTCTGTCCGAATATGGTCTTTACAATAATCCTAGAACCCGACTGCAGTGCCACCTGCGGGATCCAGTTATAATTTTTATTTATTTATTGGACAATATAAGAGGTTAAAGTAATATAAGCAAGTTGTACAAAAAGAGTCAAAAGTTGTGAATTTAAACGGCTCAAGAAATTACTCAAACACAAAAAACACATCAAAATCGGTCTAGACATTTAGGTGATGTACACACGTACAGAAGAATGATTTATGTAAGTAAAGATATTATATAACAAAATATCACACTAATATATATTAGAAATAAAAACAAAACTTTGTGATGGTGTCATGGTTTGTTATGTTTATTACTTCTTTGCACTTTAAGGGCTCAACAGATTTGAGTAAAATATTGGATTAACTATGTATATATTTTTGTATTATGTATGTATAACATTGTTTTTCATGTTGAATATATTTAATATTAATTGTACCCATCCTGCCTACAGTACCATTAATCTTTTCACCAAAGGTTATCCGTAAGAGATCGCTCATAGCAATAAGACCGCCTTTGCATGCCTGTTTGTTATTTTTCTTTTCATCTTCTGTGTTCTTTCTTTGTTTGTGCAATAAAATATTTACATATATATCTATCTATATTTTTTGAATACGAACGAAACCGCGGGCAAGCTAGTCATATTGTATAATAACAAACCTTAGACTGACGTCCCAGATAAGTTTGTGCGAACCAGTCAGAGTCCATAGCCTTCAAGTTGGCAAGAATTTGGCCCTGCGGGGAAAATAATAAGAATTAATTATATATTTGCATATAATTCACATATATCATGGCGTATCTTCGCATATCAACAGCAAATTTTTCATATGGAATACAATCTATTATTTTCGTAGTTTTAATTATATCATTGTATAAAGAAACAAACAAATAAATATAAAGAAAAACATCCTGCATCCTGCATCCAGACTTCTCGCAAACTACAACTTTTTAAATGAAATGAAATAAACTTTATTTAATTAGACTTATTACAAGTACTTTTGAATCGTCAATTTAATGAAAGGGTGAGTGGAGTCAGTCCGTGAGGAAGCTACCACCGGATCGGAAAGCAGTTCTGCTGAGAAGAACCGGCGAGGAACTCGAGTTGTTCTTTTAAATATATGTTTATTTTATTAACATACCAATATAGATAGCATGCCTATGAGTCAATATTACTCAATTCCACACATTTTCAGCAACAAGAAACTCTTGAACAGTATAATACGCTTTGGTGAGTAAAATATTATTAATTTTATCTTTAAATTTTTGAAAAGGTAAGTCTAGAAAATTTTGTGGAATCTTATTATATATGAGTATAGTCAAGTGCATGAAGGATTTATTCACCTTTTGGGGTCGAAATCTAGGCGCAAATGAATTGACCATTAAACGAGCTTGTCAAAAGTCTATTTAAACACATTAATTCTGATACAACTATATATCTGGAGCGGGACTCGAACCCACTACCGTATTTCAGGTTTTAAATATCACATACAGCGAAGGCCTCGTGTATCTCCCAGGTGTCGATGTCGCTGAGTTTGAGACCGGCTTTGTCCAGGACCTTGGGGATTCCATATGCAGGTCCCAGGAGCAACTGGTCTACGGGGTCCTGGAACAATTAAGGTAGACATTTTTTTAAATTAGACAAGACATAGACGCTCCTTCTTTTTGGTAGGGTAAAGACGGGTCCCGGGGGAGAAGCCAACTCCTACCGGGCGCGTCCCCAGGTGGCGGATAGGGGAATGCCACCCGCTTAGGGCGGCGGGTGGTACCGGAGAAATCCGGCGCGGACCAAATGGCTTGGGTGGGGCCGTTCGTCTAGGCCTCGAGCCGAAGACGTTGCGGCCACCGGTGGTGGGACCGCTTGGTCCCACAACCGGATGATGGGTGCCGGTTGCGGGACTGTGGTCGCAGGCCCGCATCCGGCGGAGGGGTAGGCCGCGGTGGGAGAGGAGTGCCGGTATTTCGGTGCGCCGTTCTCCCTACCTTCCGCGGCCTAGACGGGGCCGCCACCGTTTGATGGCGGACGCGGTGGGGCTGCAGGGGAAGAGGAGTGTCGGTGTTTCGTTGCCGCTCTCCCTGTCCTCTGCAACCGATTGGAGGTGGCCCACTTCGGTGGGCGGTGGTTAGGTTTAATGGGGCTGCTCCGGGTACCTCTCTGGCGTAGCAGAGTTGACTGTGGAGCAGCCCCATTGGTTTGGTGGTCTGCCTAGCGTTTAGGCAGACCTGCCGCCGGGGCGCCGTAGTAGCTATGCGCAAGCGATCCTGCGGCGTCCCATTAAGGCGGAGGGGAGGGGAATGTCGGGTTTTAGTGGGTAGTACCGGCTCTTCTAGCCGGTGAGCCCCACATCACCACCTGGGGGATCAGGTGGTATGCGTAAATGCATTTCAAGGGTAAAGACGGGTAAAAAGTAGATCTAGACACGCGATAGCGTGTCAAACCAAGTTCAAGACAAGAGAACCATTTGCAGCCACTTTTGACTTCTCAATAAATCAAAATCTATTTAACATAAACACTAAAATTTAAATCATTTTTACAAGAAATTGTCTTAAATTTATTTTATAATGTTGTAGGTTCTTAAAAATAAATTTTCTGGATTATCTACAGAACTTGGCAACCATTTAGACCTCAATTCTTTTTAAACTTTGCTTCAATTTTCACATTTATGTTTTTAAGGGATAATAATTCAAATGTAAGACTGATTTCATTTATTATTTGTACAAATTGACACAACTTCAGTTAGTTAAGCTAGTTTAATGACTTATTTATGTATTTTATTTAATACTAGCATTGCCCGCGGCTCCGCCCGCGTTCAGATGACCAAAAACCAAATTCTTAGGTTTTACATATTAGTATACTCTTACATTGCAGTTTTTGTATTTTTTCTCAGAAATGAGACATTTTCCTGTGGTAAAAAGTATCCTATATGTTGACCTGGATAACCAGCTATCACCATACCAAATTTCATCAAAATCCCTTTCGTGGTTTTTCTGTGATGCGGTAACAGACAGACAGACAAAAATTCTAAAAATAATATATTCGGCCTCTGTATCGTTAATAATGTTTATTTCAATAAGATTTTCTAAAAAATATCTAATGTAAAGATTCGGCTTAGTTACAATTTTATTATATGTATAGATTTGACATTTTAAATATAATTATTTTCATGGATTTTCACTATTTTAATTTGACTTTAATTGTATACTGGCGTTTCGAGTGTATTACAGCAAGCATGGTCATGTTTCACGGGAATCTCTCCCGATGAAAGATCAAAGTAAAATTGCAAAAGTAATAGTTTTATTTAAAACATTTATGTTACAGTCAAAACTCTTTAACAAAAACAATTTGTTAAACTATAAAAAAAAATACAAAACGGTATAACGGTGACTACCGATTTACTTTTTAAAAATACTCATTTTTTTTAATTATTTATTTTTAGTAAAAAAAAAACAATTACATTTGGTTTTTTTATACTGTAGTGAAAGTCAGTGTAAATTTTATACTGTAGTCGCTTAATGACTTATAAATAGTAATTATGATATAGAAGAACAGTATTTCACTGTTAAAATTAAAGGAACGATATTTTTTTATCATTTAAATACTATAAAATCAACTTTTTCAATTTCATGCGGCATGTTTTATACTTAAAATATTCAATATTGTTCAATTACGTGACTCACACTCACGTATTGTCTATTATTGTAAACTAGCGACTTAGCAGTTTAGAAATGTAAATTCGAATTTGCGTAATTTTTAAGGGTTTTTGATTTTCATTTCTGGAATAAAACATACCCTACATGTAGCCCTACAAACTCCTCTATTTTTCAGTTAAAGTCCCATTACAATCGGTTACGCCGGTTTCAAAGATTACTCAGACAAACAACTTTTGCATTGCATTTAAAGTTTAATTTACATTGTTGTATGTATATTTATTTCAACTATAACAATTACCTAACACAATTGATGACAGTTTTAAGAGAACTTTCGCATGAGTTTGTGTATCTAGATTTTTTTTATATTATAAAACATGTATACCTGAGCCACGTAGGTGAAGTCCCGCAGATAGGCCTTGGGCTTGAGGCCCAGCTCCTTGGCCTTCGCCTCCGACATCACGAGGCACGCCGACGCGCCGTCCGTCTGTATCAAATATATAACCCATTTATATAGTCTGACACTTTGGTATGTGTTTGTTTGTTACTCCTTACTAGTTTTTGAAATTTGGTACACAGGTAGACTATGAGCTGGAGTAAGACATAAAGACTACTCGAAGGCACCTAAAGACGCACGTGATCGAAGCGAGAGTAAGTGGCTACTATTATACATATGTAAATATACACACTAAAATTATGTATCTTTTTTATTCATAGTATTCAGCCCTTTTTAACGTTCTACTGCTGGACTTTCATTCGTTAGCCAAGTGCGTGTTGGCGGACTAAAGCATATCTGTAGAAACAGTTAGACATGCAGGTTTATTCGCGATGTTTTTCCTTCACCGTAAGAACAAGTGGTAATCGTATTAGAAATGATTCGCACATGAAAATATCCGAGATGCGAGACCCGGGATTTGAACCCGCTTCACTTGGTTTACCAAGCAAGCGCAATATCACTGCCTTATTCATAATTAAAGAAAAGGACAAAAAAAGATTAGATCAAACCAAATCAAAACAGGTAAAGACAGATATAGAGCCGTCAGTCGAGGTGACCGTCTTGAGCAACTCGAATATGACACTTTGGTTGTTGGTTGTAGCGAAATGTGCTGTCACATTCCATTTAAACAAATCACATTCAATTATAATTTCGACGACACTTTTGGTTAAGTTTATAGTGACCCTATTTGCTATGCCAGCGGTCGCGGGTTCGTGTCCGGTTAGGAGCATTCATTTGTGTGATGAGCACGAATGTTTGTACTCCAATCATGGGTGTTTGTATTTATAATATGTATCTAAAGTTATATATGTGTAGTGTATCAACTATCTGGTATCCATAACACAAGCCTCGTAGCTCACCATGGAACTAGATGGTGCTGTGTGTTAATACCCCAACATATTTATTTAAGTTGTCTGAACAGACGGCGTATCAGTGTAGTCAGCAAAGACAGAAGCAAAAACCATGAAATATGACAATTTGTTATAATGGAATGTGACATCACATCCCATTGAAGCCATGTGAAAGTATGGGGTACCAGGAAGGAGGCGTTGGCGGCGGTGACGGTGCCGTGCGGCTTGATGAAGGCGGGCCGCAGCTTGGCGAGCTGCTCGGGGCTGGACACGCGAATGCCGTTGTCCTTATCCACCAGCCCGTCCTTGCCCTCCACTGCGGAAATATTCTTATTATACAGAATGTAGAGGAAAACCCATATTATAGCGAGTGTGTGTGTTTGTTACTCGTTCGCGCTAAAAGCAAATCACTAAATCATTACAACAACAAAAACACTAGTAATATTAAAAAAAACTCATCAATTTTCAATAAATGAATCTGTAAAGATTTCGCTAAAATCTAGATATTTTAATATTAAGCTATAAGCTCAGACTAAGGAATAATATAGACAGATTGTTATAGAACTGAATATGAAGCCAAACAATAATGTTTTAACGTAATACGAGTAACTATACTGTGTGATAAATAAATATTAATAAATATAAATCGCTAACGGATTTTATTTTAATTAAAAAGTTATAATATTATAATTTTTATTATCCATACTTCATTCTCAAAAAAAATGTATTTTAATTTAATTTGGACAAATATAAAATTTCCCATATGTTAAAAGTAAAGTAAACTATCTGTATGGCAAGATCGAGAATAGTAGCATAAGCAACAGATTACGCTACTATTTTTGACTTCGACGTTTATTTTGACGGACTCTATCTACATTAGTCCGAGGCTGTAAAATATAATAAAAAGTTGCAAAAACATCAAAAACATTCAAAAAAATAGGTGAAAGGTTAGTTCTTGCATTTTAAGACTTAAGATTATCTGGGTTACCTTTAACAGGTAAGAGGTCGGTGAAGTATCCCTTCTGCTGGGCCTCGGCGGCCAGCGTGTGCGAGCGCAGCGCGTACTCGTCCTGCTCCTGGCGCGAGGCGCCGAACGCGGCGGCGAGGCGGTCCGCGCTGTGGCCCATCGTCTCGCCGGAGGAGAACTCGGCCACCGCCGGCAGCTGTGTGGACCGGATCGTTATATTGTGCTGGTTTTTATATTGTTTGTTTTTATAGTGTGTGTATGTGTGTGTTACTCTTTCATGTTGAAACTGTTTGACGGATTTGAACGTTTATTACTCCAAGTCATAGTAGACTATGATCTGGCGTAACACATAGCCATCTATGGAAGTACCCAAGTGAAGCCTAAGTCGCTGATTGTGTGGTATATATTGGTGTTGAAAAAACTTAAAAAATAAATAAAACCGACTTCCAGGCACTAAAATGTAACCGACGCATAGGAAATCTAATATATTTTAATACGTAAAATACATATTTACCCATTAGATATTCATATCTTAAAATATTGTCCGCTGGCACCGACTTCAAAAATATCTGATTAGGTATCTATTCTAAATGAAAACCCCCGTTTAGTTATTTTTTACATTTTAGTGCCTGGAAGTCGGTTTTATTTATTTTTTAAGTTTTTATTTTTATATTTTTAGTGTAGACGTAATAAGCAGGTAATTTGTAGGAAGAAAGTTTTTAATAACATATTCAACTAAATAACTTATTTAAAAAATATATTTATTGTTGATTTTTTGAAAACCACTCGACTGATTTCAATAAAATTTATATGGGACCACCTGGGAAGTATACCCTTTCAAACAAAACAAAAAAATTCCAAATTGGTTCAGGCGTCTTCGAGTAATCGGTGAACATACATAAAAAAAAGTTTCCGACTAATTGAGAACCTCCTCGTTTTTGGAAGTCAGTTAAAAATAGCAATAAATGATTCAATTAGATATTTAGATTTTTAAGTTTTCCACAAGTTTAAGTAGCACTTTATCTGTGTTCAAGAAGTGTAAAAAATTTTATCAAATTTTGATGTAGGTATACCAATAATATATCAATTAATAATTCACAGATAATGGATATGGCGATCCATAAAATATAGCAAGAACATTATTTTTATAGCACATAGTCTTCCAATATATGTGTACTTTATAAAAAAACAATTTAAAGTCTTAACTAAGTAAAGAAACAAATGTTACTTTTCCGACCATAAAAATGTCTATATCAAACCAACCTCAGGCGCGAAGAAGTCAGGTCGGATGGAGGCCAGCAAGGAGAGCCTCTGCGCGGGCGTCTTGGCGCGGTTGAGGCGCAGCAGCAACGAGCGCATCTTGCGCGAGTGCCTGATGGGCACGTCCGACATGAACTCCACGCCGCCCGCCACTATCACGTCGTACGCGCCCGCCGCTATCATGCCCACACCTGTTCATGGGAAATAAAAAAAATTATAAAGGAACAATTGTTATACATAGTTAGGCAGTGGTAGCCCAGTGGTAACTCGTTTGGGAAACCTACTGAAGGGTGTTCGAATAACGTTGTCAAATCTTGTTAATAAATTCAAAACATGTTAGTTGAAAAACCTTCTCTTAAGTTATCGCAATAACAAAAAAACTCAATGTGCTTAAGTGGTCCGATGATAATTTCAAAAAGCTTTATTACTAAAATTGCAGATCTCATGCTTTTTACATTAAAATCTGAAAATTAAGAATTTATTGTTATCCATGGATTTTAAATCAAGTGTGTAACAATATATGTAATATTTTTTTTCTTTACAATATCGTTTTAAAAATAATTCCCTTACTATTGTGTTGATTTTTTTTTGTTGTTGATTTTTTTTTCTTTTATTTATTTTATTTAGGTCATAGGGCATGATTTTGCTAGCTCATCAAAAAAGCAGAGCCTCCCACACCCTACATCTTATAAAGTAATACTTAAATGGGACAAATGAGAGCAATATATGTATAATTGCTCAAAGCTGCAAGTTTATAGCTAGTGATAATAAGTGCAAGCAAATAATAATTAGTGCTTAATATTATTCAACACATCCCATACCAGTAGTAATAGCTTGGTTGGAAGATATGCAGGCCATGGTCACAGTGTGAGCGGGTGTTTTGTCACTAAAACCTGCTGCTAGAGCTGCCTCACGACCAATGTTAGAAGTCTTCACCTCTTGAATGACAGTGCCATATACAATATAATCCACAACTTCCTTAGGAATGCCAGTTTTTTGGAGAAGACCCCTATAAGTTTAATAAATCATAATTTAAAATAAATAATATTTTTGATAAACTGCTGTGTTATTAGTGCATTGTTATTTACATCAAATGAAGTCACATTCGTTATTTTATTGCACAATCAACAAAATTGAAAAAACATGAACATCCTAACTTATATTATAACAGAAAAAAATTAAAATATATTGTCAATTAGAATCATGTTATTGTTATATCGACGGTTGAAAGGCTAATTGATCTAAGCGACTTTTTGTAAAACTTGCAGGAATAAGGATCAAAGTTTTTTTTTTTGGAAAAAAAAATCATAAAAAGTCAACTATTTGATAGACTTTTATTTATTTAATACACTGTATCCCTATTTAAATAAGGCAGTTTTTTAAGTTATAACTGTTGAAAATTGTGTATTATTTTAGAAAATTTATGTTGGTTAGTCCAAAATGCATCAAATTTAGTTATTTTTTGAGAAAAGCATAATGGTTCAAATGCTTATCGTAAATTAAATAGCTGAAAGTAACCTGGCTCAAGCATCGACTTAGAATAAAATAATACGAGAGAAAATGAATTTAGCGCCAAGTCAACTGATAGTTGAATATGCCCATGAGCCTTAACAACATAATGGTGTTGCACCAGAATGAAGTTATTTGATGCAGATACCCATTAGAGGGATGAAACAAAATGATCCCTTAATAGATTATAGTAGATATTGCTGCTTAGGCCATCATTGTTCAGCAACGACGTCCATAAGATATTTTTCTAGGGTTGGTATGCCACTTTATACAATTTAAAATTTTAGACAGTGTCTTGTAAATTTTTTTATATTATAAAAAATCGTTTTGGTGTATAGGAATTATTGGAACTGGCTTGGAACAATGTATAAGATAAGGTGGTGTATCACCCTAAGCCTAGGTAGTAATTACACCACAAAATATAAAATTATTGTACTTTAGTATTATTTTATAAATAAAAAAACAAATGTTATTAATTATAATTTATTCAATATCAGTCTTCAATATGGACGTACCTTTTTTTTTTTTTTTTTAACGTTGGGAAATTCATTTACGCACGAGGTGTGGGACTCACCGGCAAAGCCAGTACTACCCACTAAAACCCAACAAAGCCTTCCCCCGTCTTAATGGGGCGTCGCAGGATCGCTTACGCATTCAACTACGACGCCCCGACGGCAGGTCTGCCAAAGCAGACCACAACAACCACGGGGTTGCTCCAAGGTCCACTCTGCTATCAGAGAAGTACCAGGAGCAACCCGCATGGTACACCACCCTCCGAAGAGGGCCACCTCCCACCGCCCACCGAAGTGGGCCACCTCCCTGTGCGTTTCTTGGCTTCGCGCTCGGTTGGGTTGCCGGGCACTACTGAGCCCCCCCACCACGACAAGGTGAACGCACGTTGGGGAGGAATATGGACGTACCTAATTTAAGTAACAATCAAACATTAATATTACAAAAAAAAAACTTTTCAGTTGCTTATAATAAATCAGAAGTAAAAAAAAAAAATAATCTCGTCTAAAAACAACCAAAAATTGACATTCTTTATCAAAAACAATAGAAACTCGGCATTTTTTTTTTTATATGAAAAAAAAACAATAGATCAATAGACGAAGAAGATAGAGAATTGAATGCAAAATGGGCCAAACGACATACCTTATTGTTTTGCTTTAATTCAAAATAGGCCAAACGACAAAACCATAACCATAGCGAAAAAGCCAAATGCGTTAATCGACACACGTTATAAAAATTTGAAAGATCAAAACAGCTTAAGTCAACGAGTCCTCAAATTTGTCTAATTTTGTGTCGTATAGATCGATGAGCTTAGAAATGAGGACGGTTTTGCTGTGGGTGCTAAGCGCCGAAAAAGTAGTAAAAAAAAATTGAAACATGACTTAAACGACGGAGAAAAATTGGCTGATTCCGAATATGTATATAACTCAATATCGCAAAAAATGTCGCTTAGACCAATTAGCCTTTCAAGCGTCGATATTATCAATTATAAAAAAATATAAATTGTCATTAATTTTAATTTCCAGGATGGATCAAGAAAACATTCTCTGCTCCATCCTCTTTACTTCACTCCTTACTATTTTCCCTTCTATTACTACCTACATCTAATTAAAATTCAAAATATTTTATTCAGCATTAAATTATAACAATTACTGAATGTCATGAGTGTACTACCAGTTCGGAAAGAAGAAGCCTCAGACCTGAGAAGAATTGGCGAAAGAAACTCAGCAGGACTAATATTATTATTTTATTACTAATACTTACAATAATGAATGTCTAGCTAGTTCATGTGGCATCATCTTAGCATAATCAGTAAAAGATACAAGAAAGGGTGTTCGGACTCCATCCACCAACACTACATTTTTGCCAGTCTTGTCCGGAAGACTTTTCTTTTGCTGTAATGTTGCACCCACACTGAGCGCACGCCTCGTAGTATCTAAGAAATATTTTTTGTACTTAATATATAAAAGGGTATCAAACAACTTAAAAATATATAAAAAAGTAATTAAAGTATTCTTCTATAGTAAGACATTTTTGAAGCAAAGTGTAGATTTTAATAAGGTATTTAATAAATTATTGCGATTTTGCCAACTCCCGGGGTTCAAAGTTTACTTCATAAATACTACAATCTATGTATGTGTACGTGTGTACATAAATAAAGTAAAAATAAAATAATTGATGTTAATAATACTGTGATATAGTAATTTACTTTTACAGCTTTAAATACCTAAACAAATTATAACTGTAAATATCAAATTAAACTTAAAATTACCAAATTTCACGGCGGAAGTAGGGCGAGTTGCTTTTATGAAGGTTTTTGCTATTTGTGATGCCATGGTTTCTTTTAAAAAAATCCGGCTTACACTAAGTCCAATTACTATTTCTGCAATAATAAATTAAGACTTATTATAATAAATTAAACCTTGAAAGTGTAGTAAAAAGTTGGACTCTGACCTGTCAATGAAAATTGAAAGATTGCTACTTCGTAGGAGTTCGTTTAAAAATCTTAAAACATAATTCCACGCTTATTACAATTGATGATTCATTAAAGTATTATTTTAAAAACTCATGTTAAATATTATTTAAATTAAAATGATTTAACTAGTATAAAATTAAATAATATAAAATTGTATACAAGTTAGTTATAGTTAGAGGTAAGTAGTTCCCGAACGTACTTTGAGAAAATATTTTTCTTTCATTGATTTCAAAGTTTATTATTTATAATTCTTAAATTTAAGTATTTTTTATGAATTCTCACAATATTAGAGCTGATATAATTAAATTAAATATTAGAAATCTGAATTTACATAAAAATAATATGTAATTTGAAAAATGTCTTAGAAGCGGGTAGTTATAATTAACAATGCCATTCTCGTTCAGTGAAATAATTTACTTTAATTCACAGTTAGGTGCTCTCTAATTTGGAACGTACAATTGAATTTTTAATATTTTCGTAACTTATTCATCAGAATATATTTCAATTAGTCGGATAAATGTTTCAATAAGCCCAGTATTTTCATAGGTGAGTATATATAATATTGGGAGCGAAATAATATTGATAGTTTTTCTATGTGAAGGTCATTAAAAAATTCGTTGGGCTTAATTAGGTACAAGTATATTCTGAAAAGTTAATGACTGCGTAAATCTATTTTTGAATTAATGTCGAAAAACTCGTCTAGTTCATAATATAATTTTATCATAGTTGCAAAATGAAAATTTAGACACAGAAATTACTAAAACTTTTTAAGATTTAAAATATTTATTTAGGATGGCGGTGCTAATTGTTTTGCTCACGTGGCTAGCCACGTGTTCAGCAGCATTGACCGATGAAATGCAAACTTTCGACCCAGCATGTCTTACGGAAGGTGCATTTAACTGCTTTGATGGCGGCTGTGTGCCCTTAGAAAAATATTGCGATGGAAAATATGATTGTAAAGATGGCAGCGATGAGAATTTTTGTAGTAAGTATTATAAATTTTAAATGTATAAAAAATAACGTTAACTTAAATGTTATCGTCAATTTTGTAAATTATTATTTTGGAAACATACATGGAAAGTTTTGTTTTTTTGTCTACCTACTTTAATTTTGTATATTATCAGCTTTTATAGCATTTTTAAACGTTTTGAATTTAAATTTTCGCGTGTATGTGTGTGTGTGTGTATATGCGGCGGCCATCATGTCACTTACTTTCAAATGCCGTTAAAACCAGTTTATTGGAAGGGGATAAAATACCTTCGTTTTTATTAAGATTCTCATGCAATAAAATAATGTGCATTTTGACATTTTATATAAAAAATAGTATTATCTTTTATTGAGCCAGACTGCACTAAATACATTATTATTTTAAAACCAAAAATCTCTGAAAATTTTACCGATATATCGATATTTTTTCCTTGGGATATCGAGGTCGATATTTTGATAAATATCAATACATCGATATATACATTTTTTTTCACTGCCGACATCCCTATTCTGAACAAAAAATTTCTGATGAAAGACCCGAACGCACGGCCTGTTTCCGAAACGAAAGTCAGTTTTTTTCGTTTCGGAAAATGTACAATGTGTGCGCGTACTTGAATATTTTGTATGTAAGGCAAGAATTCGCGTCTCCCAATTTGAAATGCTTTGCAGAAAACTGTACGTGTGCGGCCGGCCTTACTAATAGTGTGAATGCACTCATTGTTTCTTGTTTACCAATACTTTACCAGACAGATATCGGACTTAGATCGAACCGTGATGGGTGCTATAGTGTGGATCGGTCCTTAGTGTTCAGTGACTAAGTTAAACGAGAACTGCGTGTGTTAGTGAATTTCCATAAGTCATTCTTCGTAACCAAGAGCAATAAAACATCAATAGTGCTAAAGACGTGCTTTAATTTCCGAACACCGAACTCTTAGAACGTAACATTATTTTATTGCGTGTACACTGTACAAAAGTATTAGTTTTCAACATGATCATACTAAATTTCGTCAAATTTTAACTATGTTTATAAATTAAAAACTTCTTAGTTGTTACATGTGAACAGTTTTACATCAAACAAGTATAGCACAGTATTTGGTGCGCGTAAAAAATACTATGCTACACTTTTCACGCAGTCAGGTTTTTTATTTTTGTAATTATTATGTAATGGACTCTTCATGGACCATTTGATTTCAAACAATTCTATTAAAATTCTTAAATAACTCTTTTGTCCTTCTCGTTTTCCAATTATAGAGCATAATGCCGCACTTTGGCGCATAAATACCAACAACCCGAAAAAAAATCTTATATTCTCTGCTACTGAGTCGGTTGGTCACGATAACGGATAAACCAGTAAGTACTTTCCGAACTGCTTGATTGTTCAGAACGTTGCTGTACTTAGTTGAAGCATTCGAAGTTGAGCATTATGTCGCATATTGCGCTTTAGTGCTGTAATTGAAAAACTACTCCTGATAGGCTGATATGGAAGCATTTACATTTACCATTTGACTTCTACGACAGTGTATTTAATTTTATAAACATAAAACATCAAAACCAATAGGTTACCTCTTCCTAATTTTAATTCCAAAAAAAATTATAAGCAAAGATATGTATAATTAATATGCAAGTTGTGAGAAAGAGAATAAATACTATGCTTGACAGGCTCAAGCAATTAGGTTATTCAAACTATAATACCTATCGCTATTTGTATTTTTTTGTTTTTATTTTTGAAATTTAAAATCTAATAATAATGATTTTTTATTTCAAATCAAATAATAATTACATTTTGAATGATTTAGAGGACTTATGTTTGCTTGTTGATGATTTAGAATCTTCCAATTTTTCTAACCTTTCATTCTGTCTTTCACATTCTGCAAGTAATAAATCAAGTTTTCTACTTTGTTGTTTTGCTTCATGCAATAATTGTTTTTGTCTTTCTATTGCTTCTTTATCCATGGCAAAATACACTAAATAAAAAAAATTAATAAGTTTAAAAGGTATTTGAAACAAAAAATGTGTAAAAGATAATTCAAAATCACTATTTTGAAAAAATAAACAGCTACCTAATTGAAAAAAGATAACTCTTTTTGAAAAGAGTTGTCTATAGAGAATTACTTAATTGGTAATGTTTATAAATCTGTGTAACTTACGTTTCAAAGTTAAATTTTGCGATCAAAACAGTGTATTTATAATTTAAACAAAATTTTAATAATTAAGTATATAGGTAGATACTTGTGCAATAGGATGGTGCGTTTATTATGAAACTTTAAATTACACTTGAACACAATTTATGATTTAAATTTATAATGTAAATATAAAGTATTGCAATCTGATTATTGCAAAGAACTCAAAACAATAGGCCACGTAAGTACGTTTACGTTTAAGAAATGAAGGGCTGCCTGGGCTTAACTCGAATTAACTCGAGTTGAATTCTCTCGGACTCGAATTGGATTTGCGTGATAAATGAACGAATCAAGCGAGTACGCGATTGACCTTACGCAGACGCGGCGTTTAGTTCGTTGTGTTCATGTTTTGTTCAGTCGACAGCAATTCAGAATATACATTTATGTTGCAAAATCGCTCCTATTACAACCGAATAAGATGCCACAGTATTTAACTTAATCACTGTCGTCCGTACTCCCGTCATAGCGTTTCAACCGAATGACAGCGTTATAATATCCATACTAATATTATAAATGTGAAAGTATGTTTATTTGTTTGTCCTTCTTTCACGTCGAAACGGAGTAACGGACTGGGGTAATTTCTTGGGTGAAAATAGTTCGTAGATGGAGGGCTGGAGAGTGGTATTGACTACTTTTTACCGCTTACACTTTTACACTTTTACGTTATAATACAACCCAAAAAAAAATTTATGCTCAGAATTACTTGAAACTTGGTATTAACGCTCTTCAATACAATTAAATAAATAAATGTTTTAGCATTCTTCGAAATTTATCCCGTAAGGGGGTAAAATAGCGGATGAAATTTTGTATGAAACCTACCTTTTTAGTGTTTTTTTGGAATTTTACCGCGAGCGAAGCCGCGGGTCTGCTAGTAATAATATAAATAAATAAATATAAAAAATATAAATAATTATAATTGTCCTAATAAATATTTATTTAGAATCTGTACCATTTTTTTTTATTGTTGCGAAGCCGAGTCATTAAATTGGTACAAACAAAACAAATCATTCACTTCATTTTTCATCCAGTTAATTCGAGTTACGTTACTCGAGTTACGTGAATTTCAACTCGAGTTAACTCGAGTTACATTTTTTCCGAGTTGGCACATCACTAGAACGGACTAGTTCAATCAACCGGTCGACGATGCGTCGACGGTTCACACTTCACATTCCACGTATTTCAACTGAATTAGTTCAATTCATAGACTGAGACAGTCCGTCTCGCAACGTAAACTAGTAACTATAGACTGTCTAGCGTCTACATCTACATTGAAGCGTATGTGAACCACAGTCCACGATTTGAACTAGTCGATCGACTAGTCGACGAAAGAAAATAAACGGTCTAGTTTCGTTCACGCTAAATACATCGACGACCCATCGCTACTGCCAGTTAGATGGCATTGGCATCAAAATATTTACTGATACCTCTATCTCAGTATATATAAGTTACTTTATACTTTATATATGTAGCAATATACTCTATGCTTTATGCTCAGTAGAGCCACCTTATTTTATACCGCCGAGCACTGAAAGTATACCAAATTAAATCTTATTACACACATCAACAAAACTGTCGAGAAATAGTCTATGAAAAATAAATTTTTTGTCACTTTAACTTACTTAGAAGGTATGAGAAAGTAAATAAATAATTAGTTTTTCTAGATTGTCATAAATTATAAACGATCAGTCCAGCTTCAAATAAAAATTATACCATTGGCGGTAAAATTTAAATCTGAAAAAAGAAATTAATGTCGTTACGTAAAAAAATTATAAGTCATACGAAAACTTAGATACAAATGTTTTTGAGAAGTTATTTATAAGGAAGCCTCTGTTGACGATGTTCTTTTTGCTTGCTTTTCATATGAATAAAAAAAAATACAGCCAAATTTATATCATAAACCTTGGTTTATCGGTGCCAATATGAGCATGTTCTAAATGAGGATCAGTACAGTTATAGCAAATTCCATAGAACTAGTATCCACGTTATTTTATAAGACATAAGAATGATATAACTTTTTGAATTATCGAAATCGGACCATAACTTACGAAGATATTAAGTAATAAACATTACGCCGTTCCTGCCGGCAAAATCCATGAACGCGGGTGCGTGTGACGTCACTGTGACGGTCCGAACGTAGCCGGCCCACTGCCCGGGCCTCTTCACAATTTCGCGACGCGGTTGGCTACTACATTTAGTAATTACTTATTTAGTGTTTTTTTCAAGTGTGTTTGTGATATTTAAATATAGAAAGTATCTACATCTATACGTATAATAAAATTCTAACTAAGTCGAATCTGTACATTAAATACTTTTTGGAAAATCTTATTGAAATAGACATTATTATCGACACAGAGGCCGAATCTATAGTTTTTAGAATTTTTGTCCGTCTTATCCGTCTGTGAGATTGAGTGAGGTTTTGCTCGACTTGCCTAACGTGATTAATGGATGTCCCCTTATAACTATAATGGTGGCACGATTACTTTGTGACCAAACCCCTTTAATATACAGATTAAAAGTATACATATTTATATTAATTTATGTACTAAATCGTGATTTTCATCCAGCGAGCCACACTCCCGACGCGTTGTACTGCAACGACACTCACCAATTCCTCTGCGCGGACGGCCGCAAGTGCGTGCCGAGTGTGTGGGTGTGCAACAACGAGACCGACTGCAATGATGGTAGCGACGAGTATAACTGCTCTGTGCCCCTAGAATATGATAACGTAAGTCACGCCATAACTATGTTTACCTACCCTACCCCAGCCTGCAAATTTATGATATTTGCAATGAAAAAAATACTAATCGATAGATTTTCAATAGCTCAATTTAACTACGTAGCCCTTTCAAATTGCTCACCTTTAATTATTTAATTAAAAATCAATAAAATCTTTGAAAAAAATTAATTTATCTGTATATTCAAACTCCTATATCTTTTGATGTATACAATATTTCAAATTGCTCAAAGTTCTAAAACACTGCTCAAGTTGCATTTGTAATTGCTCAAGTAGAGTTTTTACCAGCTCCACTTTCGCTGATTATTAAATAATTAAAAGTATAGTTGTAATAAATGTAACGTAGGTTAAGTGAGCGTGCGCATGCGCACCGCGCATTGTCGGTCGGCCTCGGCGGGCTTGGACAATCGTTCCAATTCAACGTCTTAATTTTGTTTCTCGGTGGATTTCTTTAAATTTATTGAATTTATGAATTGTTCACATTACGTGATTCCACTTCAGATATTATAACATAAAGAACAGATCTGGAATCTACCAATAAATGAAAATTAATACCAACAGATAAATTAAGACAAAATCTTATGTTCAAATGCTTATTCTATTAAGGTAATAGCCATGACAGGGATCATTAGTAAAATGTTATTAACATCAATACAAGACGGAACTTTTTTTATTTTTAAATATACATATAGTTTAATGACATTTTTATTTCAAAGAAACAAACTGCATGAATATAAACTGCCTTTAATATAAAGGAATTTTGAACTCTGATCAGCAATCAATAATTTAATAATACTGCTGTTTGCGCGCATGCGCATATATTATTTAATAATTAAGGAAAGTGGAGCTGGTGAGAACTCTACTTGAGCAATTACAAATGCAACTTGAGCAGTGTTTTAGAACTTTGAGCAATTTGAAATATTGTATACATCAAAAGATATAGGAGTTTGAATATACGGATAAATGAATTTTTTTTCAAGGACTTTATTGATTTTTAATTTTATAATTAATGGTGAGCAATTTGGAAGGGCTACGTAGTTGAATTGAGCTATTAAAAATCTATCGATTAGTATTTTTTTCATTGCGAATATTATAAATTTGCAGGCTGGGGTAGGGTACCTACTATGTTTTGCACAGTTCCAAAAATCGACTTTAAAGGGCAAATATGATCGGTTTTTATATTATTAATAACTTATTGTGCAAGGAGCCATTAGTAGATACTATAGGATGTTATTTCCATACGCATTTCCTAACAAATCTATACAGATGAATATATTAAGTGAAGTGTCTGTTTGTAATGTTAAAATAACCGCTTATTACTAAATGTATATGAAATTATATTACGGTACAACACCATTTTTAAAAATTTTGTCTGTTGTCTGTCTATCTGTCTGTCTGTTTGTTCCGGATAATCTCCGAAACGGCTAGACTGATTTTGACGGCACTTTCACTGGAAGATAGTTGATTTTATAGGAAGTAACATGGCTACTTTTTTATTTTAGAAAAAGAATTAGGGTTCCGCTTAAAAAAACTAAAACGTATAGGGACGAATCCGAGCGAAGCGAGCGTGAGTCGCTAGTATCTATCTATTCAAAAAGTGGCGTCGACGTGATAATAGGAGGTCCCGTTCTATGTCTGGACAGTGAACTCCTTACTCTTTTTCCAGACGAAATATAAACTACGCAACATATTAATAAACACGATCCAGGGGAGTTGTCACCAAAAATTTGCTCCAGTTGTGATTTAAGAAAAGTCGCATTATTTTGAATTGTGTATCTTGTGTTTTTCTATATCAATGTTATAACATTATAATTGATGTACAAAAACTCAATTATATTGAGATGTTTTCATTTCCAGTCAACGTGCCATGGTTTCCTCTGTGATGATAATAAGAAATGCATATCTAAGTTCTGGACGTGTGATGGGTACTACGACTGCGACGACAAATCCGATGAAGACATCAAAGTTGCTTGCCGTAAGTTTTCAAATCAAATCAAAATTTTATTTCGATTCGAAATTCAAAATTTTATTTTAATTGCGCTCAGATGACCAAAAACCAAATTCTTATAGTAGGGGAGCCGAAGAGGGGATTTTCTGTAGTTACTCGAGCGCGGCAGATTAATATACAGGGGGATACCTTGTACCCGGTTAGGTACCTCCACAAAACATGAGGCCCATATATAAGGCCGCCCGTGAAGGATACAGGATCAGATTAGTAAAAAAAAATTGACCATCAGAAATTCTCGAGCGCGTCAGATTAAGGTAGGGTGAGTTAATTACATCCTAAAAAGTGTATATTCCTCTAATCTGACAATTTGAGAGTGACGTAAAAAAAGGGGAGGGCAACAAAGTTGTAAAAAAAACGTCATCTCGACATTCTCGAGCGTAGCTAATTTTTTTTTATTTTGAAGGAAAAATTTCAAGAATAATGAAAAATATATAATCTGACGATTTCCGCAAGCCGAAATAACAAAAATTCGTCGATAAAGTTAAATGCGTGCAGCTGCGTGATGCCTACATTTCCTTCTCCGTGTGTCTATTCCTCTCTCACTCTTTCTCTATCTATTACTCTCTCACTCCGTCCCCACTCTGGTTTCTGCCGCCATGACGCCATCACAGCTGATCATAAAGACTCAATTGTGGCATATTGTTTACAACGTGTTTCCAACGTTTTGGCTTTTTTTGCTATTTTAATATTATTTGTGTGAAGTATGATGTTGTCACTAAGTCTGTATGTATGTATGGGTGTGTGTATGTGTGACTCGCTTATATCTTTTCAACGACTAAACCGATCGGAATCTACTAAACGGCGTTCTAAAGATTTCCCTCAAAATTAGATTTCCTGTGAATTTGAACCGATTCGGACCGATAGATTTTGAGAAATTTTGAAAAATCTCAAAAAAAATAAGATTTTTTTTTGAAAGTGTTTTTTTTGGAATAACTTTTAACCGGCTTTTTCAATTAACTTCAAAAACTAATCCGCTCTTAAGCTAGAAAAACCACGCCGATCGTCGCTAATCCGGTCAAAATCGGTTGATTCGTTCGAGAGATATCGTGAACGAAAGAAAACCGAAAAAAGTGTTTTTTCGGGATTACTCCGAAATTTTTGGTTCGATCAATTAAAACCTGAAAATAACTTATGAGGATGATAAAACTGCATCGAATGGCGTCAACCGTGTGAAAATTGCTTGATCTATTCAAAAGTTATTGCGGTTTGAAATTCCAAAAATAGTGTTCTATGAAACTTCTATCAGACTTTCGAGCTGGGAGAGCTCAAATGCATAGAAATATTATTTTTTTGAACTCAGCGAGCTCAAAATATCACATAAATTATATTTTGAGCTCAAAAATGTCATAAGTACAATTTTAAGCGCACAGGAATGGAATTAGCGGGAAGTTGCAGGTATGGCCTTTAAGGTGAACCGTTTTTCTAATTTTTTTTTGTCAGATCAGGCGAATCCCTCTAGAAAATTGTCAGATTATGAGACAGTACGTTTAGAACATAAAGATGAACCATATATATCTTAATCTGACGCGCTTGAGTATTTCAAAATGGCGATTTTTTTTTGCACATTATGAAAATGGCCGCGAGTTGGCGTCCCATCGAAATCGTCAGATTAGTGAATGAGAGCTTTTTTTTGGTGCACTTAACACTCCCTTAGAAAATCTGACGCGCTCGATTAAATTTTTTTTTTTCATTTTCAACCCTTAAATACAACCACCCGCATCATGCAAACGATCAGATTAACATACGTACATTATTAAAAATACGTAGGGCATTGATGCTATCAATATCTGACGCGCTCGAGGATGTCTATGCAATAGTTTTTTTTTACATATTTAAAAATCTATAGCCGCTTCCCCCACCGATGTGAAGGTATATATCATATAACATTTTTTTCTTCTTATCATCTAAGCTTTGCATCCCAATAGGTCTCTACGACGCTCGAGTAAATCCCCATTTAGCATCGTGGGCTCCCCTAATATTAGGTATTACATATTAGTATACTCTTACAATGCAGTTTTTGTATATTTTCTTAGAAATGACATATTTTCCCGCGGTAAAAAGTATCCTATATGTTGATCCGGAATCCATATAACCAGTTATCACTATACCGAATTTCATTAAAATCCCTTCAGTGGTTTTTTGTGATGCGGTAACAGACAGACAGACAGACAAAAATTCTAAAAACTATAAATTCGGTCTCTGTATCGACAATAATGTTTGTTTCAATAAGATTTTCCAAAAAATATTTAATGTACAGATTCGGCTCAGTTACAATTTTACTATAATATATATATATATATACTTTTACAAGTACGGTTGGATTGTCAATATTTACATTTAAATGTGTTAGCGCATGAGAAAGCTACTAATGACTTTTCTTCTGCCGAGAAGAGCCGGGGAGAAATACGACAGTTGCTCTTTTAAAAATAATATTTGTTTACAATTATTCCGTGACAGAGCAATATAATGGATATTTAGTTTAATAAAAATTTAACTGCCACGATGGTCTAGCAATATAGATGATTAACGAATCCAGAACGGGTTCAAAATTTCGTGTTAGATTGAGTTATTGAAGTTTTTTTTCAAGGTAGTAAAGAAATTGGCAGAGTGTGTGTTACGCTATCATTTTTCCAGAGTCTTTTGGAGTAAGATTTCGAATACGTTTCGTGTCTCAAAATCCTGGGACTTTTTGTAAATTTATTGTCTCGGTTCTCGAGACTTTCGACTTGAGACACTTTTTAAGTACATATTTGTGTACACGCTCTCTATAATATCTCATACGTAGTTGACTACTCCAGATGATTTACAGGTTACTGATCGAAATTATTCAGGATGATATAATATAAATATTTCAAGAATTAACTTATAGCTTTCAGTTTTAATATTTTTTATTTTTTTTCTATTTAGGGCATTCACTACACATGCAGCTTTATGCTTCTATATCGGACTGCGAGTACAGGTCGCATCGATACTCGTGCCTCGATAACTCCTTCTGCCTGCCTCAGGACTTCATGTGCGACGGAATGGTGGACTGCAGGGACGGTAGTGATGAGGGCCCTTTCTGTGAAAATTGTAAGTGCTAAAATTGACCAAGTAATCTTTACCATTGCCACAGTTTTTATAAATTTATATGGAATGAATTTATATGCTATTTTAATGGACTGTTTGCATCAGAAGATTCTCAGATGGTGATCAGGCTTTTTATTTTTACGAAAATGCCGTCAGATTAAAGGAAGTCTGCGTATCTAATACTATGTTCCTGCGATTTTTTTTATTTCTGGATTTTAGGCATTCGGGCTCTTTGTTTTTGTAATTGTTATTTTATTTAAGAGCCTTGTTTAATTTTTTTTAAGAACCTTTTTTTAACTCGATTACTGCACGAAGTAAATGACTAAAATACATACAAAAAAATATTTCTTTATTATGAGTAAAATCATTTTAAAACATTCTTTTATACTATAATTTTTACTCAAAACATTTTAGGGCACACAAAATGCGACAACTTCACATGCCCAAAGGAATCGTTTTGCAAACAGCATCGTACAGGCGTCACGTGCATTTGTGATTCCTACAATGTTTACAATGAAACGACCAAGAAGTGCGAGGAGACGGATAACTGTATAGCCGAAAGACCGACCTGCTCTCATATGTGCGTGGATAAGGGAGATTACTTTAAGTGTATCTGTGATCCCGGTTATGTTCCCGACCCCGCTGGCTATTTGTGTTTTGCTCCAGGTGAGTAGAACTTACCGTTTTGTCGCCTTAGTGCTTATTTGTTCTAATAACCAATACTTGTAGCTTTACAGTAGAGAGTTTTTATTCTATTTTAAAAACAAAGCTCTTTTTCTAAGATTTATATACATATGTAGATAAAATACATCAATTCGGGAAACGTCGGGAAACAAAAATACAAATAAATCCGCGACAAAATCCGAAAAGATAGTTTTATTTAAAATGTCAAATATTCGCGTAAATCTAAGAAAGTATTACATCAATTCGATTTTTTTTTAAGTAAAATAATATATACATATTTTATTCCAATATATTTGAGTTTTAACAATCTGTAATTCTGTAATATATGCAGGAATCTTTTAGCATTTCATTACTAAGAGTATGTATTACTTCATATTATAGTTTAATTTTATCTGTGTACTAAATTTCATCCAAGTCCGTCCAGCCGTTTCGGCGTGATGGAGTAACAAGCATTGTATAATATAGAGCTAGGGTGGAGCGAAAAAATTTGATTTTTTTTTCTTAGCTCGGGGCTAGAATTTGTAGCTTATATAAATAACAACATTTTTGAAATAAATAAATTTTTACTCAACATTTCAAGGAGGCCCGGTCCACTGATTTTTAAAATAATCAATTTAAATTTTTGTAATATTGCATAATTGCATAAAAAACAACATGTTACTTTTTGTATTACACTGAAAGTTGAGTAGAAAATGACTGTATTCGTCAATTCTTGAATGTTTTCAAAGATAATCCATTCGAAAAAAATCATTTAAACTAAAAATTTCAATTAATTACTTATTTTAAAACTCATTGGGCCACCTCCTCCCTCCTCCAAATGTTCAATATTTTTTTTTATTTCAAAAATTTTGTTTTTTTAAAAGCAACAAATTCTACCCTTAAGCTAACAAAAAAAAAACAAAAATTGTTTTATCACTCCACTCTAATAAATATGTACAAACAAACCTTCACATTTATAATACTAGTAGTGTGATGATTGACATGACGACTCTTTTTAAGTAAAATTTCGAATTGATAATAATTATATTCCATTTTTTTAAATTCTAGATCCAGAAGCACTGCTATTTTTCAGTACACGCAACGATATTAGATATGTGAAAGTGAAGTCTAAACAGCAGGTGACTGTTTTGACTGGTATTAAACAGGCCCATGGCGTGTCGTACGATGGGAATTATTTATATTGGGTGGAGACTGCTCAGGGTCACCAGGCTATTATGAGGGCTCATCTTCAGAACGTTGAAGAGTCTAAACAGGTTTGCGTTATAAAATGTTTTGTACAATAGCAGATTTAGGCTTACCGTGAGTACTGGGCCTAGGGCGGTTTTTGAGGGGCGCCGAAATTTTTAAGACGACTAAAATAAAAAATCAATTGGGTTTTCTGTAAACTGTACCAAATTTTAAAGTTTATTTTCTTGCGCTCTTACAATTTAAACATAGTACCATTTCAAGGGTAGAATTTCTTTGTTATAATAATTAATGTATATATACTGTTACGAAAGGAAAAGGGCGCCATATCGACTTGGGCGTACGAACCTAAATCCATTACTGTACTCCTTGCACTCTTTACTCTTTTGTATTTCATAATGGGATAGGACATTCGAGAAGTGAAATCGGTTCGAGGGAAGTGGATGTAATATCATTGTTTTTTGAACTAAAAGCTATTATTGAGAATTTCGAAACATAATACATATAGCGAACGGAATTCAAATATTAAAAGATGATGCACATTCGCGCGCAGCGCGTTGTCTTTGTATCAAGGGACTTCTAGGTCTGACGCTGTCACCCTGCGTAAGAGAGGACGTCCAGCCAAGTCTCAACCACCTAGTAGTGGCTGTGACTTGGAGGGGGAGGATATAGCGAACGGAATTCAAATATTAAAAGATGATGCAATACGACACCCCCGCCGCACGCGCTGCCCGCCGGCCGCTATCGCGGACGGGAGGGGTAATTAGTTATGTTCGGGATGCGCATTACACTAGACCACGCCGCTCTCTCTTACGCCGTTGTTTTATATCTATACTTACATTGTGTTAAAATCTATTCTGCAACCCATGTACAATAATAGTATATATATTAAAGTGTTAATTATCAGTTTTCGAATATTATTTCCCTTCGCTATAAGTGGCGCCCAACGTGGGGCACGAATGTGAAAATTAAAGTCGTACCTATAGGATGATGCAATCATTCTCAAATATTAACTCATGTTTTAAGTTTTTTGTAAATTGGAACTTTACGATTATCGGTGTACATATATTGTACTTTTTAGTGTGGTTAGGGAATCGTGTGTGATAGTTAGGTACTTATGGTGAATACGCGGTTGCGCCGAGTATTAGCAATGAGTGATACAAATGAATCCGTGCCGCCGCCCCAGCACGAGCAGACCGCGGGATTTGTGTTACCCGCTGATGTCGTGTCCGGCGTGCGTACGAGCGCCGACGCGACGCTCCATGCGTCGCCGCCGCGCCCATCGCCATCTTTACACGTGCCGTTCGCGCATGGTGCGGACGCACCAGGCCACGGTGCGCCGACATAGATACCTACGACACCTACTCCCGTAATTATGACGGACCAGCAGCTAAGTGTTATTTTACAATCTTTACGTATGCCGCCGACTTCGTATACGCCACCGCCTGGATACGGTGCCTATGTGTTACCGAACTTTGCAAACTGCACCGCACGTTTTGACGGCTCAGGTGACGTCGAGGCGTTTATTGACTCAATTGTTATTTATAAAAACTGTTTTAGTATAGACGATGATATAGCTTTGAAGGGACTACCTATGTTATTAACTGGTTTTGCGGCTACGTGGTACCTAGGGGTGAAACATAGTATTTTCACATGGAGTGATGTGCTTTTATTATTAAGGCAGACCTTTGGCCCGCGCATTCCACCACATAAAATATATCGGAAGATATTTGAACATGAACAAGGTGATGAAACAGTAGACGTGTTTGAGTGCAAAATTAGAGCTTTATTTGCACAATTACCTGCTAACAGTCTGAGTGACACGGTACAACTGGATATGATATATGGGTTGTTACACAGAAGAGTCAGGGAAAGGCTTCCACGGAATTCCTTTTCTACTTACACTCAGCTTTTAAGTGAGGCACGCCGTTTAGAGGAGCTTTTTGAAGAGGGACGTAGTCACCGTAGAGCCCGGATGCAAATGCGCTTCCTATCCCGGAGACGTCTCGAGCTTCTTGCGTACCTACCGCATCAAAAGCACTGAGCCATAGGCCCCGATGTGTGTACTGCAAACAATATGGTCACGCGAGGGAGGATTGTAACAGGTTGAAAGAAAAGGCGTCAAGTGTAACAAAAGCAGAGAAATCACCTGATCGATCTCAAATAACTGGTTTCGGTTGTGGAACGCCCGGTGTTATACGTGCAAAGTGTATAAAGTGTAGTAAAACCGCCGCGAATTCCGCGTTTCACACAGTGTCCGCAATCGGGTCGAAGCCGGTAGATCCGAGGAGTCGATCACTCCTAGAAGTGTTAGTGTACGGTGCTAGGGGTCGTGTATTGGTCGATACCGGGGCGAAACATTGTATCGCGAGTGAAAGCTTAAAAGCTCATTTATATAAGAATAACCATAAATTTGTTAAAGTTAGGACAGAATTGAAATTTGCTGATGGCACTGTAAAAAATTTAGTTGTTGATACTGCTCAAGTGGAGGTGACTGTGTTAGACATAGTAGTGTCGACACTTTTTATCGTTCTTCCCGGTGCCACAGATTTCCTGTTAGGCATGAATTTCATTAAGGATTCTGGTATGGTACTTCGATCGGAATTTATGGGGTTTAAAGGGTTCGTTGACCCATGCTCTTGAATTTGAGGGACCTTTAGATAGTTTTAGTGTAGCATGCTCGACTGTGGGTCTCCCACACGATGAGGGAACTGTTTTGAAACCTGAAGAGAGGCGAGAGTTATCAGATGTTCTGGAAAGGAACCAGGATGTCTTTGAGCCAGGGGGAGCCCCTACGACTTTGGCCGACCGCCGCATTGATCCTGGAGATCATGCGCCAGATCGAGTAACCTTTGGAACTCAATACCTCAAGTCATGTGACATATGTAAGCAATATAAGCCTACAAACCTGAACCTCACGGTTCTATTGCAGACTCCGACCCCTCAACAACGCTGTGAAGTGTTAGCGATGGATCTGTTCGGTCCACTACCAGCTGAAAGCCAGGGGGAGGTAAAATGGAGTATCGGGGAGCAACAGGATCGCCGTAAAGCTGTGAAGGACCAACGCCGACGACCAACAGCAAGGTTTAAAGAAGGTCACCTCGTTTGGGTGGAGATGCACAGTCACAGCAATGCTGAGAAAGGGGTTACCAGGAAATTCGCGCCGCGTAGGGAAGGGCCATATAAAATTTCAACAGCCGTCTCTCCAACTACTTTTGACGTGATAGATAAAGAGGGCGAGGTTAAGGGCAAGTACCATGCCAGCGCGTTGTCTTTGTATCAAGGGACTTCTAGGTCTGACGCTGTCACCCTGCGTAAGAGAGGACGTCCAGCCAAGTCTCAACCACCTAGTAGTGGCTGTGACTTGGAGGGGGAGGATATAGCGAACGGAATTCAAATATTAAAAGATGATGCAATACGACACCCCCGCCGCACGCGCTGCCCGCCGGCCGCTATCGCGGACGGGAGGGGTAATTAGTTATGTTCGGGACGCGCATTACACTAGACCACGCCGCTCTCTCTTACGCCGTTGTTTTATATATATACTTACATTTTGTTAAAATCTATTCTGCAACCCATGTATAATAATAGTATATATAGTAAAGTGTTAATTACCAGTTTTCGAATATCATTTCCCTTCGCTATATACATACTGTTTTCTTAAATGATGTTCTATTTGCATGCCTAGATTACAAAATACTTATTTACTAGCTTTTCTGTAGTTGTGGCTTAATAATTTTTATACTTATGGTCAGCTAATATTCATTAAAAGAACTATTTAGTTTTTAATTCAGTTAGACATGAACTCATATGATCTGTACTACATGGAAATCGAATCCGCAATATCCGGCAATTTAGATAAAGAAAACCAAAAAATTGATAACTAAAACAATTTAAATTGTATACGACCAGGTGATAGCAGCCCTAGGTCTAGAAGACCCAGGCGACATAGCAATAGACCATCTCGGAGACAATATCTACTTCAGCGATGCAGAGAGAGGGGTCATATCAGTGTGTCGGCCCGACGGCTCCCTGTGCACTACCCTCAGAACTAACGCGAAAACACCCAAATTTGTTACCTTGGATACTAGGAATGGGTAAGAAAGTGTTTTTTTAGGTATAAATTAAAAAAATATTAAATTTCTAAGTATTTAACGATGATGTTATTTATTTTTCGGACATTACTTATCCATATTCAAATTTAAGGCTTTACCTGTACAAAATATAAGTGGAAATCAATTTAATTGTGCTTTGGAATATTTTAGGTAACATCCCAATGAAAGTGATTTGATTGGAATTACAAGTTATCACGAAAAAACAATTAAAAAAATAAACTTATTAAAACGAGAATTACTAAGATATGCTTAAGAATTTGAATTTCAAGTATCTTCCCACTATCCATCTCGTGGCTCCGTCATCAGATTTAGCTTAATGGGAATTGTACTAACATATTATATTTCACATACAAAGTTTCGAATCGATGTCGATTGATAATCGATTTACCTTATTGAAGTTATACTTCTTTTGGCATCTTTGGAATAATAAGAGTAAAATTTTTACGATGCGCGCGCACACCGACAGCCAAAAGGTGATTTGATGAATTTAACTGCATTCTTTTATAAACAGAGAGTTGTGACATACGGCATGAAATCTTTAGCTATTTTTGTTTTGTTACGTCAAAGGAGCATAACTTCTTACGTGCGTACATAAGTAAACCGCACTTTTTTTTAAACTAGTTTGATTTTTCGATCACAATTTCATTACAAAATTTGCTAAAGTTAATAAAAGCATCTTTTAAACGTAGTAATAAATAATAAATATGTGTATAGCAATGAATACGACTTTCCAGCCAAATGTACTGGGCAGATTGGCACAACAGGGCAGTTCTCATGGTGGCACAGATGGATGGGTCCAAGTCGGAGGTCCTAACCGATAGTCTGACGACTTTCGCCACCGGCTTAGCTCTGGACGCTCCGAACCAAAGGCTATACTTTGTTGATCGGACCATCAAAGTTGTAAGGCTACAAGATAGATTGTTATACGTGAGTATTATTAAGCATTAAAATAGGATTTCTAACAATTTTCTTTATTTTTTTGAAGGAAGTCATAATGTGAATATATTAAGTGAATTTGTGATCAGTTGCTAAAGATTTTATTTATTTATTTATTTATTTTCACATTAGATTTTAATATATATTCATTGAAGCCCACCTATATATTAGAAGAAAATAATGTTTTTTAAGATAATTGAAATAAATTGGTTATACATTTTGAATAAGCACGTTTGAATAAGTCTGATAGAATAGATTTTTTTGAAGACGATATTCTTACTTTCTTAGATTTACGCGGATATTTGACATTTTAAAGGAAACTATCTTTTATTTTTGGTGCCCGACGTTTCGAATGCTTTACAGTAATTAGAAACGGCGGGAAACATAAATCAAAATAAATTCGCGAAAAAATCCGAAAAAGATAGTTTCATTTAAAATTTAAGAGGATATTCTTCTTTACTCCAAAGTATTGACTAATCTAGCGAGTGTTATCGCAGTCATTTTTCGAGGAGCCATTCCACCACCCGTACTCGCTGGCGGTGTTCGAGAGCACGGTGTTCTGGAGCGACTGGACGTCGGACAGCGTGCAGACCGCCGACAAGGTGCACGGCGCCGCCCTCAGCAGGAACATACTGCTCACTTTGGACGAGCCGATATTTGGTGAGCTTAGCTAAATCCCATATTTACAATACTTTCTTAGATATTTTTAACCGACTTCCAAAAAGGAGGAGGTTATCAATGGGTCGGAATCTTTTTTTTAATGTATGTTCACCGATTACTCGAAGACGCCTGAACCGATTTGAATTTTTTTTTTGTTTCAAAGGGTATACTTCCCAGGTGGTCCCATATAAATTTTATCGAAATCGGTCGAGCGGTTTTTTAAAAAATCAACAATAAATATATTTGTTCAATAAATTGTTTAATTGAATAGGTATGTTATAAAAAAACGTTCTTCTTACAAAGTACTTACGAAGTCGGTTTTTTTAAGTTTTTATCTCGAAAAAATCGAAATAAAACTGCAAAATAATCCGAAAAGATAGCTTTATTTAAAGTTAATCTCTTAATTATTTTTTCCAGATATGCACATTTATCATCCTGTGCTGATGAATATTACCCATAACCCCTGTGAAAACCATAAATGCCAGATTTGTCTGGTCACATCAAATGTAACCCACGTCTGCGCTTGTCCTGATACCATGGAAATAGTTGGGGATCATTGTGAACGTAACTTTTTTTATTTTAATTAAGTTTTTCTTTTTCTAATTCTAAGCAGGGTTCTTTCAGGAACAGAAGAAATTTACATATTTTTAAAATACATTATACATAAATACTTTTTAGTTAACACTCGATCTTGTTTTATTGGCATTGCTTTTACAATTTTTTGAGAAACATTGTGAAAACTGAGATGTTACAAATTTTATTAATTTCAATGAACACTTGAGAAATCGTCAAAATTAGTTTAAAAAAAATCAATAGTCTGTTTAGTAGGAAGTAGGTTATTTTTACTATACAGTGAAATCAAAAAATTTTTTTGTCATTATCAGTTACTTGTAAAATAAAAAATAATTGTTAATTGCCATTATCTATGATCAATCTCGAAAAAGACGAGGTACTCATTTTATTTATTTAATTAGGAGGTATTTTTTCAATTTTAAATCCTTCACACAAATGTCTTAAAATGTACATTATAATTTCATGAACATAATACGTATGTATGTCCGTCCACACGCAGACATCCGCGGGTACCGCGCGCAGTACGTGGTGGTGGGCGCGGGCGCGGCCGCCGCGCGCGTGCACTACGACCGCGTCGGCAACCCCGAGGCGCGCGCCGCCGCGCTGGACGTGGGCCGCGTGCAGGCCATGGCCTACGATAATAAACGAGGTTTGTGCATTATAGGGATTGGATTTTACACTATTGCACTATACACTATTACACTATTAAGCTGAACATTGTACACTATAGATATCAATATGTTATAAGCTGTACATTATATGTAGTAAAGCTATAGTGTTTAATAAGAGCTATAACACTATAGTTATATTTGGACCTTTCTCATAATAAAAAGAATTTAAATAGTCAAATAATTCATTAAAATGCTAGTTATACCAATAGGTATACTTAATAGGAATAACAGCTAAGCCATAGCAGTCGATTTATTCAACGCCTATGAGAACACTTCAAAATTATCATTTAATATCATTTATTATACTACATATATACATTTTTTTAACAAGCATTAGCCGACTCAAAGGCACGATCGTTACGCCATTAACAGTGCGTTAAAATGCTACACAATAAGCATACTAGCGACTTATATACTCTAGCTTCGCGCTAGAGACGCACTTTTGCTTCCAGGAGTACCACATAGGTTACAATTAGGACCCTAGTCATCTTTCTATCCAGTAGTTTTAGCGTTAAAGCAGTGCCGGATTAAGCAAGCGCGGGGCCCGTAGCAAATTCTTTTGAAGAGCCATTGATCTGCTATGGGTTTTTAAGTATAAAGTGGTAAAAAAAAAACAATTCAATACTCAATACCTCAGGCCTCAATACGTTTATTTGCCATCTATAGGTTACGCCACTACACTTTTGTGAGTACTGTACTTTTGAGAGACTACAATTTTGTGAGTGATTAATAGTACAGTAGATTTCTATAGGCTTTGTTAGGCTCTGACAAGTACAAAAAGCCAGAGATGAAAATTCCTGGCAATTTAGGATGATTTTGATAAGAAACTAACAATTGAAAAGTGACGATACTGCACAAAATTTTTTTATAGATATTTCTAAATTCTAATACCTTTAAACGACCAATTTTTGTTTATTTATACCGGCGATATAATAAACGGCTCTAACGATTTTGTAGAAATTTGGCATGTGAGGTTTTCGGGGGCAAAAAATCGATCTAGATTAGACTTATGTCTAGGAAAGCGCGTGTGTTCGAGTTTTCATTCGGTTTTCTTTTGCATTATTCCACGCAAATTATGGTCGCTAATTTCGCACGCTCAGGAATAAGCATCGTGGTCAAGTAGCCAAGGCGCAAGATTGAAAATCACAGGTGACCCGAATCGATTCGAATTCAAATCCCGGTCGGATACAAAGCTTTTACTTTTGTTTTATTTTTGTAGTTTTTAGTTTTTTTTAAAATCGTACTTTTGGCCAAAAACTCCGAGCGAAGCGCAAAGACCCAAGGCATCAAATAAGTAATCAAAATCAAGTAATCAAAAGATTATTCTAGAAATAAAAAATTAAAAAAAGCAAGAAAAAGTTAAAAACCGAGTTTTTTGCAAATATCTCTATTTTTCAACGCTTTGCGTCCCGCCATTTCTCGGGGGTAGCTGGCCATAGGGGGCATTTACGAGTTTGAATTCCTTATATAACTTCAAGTTTTCAATATATATTTTTTCTCTTAAAAATAAGCGGATTCCGATTGGTCTATTAGTAGGAAAAGGTGTGACGTATCACGCTTTGTGACATCAAATAAATTCAATATACCACGTCTTAACAAGTTTCACTCAAAAAATCACGCTCAGGCAGAGATGAGCGTGTTTAAATATGCGGGGCCCCTTTTGCGCGGGGCCCGTAGCAATTGCTACTCTTGCTACGTGGTTAATCCGGCACTGCATTAAAGTCTAACAAACATACAAACTTTTGAATTTATAATAGTAGTCCGAACTAAAAAAATATTTTTCTTATTAAATTATTTTCAAACGAAAATAATTGAATAAAACGTCGTGTCATCAAACGTCTGTTTGTTCGTCGTACACAGACACCCTGTACATATACGACAGTCAGCGGAAGGCTATAAACGCTATCAACATGAGCGAGTTCTCGCTGGGCGTCACGCAACTGCTGGCGCACCGCGGCCTGGAGAACGTCGTTGATATGGATTATGGTGAGACATTTATTTTATTTTACTAAGATATGCCTCAGCGGCGTAGTGGCTAGTATGTACGGCTGCACATTCGAAGGTTCTTGGTTTGCGATTCGGGTCGGGTCAAGTTTAGTTACTGAGTCTTTCTGTTGAAGAAGTCCCAGTAACAGCACGGAGTTGGGAAGTTGGTGGTATTGTACCCTCGTGCGTTATCTTGGTTACATCAAACAGCCCTGGATTTACACTAGGGGCGCTCGGGGCTAGTTCCTAGGGCGACAAATTTTTAAGATCGGCAAAATTCGGAAGATGGGGAAAAAATTCTCTTTGCCTGATCTAAAATGCTTTATTTATCTTCCAAAAAATGGAGAATTGAAAAAAAAATATCTAGTACATTTTTTCGAAAAATTGTAATCATTCATAAATTATATTTTTGCATCGAAACTTTACCCATTTAATGCAAAATTTCGATAATTTGGCGGCATTTTTTACTATGTACAGGGGCGGCGGTAAGATTGAATCCGACACTGACATCAAATATTTGTCTAAAATATTTGTCGTCCACTAAAATTTTATTTTATGATTTGTTAATCTAATCCAAATAAAACAAGCAATGTTTTTTTGATATTTCGATCAGATTACGTGTCGGACTCCCTCTACGTGGTGGACGCGGGCCGCCGCCTCGTGGAAGTGATATCGCTGCGGAACCACCGCAGCGCCATAGTGTACTACTTCACCGACCAGGAGATACCTATCAGCTTTTGTGTGCTGCCGGAGTATGGGTATGTTAGCTTAATTTCTAATTATCAGATAGCATTTTCTTTGGATTTACTCAAATATGTTTAAATTATGATTATTTCCTAATATTTTTATAATTATAAGATATTTTGGTGCTATATCTTGGTGTTTACATGGTTTTTACTATTTTTAATTTCATTGGAAACACAGTATATTAATCCCCTTATAATCACCCATGACCATGTTTGCTGTCAAATATTCTAAGTGTAAATAAATAACACCGAAACAATCTAAAAAAAAAAAAATTACATAAAATTATTTCTATACTTTTAATTTGTTGATTTTTCTCATGTCTCCGCCATTTTTGTTACGGCTAACGTTTATATCGTGTAATGATTAATACTAATTTTACTAATTTTAGGAGGATGTTAATAGCTGTTTTAGAACCGGAAAACAACAATGAAATTCATATAGACAGCATCGGCTTGGACGGAAAGGACCGGAACCATCAGTTGATGTCTAATATATTAGGTGAGTACATGCCTTTTTTCTTGCAACTGAATCAAATTTGAAATTCAATTACACCTACATATGTACATTATTTCTCCTTGGAAGAGGCCTTTACCTGCGGAAGGGTTCTTGCAGGTAATTAAATATAACATTAGGATTAAGCATTATTTACTTTTTTGCTCATTGAAGAAAAAAACTAAAATCTTAATAAAAAAAATACAAAAACAAATATACACGTATTTATTACTGTACTATTTTCTTTTTTTTTCAATTAATTGTTTACTTACTTTTGTTACTCTTGCCAGAAATAAAAAGATTTTTTTATTATTTATTTTATTATGTACATTATTTTAGCAAGCGCCATATGATTAATACATTTATCTTTTACTAGCATTGCCCGCGGCTCCGCCCGCGTTCAGATGACCAAAAACTAAATTCTTAGGTGTTACATATTAGTATACTCTTACATTGCAGTTTTTGTATTTTTCCTCAGAAATAAGATATTTTCCCGCGGTAAAAAGTATCCTAGGATCGCGCGCTACATCGCCCGGTTTATATAGCTTGAGCAGGCGGTCGAGCGATGCGGGGCAGAGGGGATGGACTCGCCGTAGGCATCTCAATGCTCGCCAAGCATTAAAAATGTTTCGCTACTAATTACTTCTAACAACGATATCTCAAAAACTATTCATCTGATTGATTTAGTGTAAAGAGCAATTTTAATCTGCATTAAATGACTAAGCTAACTAAAATATTCATTTGGATAAGGATTAATACCGAACTAAAGAAAATAACTTTGAAAATAACGTAATGTTTTTAATTAAAAATGTTAACATAAAAGTGGTTATTGTAAGTCAACCGTAAGAGATAGAGATATGCTATCGCGGACTTTTTTGTAGCATTTTTATAGATTTTGAATTCTCTAGTACATTACTTAACTGTATCTTTGCTAGTTTACGCGGCGTTCGCGTGGAAAGTTCCCATTTGGCGAGATTTTTTGCGACCTCTTCAACATTTGTCGCCGTATTTCAGCTAATTTACATAAAAGCATAATAAATTATATACCTAAACCTTCCTCAAGAATTACTCTTTCTATTGTTGAAAACCGTATAAAAATCCGTTCAGTAGTTTTCGAGTTTATCGCGTACAGACAGACAGGAGGACAGAAAGACGCGGCCGGGGGACTTATTTTTATAATAAGTATAGATAAGTTATGGAAAACTTGCCCTCCTACCCACATGGTCTTAGCAATTTTGTTCGTCATACGGTCGCATTCGCATACTCGGAATGATCGAATTTTGAACAGCGATTTTAGCAATCCGGTAAATACAACTAACGGAGAAATTATTTACATAACAGAAACTAAAATATTTGTTTTTTTTTTATTGTATGATTATTATTTGTTTTAGATTTCCATGCACAAATTTCGGCATCAGAAAATACACACATAATATAATATAAAATATAATATAAATATAATATAAAAAATATATACATAATATATTTAAAAAGATTTTCTTGTTAATGATTTCAAAGCGTGTCAGTCAGTACTTCAAATATCTCGTACCTAAAGGGAACAATGACACGGCTTTCGTTAAAATGTATTAATAATTAAAATATTACCACATAAAAAAATATAATAATATAAGGACTGTAAAATAATAATTGATATTTTCCATACAATTTATTTATAGGACCAAATATACGAGTTCGTTATTCACCCGAAATGAACGTAGTATATATCTCAGACGATGGCAATGGAATCATCGACATCGTTCACCCTGAAGGTATAGTATTGTAATTTAACTAGTTCAATGTCGACTTTGCTTGTGTTAGGTACGATGATAAAAATTAGCCCTTGTGTCAATTAAGGACGAAAATATTCTCCAAACCGAATTTCACTTAAAACTGTTGAGAAAATATAGGTATTATGAAGAAGTAACAAACACATTAACAAACACTCACATCTTCTTTATTACACTTATGAGTGAAACATTATTTAGTTATTGGATTATTAACTAAAATACCTAAAGCACCTTCACAAACAGAAAATACTAAAAAAACTATTAATATAATATTATTTATATTATACTTAATTATTATTAAATATAATATTATAAGAAAAAAATCTTAAAACAATAAATTTTTAATCTTATTAAAGTAATTAATAATATTCTACTGCAAAATCTCGAACTAAACTAAAACATATGATTCGTCAAGTCATATTGGTGATAGTTGAGATTCGCTCATTTTGGACTAACAATAACAAGTATTGATTCCGTTTTTGAATAATTGATCCCTGCGTTTAATTTTATAAGCCATATATGTCTTCAGCCTTTTTTAAAGTCCCACTGCTCCGTATGGTCCTCCCTCCAATACTCAGGGGATCAAGCAATAGTCCCCCACGCTGGGTAAGTGCGTGCGGTCTGTGCATTTCTTATGAAAACTTTCTTACGTTCTCTCAGACATGCAGCTTTTCTTACGATGTTTTCCTACGCCGTAATATAAGTGGTTAAACATCATGGAAATGATTCGCACATGAGAATATGCGCGGCGCAAGATCCAGGATTTGAACCCGCTTCCCTCGGTTTTTCGGAGTGTTACCACTGGGCTACAACTGCCTTATACGATTTGATTAATATTAAATCTGCCCAATCAGGTACTGGCAGAGAGAACTTCAGAGAAGTATTAACAACGATAGCTAGCTTGGCCGTGACTGAAACACATGTTTTTTGGACGGACAGACGTACACAGAGATTGTATTGGGCAGATGTTCATGAGGTTTCTCGTAAAATACGAAGGATTGAACTTTGTGAGTATTATACTATATTATTATTTAATATGTTATAAATTCGCCATTCAAATTTTGAACAGTAACAAAATGGAAACTAGCGTGGAGCAGTCATAAATATATTATTTTTGTTTTACAAATAAATAGAACCAGCGACTTACCCTCATATCGCTCGGGCGTGTCGCTAAAGGACTTTTGTGTTAGATAGTTAAAATTTTAGAATTAACAGTAGCCTATGTGTCACTTAGTTCATAGTGTATCTGTGTACCAAATGTTATACACATTCTTTCAGCCGTTTAGCGTGGAGAAGTAACAAACATACACTTAAAAATTTCAGATTTATAGCATGATTAGGTATTATGATAATTACTTCCAATATTTTATTTCCAGCGATATTTCCGAACAACACTAACTTACACATCATAGCAACATCCCCTCCGCCGGATCCCAAAAGTCCTCTCACAAAGCATAAGTGTTACCAAGAAACTACCCCTTGCTCACATATATGTGTGCAATCATCCCGTACTGCAAACAAAACGGCAGCTTCCACAGACTATAAATGCCTCTGTCCCTCGGGATATCACATGTTCAAAGAGATTTGCTCAGAAGTAGTGAAGTGTAAAAGTAACGAGATATACTGTCATAAGAGTAACGATTGTTTTGTGGAAAGTAAAAGGTGCGATGGTCACAAGGACTGCTGGTATGGTGAAGATGAAGAAGGTTGTGTTGGTGAGTTTATTTAATACTAGCATTGCCCGCGGCTCCGCCCGCGTTCAGATGACCAAAAAGCAAATTCTTAGGTTTTACATATTAGTATACTCTTACATTGCATTTTTTTTATTTTTCCTCTTAAATGAGATATTTGTCCGTGGTAAAAAGTATCCTATATGTTTACCCGGATAACCAGCTATCATCATACCAAATTTCATCAAAATCCCTCCAGTGGTTTTTCTGTGATGCGGTAACAGACAGACAGACAAAAATTCTAAACACAATAGATTCGGTGTGTGTATCGATAATAATGTCTATTTCAATAAGATTTTCCAAAAAATATTTATTGTACAGATTCGGCTTAGTTACAATTTTATTATATGTATGGATTTTTATTATAATGGTTTATAAAAATTAATTTCATTACAGCGTCTGTCACTCAAAAGCCTTCATCATGTCCTTTTGACTACACGAACTGTTACGGAAATTGCATACCAATAAATCAAATCTGCAAAGAAAACACAACAATATCTCGTAAGTTATTAACTAATACTTTCTTAAGATTTACGCGAATGTTTGATATTTGAAATAAAATTATCTTTTCGGATTATTTCGCGGGTTTATTTTAATTTTTGGTTCCCGGAGTTTTGAGCATCTCCCGTGACCACGATTGCTGTAGAAACGTCGGGAAGCAAAAATCAAAATAAATTTGCAAAATAATCCGAAAAGTTATTACCTACACTTACAATTGAACAATTTTCTAAATTAGAGCTGTAAAGATGGTGGAGTTAGGATCGATTCTTATTCTGAATCGGAATGGCTATTAATTTTGATTATATTATTTTTTATTGCAACAACACAATAGTAATTTAATGTTTTATAATGATAATTCGAATTGATTGATCAGTTTTACTGATTGTTCATACATCATTTTATGAAAGATGCTCATAAATAAATATCTTTAATTATTAAGCTTATTTTCTAGACATAGCATTCATAATCGCCCAGGCTAGAGCATGTACTGGATTTAATAAGCTAAAATTTTCATGTCTATAGTGATAAAATCAAGGCGTAGAATTATTTGAATTTTATTCCTTAAAGGATCAAAAATGGTAGTATTTATATTTGAAACTAGCGGATTGCCTGATCATTTCGAGATGCCTATAATAGTCTTTGCTTTACTCCAGATAATTGTTTATGGTGTGTAGTAAATTTCATCAAAGTCAGTCCAGTGGTTTCAGTGTAGTAATAAACATACAAACATATATACATATATTTTCGAATTTGCAATATTAAATAATTAATAAAGCAACAATCAAGCTTTGATAGCATTTATATTTTATACGGGTACTATTCACCTATCGATAAAAAAAGTACTAGATACACAATCAGTGACAAAAAATGTCTTCACCGAATGAGTGCTCATTAGAACATTTGAGCGCGCATTTAATTTACAAAAATTGTGAAAATAACTTTAAACATTGCATAGGTTCAATTTACATTATTGTATTTATCTCAACTAGAATATTTACCTAAACACAATTGGTGACAGTTTTAAGATAACTTTTGCATGGGATTGTGTATCTACTATCTATCTAGTACTTATTTGATCGATTTATTCACCGTTATGTTTTAGTAATATGCGGTCCAAACGAGTTCAAGTGCTCGGACGGGTCGGTGTGCGTGGAGCGCGCGCTGGCGTGCGACGGCCGCTCGGACTGCCCCGACGGCTCCGACGAGCACCCCGCCGCCTGCGACACGCGCCGCTGCTACGACACTGAGTTCATGTGAGTGTAGTGTCACTACACTATCATAGTGTCATTGCACAGTGCTACACTTCACTATAGTGTCATTGTACGCTATAGTGTCACTAGTATAGTGTTATGACTTATAATGTTAATGATAATTATATTGCTGCTATAGTAAATACTAGCGACTCACCCTCGCTCCGCTCCGGTTCATCCCTACTTACGTTTTAACGTTTAGTATAGATTTCTCAGAAATGAGATATCTTCTCGCAGTAAAAAGCATCCTATATATTAACCCGGATAACCAGCTGTCATCATATTAAATGTCATCAAAATCCCTCCAGTGGTTTTTCCGTGACGCTGTCACAGACAAACAGACGGACAAAAATTCTAAAAACTATAGATTCGCCCTCTGTATCAAAAATAATGTCTATATCAATAATATTCTCCAAAAAAAGTTACAATTTTACTATATGTATAAATAGATTTTCCGGGTCTTAAAATACTTCGCTATTTCAATTTTATAGGAGTGCAGCGCTCCGTATTAGGTATATTTAACGTGCAATTTACATATATTATGTGTCGCTCGTCTACCCGCGTAATTTAAAAATTATTTCCGAACTCTTCCTCCTTTAAATTTTGAATACCTAAAAATCGTTCTTCGCGAAAGTATCCGTTGTATATATTGTATTTGTATTTTTATATGTATTGCTCTCATAGCAAGCCTCTAGCCTAGTTATATTGCGATTTAAACAGGAAATGGATCATCTTTCAGATTGTCTTACATTCATTTTAATTTTTGTGATTGAATTGAAGAGGAATTGAAAATAAAAAAAAATAAAAAAAGAATAACATGTTGATAGATTTTTTTATATATTTATTGGGACGTTATATATAAGAAATTATTCGTCACATTATGTATGTAGGTGTTCTTCCGGCAATTGCATCCCAGCGACATGGAAGTGTGACGCGAGTGCGGATTGCGCAGACGGCTCCGATGAAGCTGACTGTGGTAAGTTGTATAGTTTTTATTTATTTACAAATAGCAAAATTTTAATTATTTATTTATAGTAGTGAAGGCAGTGGTAGCCCAGTAGTAGCGCGCTCGCTTTGGAAATCGAGTGAAGCGGGTTCAAATCCCGGGTCTCGCTTTTGTGCTATTTTCATGTGCGAATCATTTCCAACATGATTACCACTTGCCTTACGGTAAAGGAAAACATCGTGAGGAAACCTGCATGTCTGAGAGAACCTAGCAAGTTTTCGAAAGACATGTTCAGTCCGCCCACACTTGGCCAGTGTGGTGGACTTATGGCCTGATCCCCCTCGTACTGAAGAGGAGCCCGTGCCCAGCAGTGGGACGTCAAAAAAGGGTTGAATACATACTGAAAACATAATTCCGGTGCGCACCCAGAAGGGACAATTTTTCACAATAACAGTAGCCAGTGTTCAAACAAACAAATATAGTCTAATAATGATCTAAGTAATTTCTTTATATTTCATTTGGCAACTGTATTAGGAAAGTATAATATGATCTGTGGTACAAATAACATTTCCTGAAACATACTTTCATAGATTTACGCGAATATTTGACATTTTAAATGAAACTATTTTTTTGGATTTCTTCGCATATTTGTGTTGATTTTTGGTTTCCGACGTTTCGAATGCTTTACAGCTATCATGGTCACGGGAGAGATCATGACGTCGGGAACCAAAAATAAAAAAAAATCACAATAAAATCCAAAAAGATAGTTTTATTTAAAATCATGGAACATTTTTAATTTTTCCTTTACTTTTCAAAATAGAGTTATACAGTGAATCATGTCCGGAAGACAACTACCGATGTAGCGATGGTACTTGCATCAAACTGTACAAGCGTTGCGACGGCAAGTACGATTGTATGGACAGAGATGACGAGGACGGCTGTGATATCGATGAGTTTATTGAAACGGTGAGTTTTAAATAACTACTATAGATCACCTGGCTTTCTACAATTGATATCGCTAATAGAAAACTAAGGAAATATATTTTGAGCGGGGAAGAACAGGTGTAAGTGCACTTCATGCATTCGGATGTGCTCCCGATTATCATGCGCATTTATATATGACGATCGGAAGACTGCTTTAGGGTTGATCGGTATAGTAAATTGTAACATACTACACAACATACTGGTGGCACGGCGTTTAGACCTTGAAACCGTTCACCATGAAAATTGGTATTTTTGACAACCCTCATATTTTACGGGAGTTCCATTAAGGTCAAAGTCGATCACCTTGCTGTATGTATTTTTATGCTGTGATAAAACTAAAATAGAAGCTATTTTTTTTCTAGATCCATTACATAGTTCTTTTATTTCTAGTTGTTATATTTTCAAAAATAAATAAATTTAGTACTGAATAAATTGCGTACAGGAGCCCGTGTTGACATGCTCGTCCGGGGAGTTCGCTTGCGAACGCAATAAATCGATTTGCTTGCCGTACACAGCTCGGTTAGATATAGTTTTATTCCTTTCTTGTGTTCGTCTATAATATACAGTGTGGCGACGACTTTATAACATTAAGAGTAAGCAAATAGATATTATTTAAAAAAAAACATCTGCTGAGTTTCTCGCCGGCTCTTCTCAGCAGAACTGCTTTCCGAGCAGGTGTTAGATTCCGCACGGACTGACTATACTGATATTTAATTTAAATTTAAAATTCACGATTCAAAAACGTTTGTAAAAGTTTTTTTGAATATAGTGTAATTTGATTTGATTTAATGAAAAAGCTGTTGATAACTACCTAATATATTATGTGAAAATTAATTATTTAACATACGTGTTTCTTTATAATATTCGTTTTATAGACTGCGAATCATTGACACCTAAAAATTAAAAAAAATACTGAGAATTAAAAACAAACATTACATAGGTAATTGGTTTCTGAGAAGTTATTTATAAGTAAATGTAAAAAATCCGAGAAGTAAGGAAAATTTTCCCGTGGATCTGAAAGCTTGAACAAAATTCAATCGATCCAAGGGTCAGCTACGGGAAAACTTCCCGTAGATCGGGCGAATAATCGCGTGCTATTTTTAAATACGTAGAGATGCTTAATGTTATAAAGTCGTCGGCACTTTGTAAAATTGTGTTGTTTTTGTGCTGGATAATGTTGTGTTTGTGTGTGTGTCTAACTATTTGCTTATTAATTGCCGTTTATAATTATAATTTGCCGCTTATAATTTGCCGTCTTAATCGATGCACGGGTGGAGGTAATGATTAATACAATTAAAAACAGAGTTATTCTGTAACAAATTTTATATAACTCGACAGCTGTATCTGCGAACTTATTTAATATTAGTAGTATGAAGTATGATCGCGAATTCAGCTGTAGACTTACGTGAATGTTCTTATAGAAAAGCACTACAGATTGCGAGAAGTTTTGAAGTATTTTTTCTTCACAGTTGTAATTCAAAAGTCGACTGTCCCGGCGCCACAGACGAGGATGGCTGTGACTTGCACTGTGAGACTCGACTCAGTTCGCTATTCTCCTGCAAACAGGAGTACATGTGTATAAATAAGAAACACGTGTGCAATGGACGGAAGGATTGCACTGATGGTTCTGATGAAACGCTCGAGGCTTGTGCGAAAGGTAAGATTTTGTTTATATTTGTTTAGATATTACTATTATCTAATACGGGACCGCCCTTGAGTTAATATTTATTCATTAAAAAAACAGTTTATCATTGGCGAAAATTAAAGGACGGCGTTCACATAAAAAATATATATAGCCGAGTCGGATACCTCCTTTTTTTTAAATTCGGTTAAAAATGAAATATAGTAGAATGAGTATTATCTATCATTGCTACGATTATATTATATATTTTTTTTTATATTGTTATATTTAAGTGAACAAGACTGCTCCACTACATTCTATGTTCCCGATGAGTGACTGTAGCAGAGGCTATCGATGTGACAGCGGACAGTGCATAGAGTGGTCCCAAGTGTGTGATACACGCCCTGATTGTATCGATCATTCTGATGAAAATGGTTTATGCGGTAAGTTTTACATTGTTATTGTATATATATATATATTAATCAGAAATTAATAGGTGCATACTAGAGATGAAACGGATATCCGACTAGTGTTTGACTACGATTTATCTGGCCTTATTATACTATCCAGCTGGATACCGGATAGTAATGCAGTATCCGGTTGGAAACCGGGTATTTAAAAAAAATACAATTTTTTTCTTTAAAAAGTTGTGACAAGTTATTTGGCTATCAAAATAACGTGGTTGTAAAGTGGTTGAACAAATAAACAATTAATTGATCGGTGATCAGTAAATCACAATGTCACTCGAGTACACCCGAATTCTTCCGATAATCTAGTAGTAAAGCTTCCCTGCAGAGACCCCGTGCGCGGGCGCGTGCCCGGGCGGCTGCGCGCGCACGCCGCGCGGCCCGCGCTGCGCGGGCGCGGGCGCGGACGCGTGCGCGGCGGGCGCGTGCGCGCAGCGCTGCCGCAGCCTGCCCGGCGCCTTCGTGTGCGCCTGCTACGCTGGGTACGCTTTGCGGTAAGTTTGTACTTACTCTTTTACCCGGCTGTAACGAATACTATTTATAATATTTGTTTTTTTTTTTATGTACTGTTATTTATTATAGAAAGAGATATATAAGATCGGAATTAAATTTGAATCGATTTATTTATTTAGTTTTATTTTTTACATTTTCATAAAGAGACATCTCGGAGTTGGAATATCATAGAGTATTTTTTGGCAATATTTCTAACATTTACTGAATGATTTGGATATTTTAAAATTTAAATCCATGTAATAACACACTGGCTCTCTCAAAACCTATGATATCTACGTACTGAATCAGATCTGTTATTTTCTACCGAGATAGTGATACCCCTAAATATCTATATAATATAGTGATATCCAGTAAATTAAAAATAATTAAATTTTCATCATCATTAATTTTTAATATAAAATAATACACAAATAGCACGTCTAAACGCATTATTTTATAAATAACTTAGACCAGATCGTCGTTCCTGCAAAGCAATCGGTGGCCGCCCCACCATACTGTACGCGAGAGGTGCCTCCGTGTGGTCAAACACTAACCACGTCCATAGCCAAGTGTACCAGAACGAGGGGGAGATCAACGATCTGGATGTAGATGCAAGGTAAGTAATGTTATGATAGTATTGTATTGTATAATATAAGGATAAATAAAATAATTAACATATAATAATAATTATAACCGTTTTGCTTTCCAAAGAAACGGATAAAATGTATAGAGAAATTAAAAAACATCTGATCTCATAATATTTCCTTAGATTGACACGAATATTTGACATTGAGCAACCCGCAAAGTACACCCCCCCCCCCCCCGAAGAGGGCCACCTCCCACCGCCCACCGAAGTGGGCAACCTCCCTGTGCGTTTCTTAGCTTCGCGCCCGGTTGGATTGCCGGGCACTACTGAGCCCCCCCACCACGACAAGGTGAACGCACATTGGGGGGGATACGAGTCAACCTTATCGTAAGGTGTTGTGGCGAGAAGACTTGGTATTGATCTCTTAAAATGTTTTAAACTTAAAAAGTTTACTGCAAAAGGTTAAAAGGTGTATTTACGTAACTTAACAATTCATTAGTTCATATTGTTTAACGCAATTCACTTAACGACGTCTTCCATGCTAGGAAGAGACAAAGTTGATAGAAAACTTGAATATTACAAACAAACTTTCTAAAGTTTTTTAATAAGTACAGTATACATTTTGTAAATTTTTATAGATTATTCAACTTTATATAACTAACATCCTTACAATAAATTACTAGAAGTCTAAAATTCGACTTAATGTTTTTCTTCTTCATTTGATCTCGAAAAATTGACAAAAATATAACCTTTTCCTAAAGAATATATTTTATTGTAATTCAATATTGTAGACGTATATTATTCTAAAAAAGCATTTGTTACATATCTCGCCGGCACTTCTCAGCAGAACTGCCTTTCGAGTCGTGGTAGATTCCTCGCGGACTTACTACTGACACTTAATTTAATCTATACAAATATTATAAAGAGTAAAGTTTGTGAGTTTGTGAGATTGTGGGTTTGTGACGTTATATGGCGTAATATCTAGATCTACTGAACCGATTTAGATGAAATTTAGTAAGAAGATAGTTTGAGACCATGGGAAGGACATAGGATACTTTTTATCCCGGAAATCATCCCTTAAGGGGGTGAAAATGGGGATGAAATTTTCTATTTTTAGATTTTGATTTTTTAATGAAGTTTTGTATTAAGAAGACGAACCCGAGTCCCGAGGATGAGTCTCTAGTTAATTATAAAACAGTAAAAAGTGACGATTCAAAAGGTGCTTGTAAAAGTCTAACATATTGATTTGATTTGAGGATAATCACTTTTAAGTTATTTTGTATAAGGCATAATACCTGTTGTAATAAGGAGTAATAATGTATTAAAACTATTATTAAAATATTACGGATACTACACTATTATTATAATATTTTTAACTTTACAAATATTTTGTACCTATAGGCGTGATAAAATGTACGTGGTATCTAGTGATGCTGGAAAGCTGGTGGAAGTGGATCTGAGTAACAATGCTTCCACCCCTGACGTCATCACTAATGTTGGAAGACCGAGCAAAGTGAGTTTACATTTTAGTGATTTTACATACGACCTGAAGCAAATAGCTTAACTTATTTTTTTGAAAATGTATATTTTGTGTGTCATTAACTTGCACATCACATTTTTGACAGGTTATCTTGATTTAAGAGCATTTTCACAATTTAATCTATACATATAACAAAATTGTAACTAAGCCGAATCTGTACATTAAATATTTTTTGGAAAATCTTATTTAAATAAACATTATTATTGATACAGAGGCCGAATCTATAGTTTTTAGTATTTTTGTCTGTCTGTCCGTCTGTCTGTTGCCGCATCACAGAAAAACCACTAGAGGGATTTTGATGAAATTTGGTATGGTGATAATACTTTTTACTGCGGGAAAATATCTCATTTTTGAGAAAAAAATACAAAACTGCAATGTAACAGTATACTAATACGTAAGACCTAAGAATTTGGTATTTGGTCATCTGAACGCGGGCGGAGCCGCGGGTAATGCTAGTATAATTATAATTTGCTGATACGGTGAAAGGAACTACCGTGAGGAAACCAGCATATCTGAGTGAGTTTAGCAAGTTTTCGAAAGATATGTGAATTCAGCCAACCCGTACTTGGTCAGCGTGGTGGACTATGGCCTATTTTCCTCATATTGAGGGGAGGCGACGTTATAAAAAGAGCAGAATTATTGATTATTAAAACGTAATTTGTAAAAAAATTGTATAAATTTTCATTAATTATAAGGTCGCGGTGGACTGGGTGACGGGCAACGTGTACTTCGTGGACAGCTCGCCCGCGGCCGGCTGCGTGCGAGTGTGCAATTTCTATAAGAAAAGATGTGCGCGATTACAAAGATTACCCTCCGAAGCTGAGGTAAGAACTAAAATCTCTGTGAACCGTTTGAATATTGTACTTATTAAAGCCAAAATTTAATTGTCGTTTATTATATTTTTAATGATTTACTTACCATATTTTAAATATATTTAATTTAAAATGTAAGCTCACGAAATGAAATAAAATAAACATCTATATGTAATTAATTTCTTGGCATTTTGATACATTATGAGCGTTTTTAACAATCTGGCACATCTAAGATACCTATTGTTTATTACAAAAACATCGGGAAAATTGGTTCGGAATTGGCAAATATGTTGTGTAACATACGCTCACATACGCACACATACCGTTAGACCAAGACCATCGACATCAATTCATCAGACATAGACCATCAGTCGCCTCTCAACCCTCGCAGTAGACGAGCTCTATTCAGAATCCCGCAACCCTATACGTAGCAAATGTTGAACATGATATCTAGCTTCTACTTTGCACCAGTTCTGCAAACTACAATAACTACCTACATGACATAAAACTAATATGACACAAACTTATAATAATTATACAAAATTATTAAGAGATATTACACAAAACTAATGACTATTACACAAAACTAACACTACACAAAATATTTTCTTAGATATACACAAATATTTGGCATTTTAGATAAAACTATCTTTTCGGATTATTTCGCGGATTTATTTTGATTTTTGGTTTCCGACCCTCATCTTCCGATCATGGTCACGGGAGAGACTAAGGTTGTAGACTTCTCAAAGGCGTTATATACTTGTTGTAGACAGTGCCTACCCACTATGAAAAATGATTTCAAAGATTCAAACTACACTAAAGCTAACATGACACAAAACAATGGTAACCAGGTAACAGCATTAGCAGTGGATCCATCCCACCGCCGCCTCTACTACTGTCTCTCGCGACAATCCGAGTCCGCGGTGCGCGCCTCTACGCTGTTCGGGAGGGCGGAGCCCGAGCTCGGGGCGGCGTCGTGCCGGGGGCTCGCGCTCGGCCCCGCACACCTGTACATGGCCAGTGTGGAGCCCGATGCATTGCTACGTGTGGAGTACGATGGGAGTGCTATGTGAGTTTTTGCGGTTTTCTTATTATTAGTTAATATTATTGTACCTCTGCGTGCGTAATTTAAAAATAACGGATTTTCATCCAGACCGTTCCAATCCTTTTATACCTCTTTAGACATTGAATTTTCAAAATACTTTTCCTAGTGGTCCGACTCTTGTACCAGTCCAAGTATGTAGCATTTATTAGTGAGTAGCATTTCGCATTGAAGAAGATACGTTGAATAATTTTTGAAAAAATAAATATCATATAAATGCTTCGAAGTGCAATTTTTAGCTGTCGATGAAATAAATCTATTAAGTAGATAAGGAATAGGATATGTTTATTTTAATGGTAATGTACCAAAGTGTGTATGTTAAAACATAACAAAAAATTTGTGCTAGGAAATCTTCAATGTTATGGTTAAACTCGCACTTGCTTATTTTTTCTAATTTAAAACAAACCTTAACTATATAATTTTCGATTAACCTCTTTCGTGTCTTCTCCATTCTACGTGTCATTGGTGAAGTAATCTATGCTCAACTAGCACGCTTCGAAGCCATTAACAAGAAAATGGAATTGAATTGAACTGTAAAATCTAGTTAATATAAAACATTTAATTCCAGGAGCCCTGTAATCGCACACAATGCAAACCTAAACAACCCACACGATCTAGCCGTATTCGAAGACCACGCTTACTTTCTAAGCAACTCTCATCTAAAACGATGTTTGATTTTCGGAAGTAAAACTTGCGAGAATTACTCATTTATGCCTAACACAAGTGCTTTTGTGATGAAACATGAGGTCACACAGGTGATGGTAGATAATGATTGTGATGGTATCACCTGTGATAATGTGTGTGTGATGGGTGATGGCGGGGCGTTGTGTGTGTGCCATGATGGCGGGCTCGCTAGTGACGGCGTGTGTCCGTTTGTGAAGAGTGATGATGTAAGTGGTTTTTATTATTTATTGTTGTTTTTCTTGTTATATTGATAGTATATGTGTGTGGGAGGTGTTGATATGATAAAGATGTAATTATATTTTTTTGTCGGTCTGTCTCTCTATTTGTTTGGGTAGCTATACCGCAAAAAGTTCTTGATTGATTGAAATGATATTTTTTTGCGTAAAAACTATGGCGGGATTGAAAAGTGTTAGAGCTCATAGGAGTGGAGAAGAAGTGAATGCCCCTAATATTAAAGTTTTTTTTCTTTCAAAAATGAGTTCATTGATTACACTCTTCAAATTGGAATATCTAAAATTTTCTATTTATCTGTAACTAGCGGCCCAGTAACTAGCGGCCCAGTAACTAGCTGGCTTCCCGATACAAACTTTCATCCCCATTTTCACCTCCTTAAGAGGTGATTTCCGGGATAAAAAGTATCCCATGACCTTCCCAGGGTCTCAGACTATCTTCTGATCAAATTTCATCTAAATCGGTTCAGTAGGTACAGACAGGGGCGGATCTATATATAAGCTTTTTAGGCTGCAGCCCAAGGCCCCTAAGATGTAACGAGCCCCCTCTTAATAATAATGGTTAATATTGTAAATTTATAAAATAAAAAAAATTAAGACCCTAAGATCAATTAATAACCAAACAATAGCATTATTTTAATTTCATCTAGTACCATCTATTTTATAGATTTTAGAAAGACAAAATGACAATTATTTAAGGCCCCCAAGAAGTGTTAGCTCAGGGCCCCCCAAATTCACAATCCGCCCCTGGATCCAGCTATAACCCCGTACAACGCCATAAACTCACAAACTTTACCTCTTTATAATATTAGTATAGATAAATACATATATTTCCACGCTCGCAGCTGGCCGTGTTCAACGGCGTCACGTACCAGGAGCGCAGGGCGCACGCGGTGTCGCTCGGTCTGATCGCGGCCGTGTTGGTGCTGTTCGCGCTATACATTGCCGTTTTCATATATTATTATATTATAAAGAAGAAGAAACAAGCTGGCGATTATATGCAGTGAGTTTTGTTATTTAAGTAATTTCATCACTACATCAATACATATAACAAAATTGTAACTAAGCCGAATCTGTACATTAAATATTTTTTGGAAAATCTTATTGAAATAAGCATTATTATCGATACAGATGCCGAATCTATAGTTTTTAGATTTTTTGTCTGTCTGTCTATCTGTCTGTTGCCGCATCACGGAAAAACCACTGGAGGAATTTTGATGAAATTTGGTATGGTTATAGCTAGTCGTTAATATTGTTGTTATTATTTGTATTTCAGAGTGAGATATCACAACACGCCAGACGCTATGGGCGGGGGCCAGCTGACTAACCCCATCATAGACATGCCGGAAGCCGGATATGTTATAGAGTGAGTTTTATAAAAAATATCATAATCTACCAACAAACTATTGAAGAAATGAAATAATCAAATGTATTCAGTTTTTTTGTGGAATCATGAGGAAGGCAATGGTTACACGCTCTCTTGAGAAATCAAGTGAAGCGGGTACAAATCCTGAATCCCGAAACTCTAGTATTTTCGTGTGCGAATCATTTCAAACATGATTATCACTTGTCTTATGGTCACTAAGAACATCGTGAGGAAACCTGCATGCAGTGCCGGCTTTTCCGGGGCGCCATGTTATACAGGGCGCCGCGAGCGCCAGCTCAACTTAACCATTTAATTTGAATACTTATTTTTATCGATCTAAAGAAAAACTAGACTCATCGTTTTATCGTATCTTTCACTAAATAATTAAATAAAAGGGCGCCAAAGGCATGACTCGCCCGGGGCGCCCAGGTGGCTAAGGCCGGTCCTGCCTGTATGTCTGAGAGAACCATGACCAGACTATGGCCTGATCCCCCTCGTTAGAAGGGAAACCCACCCCCAGCTGTGGGAGGTTTAATTTATCATAGTTGATACAGACAAATGGTTACAGATCAGATTTCTTCAGATCTAGACTCAATATCTGTCAATTGAAGTAAAAAATAAAGTTGAATTGAAGAGAAGTTTAAATTTGTTTCAGTGGTATGGGCCATGAGTTCGTGAACCCACTACAGTACGTTAAGAATATCTGGCAGGAGTCATTATACAAGAGGTCGAAACCAGGCGTGAGTACTTACTCTGTTAAAATGTAACGATTTGTAAAGGCTACATTCAATTTTTAAGTAATCTATGCAAATAAATAAAATTGAAGTGTCTGTTTGTAATGTCAAAATAACAGTGTTTTACTAAATGCATACGAAATTATATGCGGTACTTATAAAAAAAAAAAATTAATTTGTTTTTTCTGTCTGTCTGTTTGTTTCCGATAATCTCTGAAACGGCTGGACTCGCACTGTAAGATAGCTGATGTTATAAGGAGTAACATAGGCTAATTTTTTTTTAAAAGAGGGTTCTGTGTAAAAAATGAAAATCCATGAAACTGTGAACAAAATCCGCGTATCTATCGAGCGAAGCGAGGTTAAGTCGCTATTAATAAATAATTTTGAAACTTGCTTAGACAAGAATGGTATCTTTGTGTTATAAAGCATAGTTTAACATTTACCCACGTTTGTCTCGGGTGCGTACTGAGTGCCTATTTATTTATTTATTTATTTACACTTTATTGTACACCACAATCACGAAGTAAATACAGTTAACAAAATATAAAACAAAAACAAAAGTGTGCACAAAAGGCGGTCTTATCGCTAATTAGCGATTTCTTCCAGACAACCTTTGGGTGAGGAAATATGGAAGACTATTAATACAGGGTGGGTGGTGTAAATATTAAATGTTATATACAATACATACCATGATACAACCTAATACTTAGAAATACTACACATGCCTATGTGTTTGTAGCGTTTAATTATGTGCATTATACAATCTAATAAAACAACTTTTTTAATATAAAATTAATGAAAAATATAATTTTAACTTCATTTTTATTTTTAAATAAGAGTATGTATTCATAAGTCTGAATACTCTGAAACTATCTAATAAATAGCTGGCAATCTCTTGCGAATTTAAATCCACTAAATATGAGTGTTCCGCAAGGATATATGCTTGGAGCATTTCTCTTCCTCATATATATTAATATTTTGCCATTTCTTGTACATTGTATATTACTGCTAATAATATTATACATTTTAAATGACGAATTTATTTAATGATGTTGAATTTAATATAATAATAATATAAAATGTAAGTTATACACTAATGAATAATTAATATTTAAAAAAAATACTGTTCCAGGACACATCTGGTCTAATTTTTGAAACACAAGACCTCTCCGATACAGAGTCAGATTTGGATGTGAAAGAAACGAGAAGAATGGTCAGAAATTAATTGTAGCTCAATTTCTTTTTTATTTTTTGAATGAAATCTGCTTGCAGAAAATATATTTACGTAAAAATACAATTTAATATTTTTTATTATATGATTGATTCATATTGTAAGAGTTAATTATGATTAAGCATAATTGTAACTCTTTATATAATCTTTAAATGTTGTACTATATTTTTGTATCTAATATACTAATAAAAAATTTGGTTTTGTTTTATTCTTCCTAATTTAAATCTGAATTTTTAAACTTGTCACTATGTCCATAAAAAAACTCAATTATTAATAATAATGTTGGTACATTCAAAGTATAAACTGTTTTTAGAAATGAAACAACAATTTGAAAGAAGTTATTTATTTTCTAATACATAAAAATTAAGAATACACAAACAAAAGCGTTTACTTCCACAATTTCTTGATGGACATGTTCTTTTCCGAATCCTTCTGCATGACCTTAGCCACAGCCATTTCAAAGTCTTCCTGAGTGACATGAACTCTGCGCTCCCTAAGAGCATACATACCAGCTTCAGTACATACACCCTTGACTTCGGCACCTGATGCTCCAGGCATGAGTTCTGCTATCTTTCTTAGATTAATACCTCTCGTAAGATTCATTTTACGAGAATGGATTTTAAGGATATCCAAGCGAGCTTCCTCATTTGGTGGGGGGAACTCAATCTTCCTGTCAATACGGCCTGGTCTCAATAATGCAGGGTCAAGGATATCGATTCTGTTAGTAGCCATGATGACTTTGATGTTTTTAGTGGCCTCGAATCCATCAAGCTGATTGAGAAGTTCCAACATAGTTCTCTGAACTTCAGAATCACCACCACTACCAGATTCAATACGAGAAGAACCAATAGAATCAATTTCATCCATGAATATAATAGATGGAGCATGTTCTCTAGCCATAACAAAAAGCTCTCGGACCATTCTGCTTCCTTCACCAATAAATTTCTGAACCAATTCAGATCCAGAAACTCTAATGAAAGTACATTCAGTGTGATGTGCTACAGCACGAGCTAATAAAGTTTTACCAGTTCCTGGAGGCCCATATAAAAGTACTCCCTTAGGTTGAGCAATACCCAAGGCATCAAAAAGCTCAGGATGTTTCACAGGCAGCTCAATAACCTCTTTAATTTCCTTGATTTGTTTATCTAAACCTCCCACCATCTCATATGTAGAATCTGGGACTTTCTCTACCATCATAAGAGATACCAATGGGTCCACTTTGTTAGGCAATATCTTATGTAGAGTATAACTTTCATTACGAAGTGCTACACGACAGTTAGCAGTGACATCGTTGATGTCAACATTTTTATCCAAATCTACTACGAACTTGCCTTCTGGATGGACTTTAACGAGCACTTTCTTTTTGTCCATTGGTTTCACGACTTCACCAACGTATGAGCCCTGCTCTTGAAGAAGCTGTAGTTCTTCACGTAACATACGTACTTTTGCATTAAGTTCATTTCGCTGCGCCTGAAGACGACGGAGGTTTTGAGATTTTTCGGCGACAATCAGTTGTAACTCTTCAATCTTTGTTGTGTAGTAAGGCCGAAATCCTTCGCCCTTGGCGGAGTCCACCTCCATTTTCGTAAGCGTCATTTTGTTTACTTTTGTTTCATGAAAGCTTAATTACAAATATTATATGAAATAGATACAAAATCGGTAATGCAATGGTAACGAGGCACCTGCAATGAATATGACAATTTAACAATTGACAACAATATTATCCAAGTCACGGCGTTGGGTTAACACACTAAAAAGTTTTAATATAACTAATTTCACGACATCACATAATACATTTGTAGTGAAGATTGCTTAAAAAATCTACTTTGGAAAATTTGTTACCTAAATAAGATAAGCTAAAATATAGAAAAAAGTGAAAAAAAATATATTTATATCATTTAATTTGTAAAACTACCAAATTTTACTTTCTTAATATGATGGCAGCACTTTAGATTACTCATTGCGACACAGATTAGTAATGTTGTATGATGGTTGTATATGGTCTATGGTTCCATGGATAAGAGAGCATAGAAATCATGGATGACAAATAAGGATAGAAATATCCGTATTTGGTAGTTAATGAAGGCTTCTTATAGATCAAGAGCTAGGTGTATAAAATTCCGATGAATCACTTATCAGATACATAGACAACGGCTTTAATGAATAAAATGTAGAACTTATTATTTTATAGAAACTATGTACAAACTTAATAAGATGAGATTTTTTTCATAATATTTCTAAATATTGCTATTTCTGGAATAGAATGGCTGGAAGTCGTTTTTTCTATACTAATATATAAAAAGGTAAACTTTGTGAGTTTGTGACGTTGTAGGGGGTAATCTCTAGATCTACTGAACAGATTATAGATTTAGATGAAACTTGGTAAGAATATAGTTTGAGACTCTGGGAAGGACATAGGATACATTTTATCCCGGAAATCATTCCTTAAGGGGGTGAAAATGCGGATGAATGTTTGTATTGGGATGCAAGCTAGGGACGAACCCGAGCGAAGCGAGGGTGAGTCGCTAGTATAATATTAAGTTTGAATTAATAAAGTTTAGGTAAAAGAATTACATATTTCATTTGATTAATGGTTTTGTGTGTTATATGGAAAATATTTTATTTATCTTTCAGATAAAAATTTTAAGTATCCGTTTTTTCTCGGGACACTTCAACAAAACAGTATTTTGTAACATATCTATCAGTAGCCCAAATTACTTAAGACAATGGACTATTTCTATGCAAAAAATTGTTTACGACTACTGGTTGCTTTATTGTTGTATGATAGATGGACTAATTAATAAAAATAGGTATCCTATAATTGTTGAAAATTAAAATCTCAAAATCTAAATTTAATTTGCATCTAATTTAAACTGATTCAATTAGATTTAAGAATCAAAATAGTGCCGTGAAAAAATCCGAAAAGATAGTTTTATTAAAAATGTTAAATATACACGTAAATCTAAGAAGTTATTACCTATGATTTAACTAGGAAAAAATAAAGAAATCCTTAAATATTAAATATAAGTTAGAGATAAGTTTCAAATTTAGCAAAGATGTACATATTACACAATATTATGCCTTTATTAAATTATATTTTCGTAATGTATATTGATGCTAAATTAAGGTTTAAATATTTTTTGTGTAGTGGTTTATTTCCAGACCAAATTTGAGCGTGATAAGAACTTTACAGTTTACAGAGTTAAGTTTAGGTTTAGCCAGTCGTTTTTACGCGACGCATGACGCAGGTTGTTTCGTCGAGAGTGCGGCCGTGGCATTTATCTTTACTCCTTATCAGTGGTAGAAAAATAAATAAAAAAAAAGTTTGACAGGTAACCTCACCCTACAAATTTGATTTGATGATTTCGTTCAACAAAAACATTATTGATTTGTAACAGTTTAACTATATAATGTAGTTTATTTTGATTGTTTTAGTGATATTTTTCTAGCTGGAATCTAAAATGTAATATTTTTAAAATTTATAAGTTAATTTGTAAATAATAAGTAATTCGTATTTTTTATTTACGCTATTGTAAATATTATTTCTATTTTTTCCAATGTTCCTTGCTTTATTATCAAAATTTTTTTTTTGTATTAATAAAATTATTACGAACAATGTTATAAAATAATTATTGAAGTGCGAAATTTGAGGAAATTTTTACACACTCGTGACTTGATTTATTGTATTCACATGACAATCTTAATAACATTGGTCTTAAACTGCAACAGACTTTAGTGATGTTATAAATTATTATTTGTTACAATTTGAAAATTAGTTGTAAATTATTTAGTACTCGTGACTCACTTTCGCTTCGTTCGGGTTCGTAGTTAAAAACAAAATCGATCCCATGGGAACCGTGCATTTCTCTGCGTTAAAAACTTACCTATGTGCTATTCCAGACTATAATCTATCTCAGTGCTAAATTTCATCCAGAGCCGTTCATCCGTTCTGGCGTGATTGAGAAACAAACATCCATCCAAACTATCCCATTATTAATATGTATTATATGGGACAATATTTATGGGATTTTATAATTTACCTATATTCTGTTATACTTCAATATGAACTAAGATATCTATACATATATATCTAGAAAATCTTATTACAATATTTTTTTATAGAATGGGTAATACCAGCAAAAAGCTGGCTGCTAAATGCACTCTACTAACAAAAGATGAACAGAAGTATGTAGCAGCTACATTCCGAGCAGCTAGTAAAAATTCAGAGAGGATCAGGGAGGAAGATCTCATCGTGAGTGGCAAACTTGACGCAGTGTCATTAGAAGTGTGTTCATTTTATGTTTTTTCTTTGGTTCATTTTTTATTTGGCTTGGGTTAGTGCAATCTTTGCTGATATTATTTTATAGAAGTATGGCTTCTATTCATAATTTTGCTGTAGATTATATATTTGTAATTTATTTTATTTTATCTTAATAATTTTTTGAGTACTTTTCATAAACAATTATAAGTCACAAGAATAAGTCAAATTTTATTTAATACTAAATTGAATAATATACTAAATGGTTTCTAGACTAAATAAATAATTTATAAACATTTTAAGCATACATAATTTCAAAATAAATAGCTTAAAATCCAAACATTTCTGCTTACCTCAAAGTAAGTTTTTTGAGTCAAGTGTGATTAAATCATACAAGTAATCTAAAAATAAACTTTCTCTGTCACAAACTCAAGCCTCAAAAACATTATATACAAGCATATTAAATAATTAAATTGTATTACTATTATTACATATTTGTTTAAATCATTATTATAATTAAATTAATTTATATTTGCTTCGTGGATTTTGTATGTAATGTTTCAGATTGTCAGTTTATTTTTAAGTGCAGTCATTTTGATTTCTTTGGTTGTGGTCTTTTGATTTTATATTTCCTTCTTTAAGAAAAGTTTGTTTGTAAAAAAAGTTTTCTTTTATGTTTTAACTTTTTTGTTGTTAATTATGTTCATTTTGTCCTCATGTAATTTTTTTGTTAGAAAAGCTTTGTGTGTTTTTATAATTTATGTGGAGATTTTTTGATACCAAAGTATATGTTTATATACCAAAGAGAACCTACATTTCTATGAAAACTAACAATATTGCAAAGATGTATGTCTATTACATATTACATAACAATCCTTTTTTGAACAGTTACAATTAGATAGATTTTTTGATTAAAAACTAACAAGTCATGTCTAAATTCTTTAGTTAATTTCCAATATTCCAATATCTTTCCAATATTCCAATATCTTGCCAATATTTTTGTATGTAAATGGTTTCTATGAAACACACAGCACATGAACATACATATATCTAGATATGTATATGGCTAATTTAAATACTCTTCCCGAGTTGGATTTGAACGGGCTACCTCTGGCTTAGACAGATTTTATTCTAGGCTGAAATATTATCATTATTTTTGTAAAACATATTTAGAGTTGGTTTTAGATTCTCGACTAATAATATCCTTGCTACTACTACTTGCTGCTACTAGTATGTATTTTATCTACAAGATTATATATTATAATAAAATTGTAACTAAGCCGAATCTGTACATTAGATATTTTTTGGAAAATGTTATTGAAATAAACATATCAATACAAAGGGCGAATCTATAGATTTTAGAATTTTTGTCTGTCTGTCTGTTACTGCATCATAGAAAAATCACTGGAGGGATTATGATGAAATTTGGTATGGTGATAACTGGTTATCCGGGTCAACATATAGAATACTTTTTACCGCGGGAAAATATCACATTTCTGAGAAAAAATACAAAAACTGCAATGTAAGAGTATACTAATATGTAAAACCTAAGAATTTGGTCATATGAACGCGGGCGGAGCCGCGGGCAATGCTAGTATTTTTATATATTGTAACTAAATTTGTCTCAATGGAACTTGCAATTAGTTTGAGTAACTGAGAACTGCTATTATTATCGGTTTCGAGTCGTAAACATATGCTGCGTCAAAATAATATTGATGTGTTATGGAAGCAGAATAATTTCATACAAAAATATGTCAACAGTTTCCTAGTCGGATTATATTACAAAGTTTTATGACTCTTTAACTAGAAAATTCTTTGCTCACTTTAAATATATATTGGTAAAGTTTTCGCCGTCATTTCTTGCCCGTTGACAGGGGCAAATTCACATCCGATTTTAAAGTTGTAAAAGTTAAGAAATGCGAGATGATTGGTAAAGACTAATATTTATAATTTGCTATTTACTTACGCATAATTATTAATAGCTAATCTTAACCTATGGGTCGTAGCGTGAAAAGTTAGATACCTTTATAATACAAACTTCTTCTTAAGGCAGTGGTAGCCAAGTGGTAACGCGCTCGCTTGGGAAACCGAGTGATGCGGGTTCAAATCCCGGGTCTCGCACCTCTGATATTTTCATGTGCATGAATCATTTCTAACATGATTACCACTTATCTTTCGGTGAAGGAAAACATCGTGAGGAAACCTGCATGTTTGAGAGAACCTAGCAAGTTTTTAAAAGACATGTAAAGTCCGCCAACCCGGACTTGGTCAGCGTGGTGGACTATGACCTCCTCGTATTGAAGGGAGGTCCGTGCCCAGCAGTGGGACGTTAAAAATGGTTGAATACAATCTTCTTTAATAAATTGACCGTAAAGTGATGTTTGCATTAATCGACTTAATAATTGGTATAGATGTATAACTTTAATAATCTTGCAATCGGGTATAAATGAAGAAATACTAAAGACTCTGAGGATGAATTACTTTTGAGATCATTCTGAAATCAATTTTAGTTAAAAAGTTATAATAATGAATTACTATATGTAGTTCATTCTGCGTAAATTTCTGCATTTCTTTCATACTATCAATACATAAAAACTTTTTAACAAAAAAAAAATAAAAACAGACTTCAAGAAAAGCACTAAAACAATAACTGATTGGTAGTTTTCATTTACGGTGTGTGGGTTCATTTCGGTGTGCTTTGCTTTGTATCGAATGGCACCGACTTCGAAAATATTTGATTAGGTATGTATAGTAAATCAAAACTACCAATCAGTTATTTTTTACTTTTTAGTGATTTTCTTGTAGTCGGTTTTAATTTTTTTGTTAAAAAGTTTTTATTTTTCCCTTTTTAGTGTAGACATAGTAGTAGCAAAGTAAGAAGTATTTTGATAAAATAATCGCTTAAACCGTTGAAGTTACTTTGATGGCAATTTTTATACGAAGACTCACAAACTAAAATTCGCTTTTATTAGTAACACTAAAAATTCGGGTTCTAAAATCCCATTCTAAAGTGTTAGGATTGTCAAATCAAACAAAATAAGCCCAAACTCAAAGTATCTACTATTAGCCGTTTAAGAGTTCCACCTATCCACCTTCTGGCCTTACCATCAGATCAGGTCAACGATACCGAACCACTGCACTAATTAACGAAAATAAAAACACTTGTAAAGTTTCAAGTCAATATGACAATTAGAAGTAGGTTAAATTCATCATTAGCTGTTTTTCCACCTTTACGATGTGGTATTTTTTTTTGAAATTTAAATGGGACCAATCTGAAAGTATACACTTTCAAACAAAATAAAAATTGTCCAAATCAGTTAATAAATGACGGAGTTCTGAGGAAACAAACATAAAAAAAAACATACAGCCGAATTGAGAACCTCCTCCTTTTTGATTAAGTCAGTTGAAAACACTCAATTTCCAATGACAGATGTATAAGCCTACAATTATACAGGGTTCGTAAACCCCCCTTTTACTTATAAAGAATGAAAAAACAATAATAACTCGAAAACTATACACTTTTGCATAAGCGTTTTGGGGGTCGTTTGATAGCTAAAGTCCTGTATATAACCTTTAACGGGATCGTGACATATTACCATTAACCCAGTATATTAGTCTAATTCTATTAGCGAATTATACCAAATATTCTTAAAACTATCTTAATTTTCATTGCCAAAATCCTAAACAGTTAGTCCTGGTCAATGTAATGAGCGTCCGGTCTAAGCCGGTCGTATTCCAGAGATTGTTTGCGCATTTTGATTTACTGCCGCTAAATCGACGTTGAGGTGTAAACTTAGCTAAAATAGACTTGGAATGAAGGAATTTGCTTTTAACAATGGTTTTCAGTTTATGGAGGAAGTAAAGATGTGGGTGCGTAGATTTTAAAATAACTAATACCTACTCGTTGATTGGAAATGGTTTAACTTTGAACGTGTTTGTTTAACTATTCACAACGATTAGATGATTCATCTCTGGCTATAATCTCTGTTCGGAATTGATACGCAGGCGATATGATAAGAGCTAAGTTAGACATGTAGATTAGCATTACATTGTTTAAGGATTTTTCCTTTTGCGGAAGTGCTACGTTTCTATTACTGCCTCCGTGGTGTAGTGGCTAGCATGTACGGCTGCACACCCGTAGGTCTAGGGATCGAGTCCCGGGTCGGGCCAAGTTTAGTTATTGAGTCTTTCTGTATAGAAAGCCTCAGTAACAGCCCGGAGTTGGGAAGTTGACGGTGTTTCACCCCCGTGCCTCGGAGAGCACGTAAAGCCGTCGGTCAGGAATAGAGAGTGCACCTGTGTCTGCGCGCACATTTGTGCACTATAATATCTCCTGCGCAGTTAGCTAGTCTCAATGAGATTGGCCGCCGTGGCCGGAATCGGTCAGGAGAACATCAAATAATACCAATGAAAAAACATTCTAAATACAATAAAGATTTTCCAAATATCTTAATTGCTCCTAACAATACATATAATAATAATATAATCCTATAATCGGTGATTATTTTGTGACGTGCATTTTGTTAGTCGATATAAATAATGTCTATGTCTACCTTCGTAAAGATTGTATAAATAAAGGAGATAAGATAAGAGCTTTTGATTGATCAAACAGAGTAACCGCGACCTCATAATTTCATAATCGATAACGTCAATTACATAACCATGGCTTTAGACTAATTGTAATTACTAAGTATATGTTTATATAAGTGAGTAGTTTAGATCTTGTGGTTAGGCGAGGGTTTGATTCTCGTTTGGAAAATTTTGTTCTGAGGAGAAGTCCTGGGCATCCAAAACAAATAATCGATCTGATTTGAAAGTAAGTGCTAGATCTCGTTTTAGTCTACAGCTCCGGTCGCGTAGGTTATTCATGTCTAGCAGTAATCAGCCTTTTTTACCGTCCCACTGCTGGGCGTGGGCTTTCCTTCAATATGAGGGCGATCAGGCCATATTAATAATGCTCCGCTCATAATGTTCCAGGTAGACGTTACATACCCTGTAAACTCCCTTAATAAGCCATATAATACCAA